CAGTACGCAATAATGCTATAACATGACAATACCCCCCTTACCAACAGCGGAAATCTAAGTGTACACAAGGGAAAAATTGCTATATCAAAATATACTGTTCTATTTTTACAATAGGCGTTCAGTGGCGGCGTAAGCTATTACAGAGTGGGAGAGTAATGGGCGCGGCTAGTGGGACTACACCCTTTTTGCCTCGTTTCAGTGATTTGTACCAAGATAACTTTCCTTAGGAAATTTGATCTACACCTACCCAGCGTTTTTTAATCCAGTTTTGGAGAAAACATGTAAACCATATTTTCATAAAAATGGGGGGGGGGGGTAATTTCCCCAAGGCGTTAGCCATTTTGCATCTTTGATGCTTTATGGAAAAGCTTGTTTTCTACAAAAATATAGGAAAGGGAGATGGGGCCGTTGCTCAGGGGTACAGGACGGCTGTTGGGGCTGGGTGGTGCAAAACAATATTGTGAAAAAATAGCTTGATGCACACACAACCGTTCTATCCGAAAATTCGACCGTATGACACCCCAAAGCATAGTCAGGGGTACTACATACCATGAACATACAATTAATTAAAAAAGGACTTCGCTCAGAAATTTGCTTAAAATTTGTGCCAGTCGACACAATGAGTGAAGATTATTGCAAAGAGTTCACCACACCTTTATATGTATCTTAAGCTTATGACGTAAAAATTGTGCAATGAACAAAAGAAACATCAGACAGATCAAAACAAGAGAGAGTCGGAAGTTGGATTGAATTAATTATCTGAAAAAAATGTTCCTACCCAAATCCCTCCGTTTGAATTCCGCACCATTCAAAAAACAAAAAGTGCTTGAGAATCACAGTGACACTTGAGAAGAAAGTAAAATACAAGGTTTTGACGTGGCTGATGATGGTAGCACACTCCGTTCAAAGAAAACTGGTACATTATACAGAGTACATTATACCCACGGACAGATTCAAGCAGTAAGGATTGGGGGAGGGGGTATTTGATAAGCAGTAATGAATGGATTTTATGCAAAATCATTCAGGTGGCTGAAAACTGATGGAAAGACCCGGTTTTAAAATCAAGTTTTCAGCATTAAGATAGATAAGAAGATATATATAGCAACTTTCTACTTCATTTTGTGACTAAAAACTTCCAGAAAATACCTTTTACCTAATCGGAGCAAAATTTACCGAAGCACACAAAAATATTAGGGGGGGGGGGGTGTCGCAACCCCTACACCACCCTGTAAATTCATCCCTGAATATACTTCATGAAAGTGGTAGGACTTGGTAGGTACTGTTCCTTGGCTAATTTTAACAAGCTTTTCAGTTTCTTATCTGTTTATTATCTGTTTGCTATATTTTTGCATTGTGATAATATTTCAAAGTGTATGGGAGAATCTAAATAGCAATATAAACTGAACTTCACCGAAATGGACTGAACTTTATTGAACTGGAGTGTCTATCTCAATTTTTACCCTGGCATGGTTCCTGACGCCCCTGTATCCAATGCTCTATTTCTAAAAACAATATGCGAGACTTCACCTCAATCGGACTTTCCTACTTTCTCCTCGAATCATGACTATGCTCGAATCTAGACTGTGGATTAAATCAATTATCGCTTAAAGAAAAGAGGCTTGGTCTATTCGCTAGTCTGCTAAGACATGACATAATCGTATAATGAAAACAAAACGTAAAACTGATGAACAGAAAAACAATGAATTGATAACGCAAGTTATTAAAGAAAGGAAGAAAAGAATAAATGGATCATGGAACGGATTAATCAACAAACAGATCAAAAAATGATTTTTTCACGTTTATTTTTCATCATGATTTTTCAAACAATAGAAGACTTGTGAAAAGGCATACAAATTTTTGCTTGTCACTGAAGATTAGAAATTACATAGGTGATTTACCCGTGCCCAAGACTCAGTGAAATTCAGTCTACTCATGTGTCTGGAACATCTATGCATTCACAATCAAATATACATTTTCTAACCACATACAACAAAAGGAGGAGGGGGTTTAGCTACAAAATGCCTTTAACAATCACAAAACCATGACGGTATTGGGGCCTGATCACGATCAGTTGGCAGATCCACAAGAGGTAGAGGACGAAGCAAATTTTATATTTATCGATTCTTAACGATCCACTTCTAGAAGGGAAGCAATTGGGTAAGAAACAAGTCGCGGTATATGCAGTCCTATTGTCAACTTAGACAAGCAGTGGAGCATTAAAACTAGTTTTTATCGACAAGAGTCTGGAAAATTTAGCCTGCGCACAGACTAGGAAAATTTACATCCAAATGGCTCCATAGGCTCCCTTTATATAACATGGATTAATTAGTAATACCCCCGTCAGGCATAGGAAATTATTTTCCTTTCACATGCAAGTAGTACATACTTCTCATAGAGCGAAAGGAAACCAACAGAAGTAATTGAACAATACCAAAAATACTGATCGATTGACAATGTTGTCACGGCGGGGTGGGTTCATATTTGTATGGATAAAAAGACTCCTTTCGGGTTGTTTGGAAAATAGCACAAACAAGCAGGATGGGTCGCAAATAAAAGAAACAAACAGATCCTTCAACTAGCTTTGACGATTAAAGTTCAATGAGCTCTTTATCAACACATCGAACAAACATTCAATTATTTAACAGGCCATTTTCTAGTAGTCGACAAGACTTCCCTAGAATCAATGGCTTGGAGAAACATGGGGCTACTATGGTACCAGGCAGGTTTCTTTCTATCTCTATGGTCACGAGGGGCAAATCACTCCAAAAAAATCTCGTAGACTTTTTATGAAAATCCTATTGTTTTTTATGAAACAACCCAGAAATCCTTTTGATCTAAGGAAAATCTCGTACGCTATTTGCAAGAGTGAAGTGCCCCTCGTATTAGTAGATCTCAGCCAGCAACAAACAGGATCCCCTGGGAGCCTCATTGAGAAACTACCATCTTCAAAACATCTGTATGCAGGACTCACTTCTTTTATATTTGGTATCAAGTATTGTACACAGGGAACACCACGGAAGCGGGGGAGGGGCTGAGGGGTTAAAGCCCTCCCCCCAATAATTTCCAAAGTATATTTAGAAGTATACAAAAAGTCATCCTACCCTTGATTTTTAGCATGTTTAGCCCCCCAAACCCTTTTAGCCCGCTCAATCCGTAATATGATCCGCAGTCCTTGATTGAATGTAGCACATTTTATATTGTAAGATATTCAAACGAATTTTTAGGAGGAAATTAAGAATCAAGGGCCAAAGAAGTTCGCTGTATCAAATCGAATATCTCGCTAAATTATTGACGTTATTTGTCGTATTTGAATGGGGAGTCATTAAATGTAGATCATAAATATCATAGTATTCAAACACAAATTAATTCACTCTAGCTATATCTTTACTTTTCAAATCACGACCTTTTTTAAACTTATACCACAGTTTCATAATGAAGGTTTTGATGGGATGCATTATCGAGCCCATTTGCAAGCTTTGTTGTCAAGGCCTTTACAATCATATTTATAGCTATGTTGGTGGTAGAAACTAAATTAAAAACTTCTATTATCTGCCCAGTCCCAGGTAATCAAACCTGAACACCCCTCCCCCCCTTACAGTGTACGATTTTTAAAAGTTTTGAAAATCCGTCATGTTTTGATACTTCAATGATCTATTATTGCTGTGGCTTTCATATATTTATTAACATTTAATATGCTTAAATTATGATATGTAAGGGAATATCTCAAACAACAGTTAGACTTGCCTGCAAAAAACCTAGACAATATCTGCAAAAAAAATGTGCGGGAATAAATCTTTCCAGCATTTAAGAAACAAATAGTGGAAGAAAAATTTATTTAAAAATGGGTGTAAGTTCGTACATAAATAAGTTCCCCCTGGAAGCAATCAGCCAGGAATAATGCAGCCAATTGCAGAGTTTAAGGTTGCAGGTAGTGGGAGGGGCGCAATTGATCTTAAATTAGAGCTAAACCTCTCGGCCATTAACTAAAAGGTGGTGATTTCTGGCCGATCTAACGCCAGTCTGCCACAACTACACACCGTAGGTGCAAATAATATAGAGACAAATCGGGATTGATATCTTTCCTTCGATTAGAGCATGTTATACTACGGTCTTGTTGATATTTGATCGTACAGTATATGTGTATACAAGTATACAAGGAAAGCATGGAAAGAAAGTGGTCACGCAATTTTTGATAATGACATTTCGCTATCACTTGTAAGAGAAAGAAATGTCAAATCGTTAATATATTACCTTCTGGTCTGACCCCAACTCACTTAAAATATATGTCTTATGTAAATAGTTTGACTAAGAGCTGTTCAAATTTCAGGACTAATTAAAGAGAGGTATTCACACATTTTGAATTGGATATTTGAATAATAGAACAAATCTGATCTAGAAAAAGACCAGGAGTGTTATAAGTCCTGTTTCTGCTAAATCCAAGCCTGCGGGTGTAGAAACGTTTTAGAAAGGATGGTTTGCATTTGATATTGACACCTGAGGTGTTTCTGAATGGCTGGAATATTTGATATTTGTCAAATGCCATTCTAACAATATCCGACAATACCACTTTCAGCTTATCACATGAAAATGCCAACAATCCATCGAAAAGTGGGTTCGGGTTTGAAGGGGGGCCTTCGGGGAAGAGTGATTACTGCTGAGTGACAGTTTAAAGCAAGTTCATTTTTAATCCAAACCTACTTCTGATTGTGCATAAAGAAAACGACATTTTATCTGCATAAAGTTTCCATCTCAAATATTAAACTCGAACACCCCGGTTAGGGAGTTAGTTAAAGCTAAACAGTTAGCTATTTAAAAACAAAAATTAACAGACCGAGCGTGGAGCATTATGTGTTAATAGTTATACGTAAATAATTTCTAACTTTCGACAACCATTGACTCTGGTGTAGTAATCCACTCAATTGGAATCAAAACAATAATTCAACTTCATAACATTTTTAGCTAGGCACACTGAAAAGAAAAAAAATGGCAAAATCACTTACAACGTTGTGGTAAGATCTGAAACGCTATCGGGGAATGTTTCCAAGCCGAGATTTGCGCAGTCAACAACAAAATTGTATCTTCCATCTGTTTCTTCGAACTTTTGTTGACACTGGTTGCTCTGAATGGAAATCCCAACCAAACTGAGCAGCGAAATAAGAACTAGATGGGGCACCATTTTGCCAATAAAACAGTCATAAACAACCAAACCGTCTCTCGAGTAATTAATTATGTCCACCGCACAGCAACATTCGCATTTACTCCACAGTTATTCGATGTAATTTCTTTATGAGATTCAACTGTAGTAAAAAATTAATGGAAACCAAAATGCCATGCAATGATTGAGAGTGACTCCTGTCCTGTCTCTCTCCAACACTTCCGATGTCAAGCGAATCGGGCAACGGTGTAAATCTGATTTCAACGAGAACTTCTCAACCACTGTCTGTTGCGGGAATGACTCACATGCCGAGAGGAAATCAAATAACACTGGCATTGATACTTTGCAAGTATTATTCGTCGTTTCTCGGATAACAAGAAATGTTGACTGCCATAAGCAAAACCGTTGAAGGTGAGAAATCAATTTGTCTTTTTCAAATCATAACCCTGCAGTTCTCATTCTTTCAGTTTGTGTATAATCATTCAATGCAATTCAATTGTTTATTGACTGTTCGCCAATTGAACAATACAATGGCTTCATTCCCTAAGGTCACGGGGGTTAAGGGGATTATAAGGCAGCCATCGGACGGGGGTATACAGGGTCTCAATTGTCAGCCGCCATTGATCAATGTTATTCACACATCACCAATGGGAAAACAAAAAGCATTTGTTGTACTTCTCGGCGTTGCCAGCTTTTATGTTTGTAATTTGCTGCAGTTTTATGTAATTTTATTTCATAAGAAGCTTTTCAAGGTACTAGCCTTAGCTTGAAAAATTATCATAAAATATATTACATTATATACTTTAACACTTATGGGGCCTCTCTTCTTAGAGCCTTTGCGACAACATTACAAGGTTATAATTTGCAATTGCAATACAGCAGAAACGTAAGAATCGAGGACATAGAAACAAAGACCGAGATACAACTTTTTGTTTGGGGGGGGCAGCCCTGATAAATCAGTGTAATAACAGCCATATTTTACAAATTAAAATATTTTACCTATGCAGCTTAAGTTTTTTCCCCGGGCCCCCGGTATCTCGGTCCTTGCATAGAAAGTAATTCAATAAACTAAGTTTAATTTTTACTGGCACAGGGCTCTTCTTTTCTTTCCCAGAACGTCTTGATGGCACATTCTACCTCTTTCAAGAGATACTTATACGGTCCTTTTTTAGGCCGATTGCCAAGTCCTCAGGAACTGTCAAACTCAATAAGATAACTTTTTGTTTCTTCATTTCATTATTACATTGCAAAGATATGTGTTTTGATAAGAAGCAGGCTGAAAACCTCAAACCAAATATCTGAATCAAGATCATTAAACCATCAAAAATTAATACAAGCGTTTCGAGACTCAAAAAAATTTAGGCCTTGTAAAGCAACTTCAAATTACATGCAGCCTGATACCAGATTTAGAAACTAACTAGGGAATTTCACTTAACATCCAAGCCAAGTAGCCATTATTTTTTTAAATTGATTTTCTTTTAAATGCGACCTTTTCCTTTCGAGATGAATTAAAAGCAATCTAGGAAACTGTAATTTGCCGTCATTTGTGTGAAACCTTTTAGAGATAAAGTGGTTTCTAACAGTGTGTTTGAAAACAACTTACCGAAACGGTCTTTTAAATGTCTCACAAATCAATGGAGTAGATGCAAATAGAAAATAAAAAAACATACTGTCCGTGTTGCTTAATTTTCAAGGTACTATATTGAAAAATTATCACGAAACCAAAGAGCTAAAAACTGTATGAAAATGGTTGTCATTTACACGTGGGATTGGATACATCTAGCACCTAGCCGTGCCCTGGATGTGTTTGTGGGGAAGAGGGCTTTCCCTCCTCACATAAAAGCTGCATTTGCAGAGATAACACATTACTTTTAAAATCAGTTTCATTTGCTTGAAACAAGGTTTGTTACGTGGAATATTTTGCTTTATAAAGTTTCAAAGCATTCGCTAAAAAAACATTTAATTTTGTTACATTTCACAGAACGTTGGAAAAGTTAAAATGGTTAAATGTTGTTGATAGTTAATAGAGTGAATGTTTTTTAACTGAGAAGAAAAGTAAGCAGCTTGAAATCGAAATTGTTTCTGACTTCTTTCTAATAAAAATTATATTCTACGTTTTTCTGGATATTCTTCATTAAAAGCAAGTTAATTTGAAAATTTTTTTCAAGTGGCACATCCGTTCTTTTGAAGAACGAGATCAAGAACAGCCAAAGTGACAAGAGGGGCCAAAGGGTTCCTAAGTGGGGGTGGGGGTTGCCAGTTTTCGAGAAATTAGCTGTGTGAAAAGCAAGAGGCCTTGGGAGAGAGTCCTATGGCACTCCTAAAAAATATGTATCCTCCATGTCCGGATTAAAAAATATATTGGAAAAATAGAATAAAAGCTTATATTCCATCTTTTTACATTCCTCACTAAAAGAAATATTCTTTGTTCAAAGAAATTGTTAAAGATTTCACTCTGCAACATAACAACCACAATATGTCTATTCAAAAGTGAACGAAAAACACAGAAAAAATAAACTCAGAAACTTTAAGAAAAGGAAAAATAAACTTATGTTGGGTAAGTCAGCCAGTCAGTGACGTCCCTGATATTATCAACAAGAGAGTGAATTTTAGATAAAACTCAAGCAATCTTTTTGTTGAAATATGAAGACCCCCGTATCATTTAAAAATTCTTTAAGATTTCAACGGTATTATGAGTGCGTGATAGGTAGTTAAGCACACCAACCTTTTGCACGTTAGGACTTAGCAGAACGGCTTTTTGTTGAATAAGGGACAATTGCCTATGCTTAGATAAACTCCTTGCAACAAGAGCTACTTGTTGAAAGATAAATGAAAGCAGAATTCTTATAAAACCGAGCAAAAGGTTCTCAGAATGTGACTGGCACAATAGCAGAATGTCAAAAAGCTAAAAAGATAATGCATTTTTAAAGTAACACTTCTAACAGAAAAAAAGAAGGTTATGAAGAAAAATAAATGAAATTTATAGATTTTTGAAACTAAAAATATTGAGTATTTATAGATGCTTTGGGCAAAATTTAATTAAATAAGATCAAAATAAACCAAACTTTGTCTTGAGTAAATATATATTTGAGACAAAATCATAACCTTTTAGGTCACCAAATCTAAATGGCTCCATAAAGGCTTAGCTAATATGTTCACGGTATGGTTATCGTTCAACATCAAACGACAAGGAGACAAGTCAGTTAAGCTCGTTTAAACAGATGATGGCCGGTTTAAGATCAATGCAACTCACATTATACATTAAATAACAAGAACTGTAATTCATCATAAGATGGATTTCTTAAAGTGGCATACTACTTTAGATTTTGATGTTATTAACAGGTAATATCATCATCATAACCATCTAAAAATGTTATCACTGCTAGTATCGTTATTGATCACAGAAATGAATCGTTCAGGTATTCAAAACAACCGGAGTTCAGAATAATGACGAATAATGACGAAAAATAAACAATAATATAGCATAAAAAACAATTTGATAAATAACAGACGTACAGTGATATGAGATAGGAAGAGCAGTCACACTACTATGAGCAGTTATCAACAGTGCAAAAGAACGAACACGTGTAATCTTCAGTACAACAGAGAGACGCCGGGTGCATTTTTGAGTGCGAATCATCGAAAACCTTTCTATTGAAAAAAACGGGATCGTAAATCTTAAAAACTGCGCTTTTTCATAGCACCATCTGTCCAGACTGGCAGGAAGACATCTCGCTTGATATTCAAAACATCGGGTTTACTTCCTTTCATATAATTGAGTCATTGTCCCCAGGAACACATATTCTACCTTTTTTAAATCATACCCAGATGTCGAAGCGAAATTTGTCTTCAAGCACATGTACTCGTTGCTGTCAAACAACCCGAATAAGTGATTTTGTCAGGCTTTCCATTCGAAACATGCTTAAGCTCATTATCAAAGATTATGTATCTATAGAATGTCGTTGTTATCACCTGCAAACTCCTCTAATTTCCTTGTCGTTGATTTGCGGCAAATTATCTCAACTAGCAGCACAAATAGAGCCAGATGCCATCCTTGAGGAAGACCAAATAAGAATTTACTTGATGAGTATATTGCACTTGAAAATGAGCAAGTACTGAATTTGATGAGCTGTTTTGAATTCTAGGCTCAAATGGTTTCTCAACCATAGTGAATTCTTCCCAAATGGTTGTCTTTCACCAAGAGAAATTCGCCATATCATTAAATAAAATTTCATCAGCTTTTATCAACGTGCATTTGAAGTGGAACGAGGTTGAATTTCATCAGAGCTGATGTGTTGCAAAAAAGTCAATCCAGAGCAGCTTTATCCTCTTTGGTCACTTTGATCCGTTTTTGGGAATTATTTCGTCATAATTTCACCTAACGCTTCATAATCTGAATATTGGGTGATTATTGATTCATGGTGCATTGAGATATTGACAATTTTGCGAACTATAATAAAATTTGAAATGTTTTAGGCAAACAGTACGAATTCATAGAGATAAGAAGACTTAAAATGTACATTAAGATTAATGATGGAGAAAATAAGAATTAAGAAAGAAGAAATAAAGATAGCGATGGACATAAGTCAAACACAATTAATAGACGAAAGCTTGACAAAAACCTTTGCTCACTTCAGCCAGCAGGTCATACGATATTGATATCGTGATCGCTCGCATAGATATTCTTGTTGAAACTGTGTATTAAACAAGGTCTTGTTGTCACATAAGATTATCCCTTTGATTGGCGTTGCATATATAGATTTTTGTTTGAAACCAAGTCGTATTAATATAAGCTGCTGCAGCTTCATGATGTAAAGTGGTGGATATACGTGATTATGAAGATTGTTGAATCTCACGATAACATGATAAACCTGACGATTACGTGGAATTGAACGAAAAAGATGGCTTACATAAAGTAATAATGGCTATTATCAAGGTTCTATTTCTATAGCTGATTTTGGAAATACAAATAACATGTAAAGCATGTTTCATTTTGAAATTAAACAAAGGTATATACACTATAGTAAAAGGCTTTTACGCAACCGGTATGTTTTGCGACTTTATTTTTACAACCGGCCTAATATCGTACTACATGAAAGTGGCAATTACAGTACATTTCTCCTCGCGTAAAAAAGTAGCTACCGCAAAGCATGCCGGTGGCAGAAAAGCCTTTCACTAGAGTGTTAGATCTTAGAGTTTTTAAAATTTAAATAAGTTCGTTTTGCTGCTATTAAAAGAAGAAATTCACTGTTTTGTATTACATTGGCAAATTAAGGGTCTGTGAATAAAATGAAATCGAGACAAAGAAGTGTCAGAAAAACCAAGTATTTGCTGCATTGAATAATTTAACATTCCAAACGGATATTTACATTATTATTCAGCTGCGAATTCTACATATGAACAACTGGCAACTCTTCATATCAACAATAAAAACAACTGGAAAACGAACTTTAAATTCTAACTGTACAAACTAAAATTACTCTACTGTTTATTTAAATTCTGAGTCTCATGTTTGCACACCGACACAATTTTTTCTGTCTTTTTTAAAACCTTCTCGTCTCTTTGTTAGAGGAATCTGCACAAAAAAAAGAAAATTTGGTTAAACAAGTGCTTTCTTAAAAGCATCTAATCAAACGCATGATAATTTTGAAGTTGAGTCATATTTTAAATTTCTCTTTATGAAGAAGTACAGACGCACTAGCTATGCATATTTGTAGAACAACAAAGAAGATATGGTAGAGCTTGGCAAGCCTCGAGCACTAAACAACAAGCAGACGGCAACATAGATAATTTCAAAACACCCGAATCTCCCGTTAAATAATTACAGGAGTAAGGTTTAACAGATATTCACAGTCATTACTGTTAAGCTGTGTTTAAATTTTCTGGAGAAAGTTCTTAAAATACTTAATTTTGCTTTCTTATATATGAACTTTTGCAAGTCTTTCGCTAAGTATAAGCTTCCAAGACCTTGAAAGCTTAAGATGAGAAAAATACAAATTTTGCACAAAGACAGTGGTATGCAGAGAGCTGAGTCGTCATAATACGATTGGATGGACTAGTAGCACAGAACACCCGTGCATTACACTTTGCACGAAACTAAATAAGAGCATTACACCCTTGTAGAAACGACACCTTGTTTAGAAAATGTCCTTCCAGTTATTCACGGGCTTACTTTAAGTCGGTAAGTTACACAAAGTAAATTTGAACAGGACATTTAATTTTTTTTACTTCGTATTAATTTACTTAAAAAGGTCGAAAAAGCAAACATCAAGAAATAACAAGTCTTAAAAACGCCAATCTAATTATTAATTAAGGCTAACCGGATGAATGGGCGCCATCTTTTACAAAATCGATTCTTTTTATCCAGGCTCAATCCCGAAATCCTCTCTCGCTCAATTCTTGTGATCTCAAAGTGTTTAGTGTGTTAACGGCATGTTTTATGTCCGTAGTTTTATTCAATGCCATTCCAGATTATAAAGACAATGTTTAATTTGCATCGACTTGTTCTCGCGGAAATGACTAATAAGAATTCTTAATTTTCCAAGAGGTTTATCTTACAAAGTCTTCTATTGCCTAGCAACCACGAAAAAGCACGTAGTCCTTATCCGCCTAAGAAGCAACAAAGGTAAATAATATCATCTACTTCTTACCTGCCCCTTGCGACTTCAACCTGGCTTGTAGCATTTCGAGCTTCTTGATGTATGCATTCAGTGATGTGTTGGTTTCATCTAGTCCCGACGCGGAAAGTGACCTTTGATGCTTGTTTGGCGTATCAGTTCGCCTGTTCGGACTAGGCCCATGAGAAGCTGGACTCCTGGACCTCGAGGACGGTACGCTTGAATGGGTATTAAAATAACGAAAGTCACTGTCTAAAACAGGGGGTGATTCCCGGCTACGCATGGGTGAAGCTGGTCTCGGGTATGCCCGCGGTGGGCTGCGGTCAACATCGCGTGCAGCTGAGTAACTTGATGGCTCTGATTCTAATTCATCTCTTTGAAAGCGACCTCTTCTCTGACGAGTGGTCACGTGGTCAACACCTCTTTGGCGTCGCCTTCTTGGCTCAGCTTCTTGATCAGAGCTATGCGAGTCACTATGAATTCCATTTCTATGTTTTGGCTCTGTCACCTTCGCCACTGCTCGACCAGAACGTGAGTCCCCCATCTTACTTTTTTGTCCCCGGTTGTCATTCCCAACGGCTGGTTTGCTATGCGTATATTTGTCAGTTCTTTCAGGCACTAGCTCCAATGGTGCAGAGGGACTTGTGTTTACTCCATTTGAAGGTTTCTTGCTCGACTTAAGAGTTATTTTTGACATGGATTTGCTCCATTTTTTAACCAAAAATTTCATTCTCCAGGTAGCAATAACAACCCTGGCTGCTGTCCTAAAACGCATGAATGCCTTCGATTTGCCGTATGGCTGCTTTCTGGTGCCATCGACGTGCGAAACGTCGGTGATCTTTGCGATCATTGACAAAGTGATTGCTTCTGTTTCTTGGAATCCACCGAGGAGGAACAGTAAGTACTTCTTTTGGTAAATGAGCGCTTTGCGGAAGCTTTCAGCGCGCAGGCATCGTCCATACAACTTCTGAATCTGCAATTACAAACATGGAGTCACGCTTACTATAAGCAACATATCTGAAAAAATTGCATCATGGAATTGAACATCAAGATAATGTTAATTCATTTTTAAATATAAAATTTATAGATAAAAAAAGCAATTTGATCAAAAATGAAAACATCAATAGATTCAAAAGTAACCAAAGTGAAAGAACACTCTCACAAACACAAATTCTAGGATGGCTGCTAGCATAAATTTCAGGGTTCAGGAGACTGAAAAAACTCCAGAGCACTTGTATTACATCCGTTTTGAAAAACAGAAGTAGCACTTACTTTTTGAAGAGTCCATCCGGATTCTGCTACTTTGCTGCTATCGATGTTATCATCTGGCTGTGAACTTACTTCAGATCTAACGGGAGAGTTTTTCAAATTAGCATTCTCAATAGATGCTTTATCAAGAGCACGTTCCATCGCATTTCTCTCCGCTTCAAGTTTCAACAGATCAGATTTCAAAGTGCTTCGCTCTGCCTCCCACCTTAACTGCTCCGATTTCAATTCTGATTGGGCCTCCCTCCCTAACTCGTGTGCTGCCTCAACCTCTGCCTCTCTCTTTCTATATTCCATAACCTGCTCTTCAAGTGCACTTAAAGTCACGCGGAATTCCGATTTCTCTTTTACCAATTTCCTGATATGGTCTCTTAGTTCCTCGTTTTTATTGTGAGCCTGTTCCAATCTAGCCAAAGGAGAATTTGCCGACTGATCATTCTCTTCCAAGGCTCGTAAATCTTGCTGCAGATGGCTTAATTCTTGGACAAGCGCTGCCAATGCATCATGGGTGGACTGCAGCTCCTTAATGTGCCTTTCAGATGGACGCTCGGCACCATATGTCATTCTGTTTAGGTAAAGAATACAAGCTCAAGAATTGAAGCTTTCTTCACAAAAATCAGTCACTGAGGATGGGCAAAATCATGATTGACGTGTTTAAAAATCCTCAAAAAACAAAGACTTTAAAAATCACAAGCCAAAATTTTGATAGCTGAAGCTATGACGAGTAAAATTTAGATGGCAAAACGACTATCCTTCAAGTGAAAAACTTCGACACATATTGAAACAATCTCTGTAACAAATACTTGGAGAACTTATTTATTTGAAGTCTGACAAAAACTTCTAACTGTATTTGCATCTTAGTGAGTAAATTATATGAAATAAATTATACCGTTGTTGCTCGTTGACTATAACGTCTTGGCAATGGGTGACCAGTTTTGTGCATCGTGTTATGAATGGGTCGAGAGCTCTCGAAGACAACGAGCAGGAGCCTCTAGGGCTCTTTTCTGGCGTTGCTCCCCGATCTGTGTTTGGACCATCTACTTCCTCAATAGACTCCCTCATTCTCTCATACTGGCTTCTTGACGTTTCGTATTTAAGCTAAAATTAATGACAAAAAGTTGAGTTTTTTAGCATTTATCGTGAAAAAAATCTAAAACAAGGTTTGATTTGAGAAAGGGAAGTCGGAGCAGAATGAAGATTAATCTAATTGGTTACTGGTGTAGCAGAGAGGGGGAATTCGGTACAGTTATAATTGAAGATATGGAATATACAGTTTGATATGATAAAGTTTCGAACCTGCAAATTCTGTAGTGCATCGCGCAGTTGCTTGCTAGTTGCACGTTCTCTGTCGAGCTCATCAGCTGATTCTCGTTTGCATTTGGCAACCGTCTCGCTTAACCGCTCAGCATTTTGCTTCTTGATATCTATAAAGATAATACAAGATATTGATTAGAAAAAACACTACTGACAACTGATTTCCATTTGACTGGCCTTAACACAAGGCTCAGAGTTCACTCACATCATACTTAAACATGAAAAGGTGCTGCGGTAATAAATAATAGCACATTTTGGTTAGAATTACTAAATCCTGGATACCTTTTTCCTTCATGCACACATCAGTAGAATAACTTTTTAGCTTCAAAAGTCCCGCCTACTTGAAACTCTGGTTTGCAAAATTTACACATATCAAACTAGAGAAACGAAAATAGAGAAAGCATGGTAATTTTGACACCATTTATCAACAGAAGTGAACAAACCTGAAATTTTAAGAGCACTTTCGGATTTCAAGGACATTATTTCAGCATCTTGACTAGCAACCTTTGCATCCGCTCTGTCCAATTCATTCCTTAGATTGCCCAACATCGTTTCAAGTTTCTCTATCTCTCTCGCATCATGCTGCCCTTTTTCTTCAGTTTCACTCTGGGAATCCCTCTGTTCTTTCAAAGCTGTTTCTTGCTCGATACGACGCTTCTTCTCCTCGTCAAAAAGTTTCCTCATCTCTTCCAAATTTGCATGGTAACGTTCAGCAATCTTCTCGAGTCTCTGCCTTTCATTTTTCTCTTGTGCAGCTTTTGATTTTAGTTCTTCACAAATGCCTTCGATTTTCTGTGCATGTGCCTGGTCCAGCTCGGCTGCCTGTTCATGAAAAGATATAACAGAATTAAAAAACTATCCCCGTTTAAAAATGCTGAAGATTGCCGTAAAACATTATCATGTAACACTGAAATCACTGTGAGGCCTTAAACTTCAAATACGTTTTAGTACAAAAAGTTTCTCAAGAAGCATCCTTCACTCTAAAGAACAGCTTTGCTAAAAAATTTAAGAACGCACAAACCTTGAGAAGTCGGTTTCTCTCCTCCTTTAATTCTCCAACAAGGTCTGAAAGCTGTTGATTCTTTTCTGACTCTTCTGAAAGGACAACTTTCATGTCCTCAAGATTTTCATTTTCTGAAGCAATTATTTCTTCCAATCGCTTTCTCTCCTCGGCCAAATGCTTCTCTAATTCCGAAGAGCGCTTCTTCTCTATCGTTATTTGATCGGAAAGGGCTTGGCTCGAAGACTGTTCTTTTGCCATCATTGCCCTGAAATGATTAAATTTCATTGGTTAAAAATAATAACCAACTGCAAGAAAAATTTCGCTTGATCATACCCAGCAATAAAAAATAACCTATTTTAGAACTTTTTTCTTGGAATCTGAAATTCCACCTACGGGCTTTGGAAATGTAAATGGGAACCCCTTTTTGTTGACACCATCTGTCTTGTTAAGAGCTGATGTTCTACATGCCCTTCACAAAAAAACTCAAAATGTGATTGGATGCTAGGTCTTAAACGGGGGTCTTGCTGAACTTGCAGGCTAGTTTCTGTCGTTGCGCATAACGTCACTAAGTCTGTTATTTAATAATTACTCAACCATCTTTATAATTTCTAAAGCCAACGATCCAGCGAAACACATGCAATAACCACAAATGCAGACTTGGTTCACTTCCCCCCTCTTCCAATTGCACATTTTTTCAACAATAAGAAACCTGAAACATTTGCGAGTAATTCAGCAACTAACCGTATATTTTTCAATTCCTTGCGCTCATTTTCCAACGATTTAATAAGGTCTGTTATCTTTTCTTCGTCTATTTCAGCAGCCCTTTGCAAATCTGAAACGGTGTCCCTCTCGTTGCTTATCAGTTTCTCAAGCTCTAAGTTCCTGATTTTCTCTTGTTCCACTTGTGATCGAAGCTGTGCAGAAGCAGCTCTCTCCTGGTCCACGAGGCTTGCTTGAGAATTGTCTAAAAAAGACCAATTAATCAGAGGTTAGTACACAAGATTTACATAAAAACCTATGATTATCACACCAAGAAAAAAAGGCGTGTACCCTCAAATATCAGATAAAATCACTTACATTGAAGCGTGAGGTTGTCTGCTTTCACTTCTGCCTTCTCGGCTTCCGATTGCAAATCTTCCAACAGTTCTTTGTAGCTATCAGCCTAAAGACAACACAATTAAACTACAAACTGCTGACTAGACACATCGAAATATCAAACAATATGGGTTATTTATTAAAGAAAACCTTGGCATTGAAAATATAATGAAGCAACTGAGTAATGGTGAACTTACAGTAGGCCATTGTTGACCTTGTTTTCATTGTTTTAGAAATTGATTAGCTGCTGGACATTCTTTTAAACAGACGTTTTATTCACATGCTATAAGGGAGGGTGATTAAAAACAAAATGGCCCTTGAAGCTACTGACCTTTTGTTCAAGCTCCTCCGCAGCAACCCTGAATCTGGAAATTTCTTGAAGATATGATTCACGTTCTTGGTCGCTCAACAAATTCAAAGTTTGCGAATGCTGTTTCCTCTGTAATAAAAAACATATAATATGAATTCGTACATCATAAGCATCAATTGAGGGTTTAGAAGAAAGAGGCATAATGGCAAGCGTGTGATTGATTACGACCCTGTCTATCTAAAGCTGCTTACGAATTTATATATCGAATATATCAGGAAAACAGCACAAAATGATGGAAATTAGCTTGCCCTGACTTCATGGATTTTCAAAAAATCTTTTTCTTAATTTACAAAATCAGCATTATCACGAATTATTGGAAGTATATAGGAAGAAAGTTTATTGAAAAACAGGACTCGATCTTTATGGGAATTCCTGAAATATTTACCTGATTGCCCAGTCTTTTTCTTTTGGCCGTAGCCAAATCCAAAGGTTGTTCAGCCGACTCTGGGACCCTTTCCAGGGTCTCAATCTCTGCACTTAGAAAATCTGATTCAAGATTGAATACCTACGATAGCAAATAAAAATAATCAGGAATGTCGACTTTGCATAATTAACTAAACAAAAGAATTGATAATGTTTATTTCATACAGCTAATGAATGAAAAACACAGGGAAGGTTCCGTTTGCCGCTTTGCGGTTTTAGAGAAAAATACAGAGATACGCCGATTAATCTGCGGTCCTGAAGACAAGCTGCTCAGGAGCTTTTTCACTCGCCGCCGCTGACCCTCTTTGAATGTACGTGAAAATCGCATTGTTTCTAGATTTCTAATCCAAACACGTAAAGTTTGTAAAGGGGTTTGGCACACAATATTGACGTGCAATGCAGAGAGTGAGGTGAAATAAAAATGTAAGGTCTATGGACGCACTTCATCATCATCTAGAGAATTATGCTTGAAAAATCGGGGGGAAAACAATTAGTCAAGGGCAATGTATTTGCTTCACTAAAAACATCTGAATAATAACATAAAAAGCACAGAGACGTAAATTGCCATCAATTGATTTCAACTTAACAAATGAACAGATCAAGATGTTGTAGCATTTACGTATAATTCTTTCAATTGGTGGGTAAATCCATAAATCAAGACATTTAATGCCTCTTCGAACTGAATTAAAAAGATGCAAACCTCTTCGATAGCTTTTAGCAGACCAGCTCTCCAGTCTTCCCCAACATTTTCTGCGTCAGTCTGTTGAAGCAAGAAATCTCTTATAAAAATGGCTGATTCTAATTCGATTAAAGAATTAGGACTAAGTCAACTTCAGAAAGCGCACATTTGGATTAAAGAAGCACAAACGGACAGAAAAAAGCGATCTAGGTAGAGTAGCCTAAGAGCTTAGTTGATTGTCTGCTGTTTTAACTCCAAGGTTGGACAAATGCCTGGGAAAACAAGGTCGAGAAACATTAGCTTTGCTGCGGTTTGAATGGCATTTTCCCACTGAACCCGCTAGTCCTAAACCAGGCAATACAAAATTTACTACTCTTACAAACACAGTGAGTTACTGTGACGCCTCCTGGTGGCAATTATGTACCTAAATGAATACTTCACAAAAAAAGTGTGATGAAAAATTTAGAGTACAGACGCAGTTGACTGCATCTTAACAATAAGTTTGGATTTACTCTAAAAGGATCTTACCGCAGCAGCATTACTAGCTCTTGAAACGAGCTCTCGCAAAGCTTTGACTGCCTCCAGTAGAATCTGCTTTTCTTTTGCCCATGAATTCTGCAGTTCTTGAATATTCATGATGTCGTCTGCATTGATTTGGTAAGAGGTTACCAGATGGGCGATCTTCTCTGCCTCAGTTTGCAGTTCATTTAGCAATGACTAGGAAGCAAGATTTCAAATACAGTTGAGCAAATCTAACTAACGGTTACCCAACAAATGGAAAAGGCAAGGTGGAAATTCTTGTTTCCAGTGCAGAGGACGTTCAGAGGTAAATTAAATTGATTTTCATAGAAGCTTAATTTATTTTAATATACTTAACTCGCAGATCTACTTGACGAACTCTTAATGTAAATAGATGGGGTGGGGGGGGGGGGGGGGGGGTATGAATTTAGTTAAATCTGCTACCTTTTGAAATAAAGCGTGTTACTCGCAGTGACCATCATTGTCATACAGTAGTAAAAAAAATTACATAGGCAGACCAGCCTGACCAGCATCTCTCGTGCGATCATTGAAACAAGTAACTACAAAGCAGATAGGCCCTCTCACCTCAACGGGAGTCCCTTCGTCCTCAGCAACTGGCATCTGTGACTCATTCAATGTCCTGTTTTTGAAGAAGTGCTCGAGCAGTTGCAGATTGACGCGTTCAGCTGCACCAATTTGCTCCTCAAATTTCTGACCAAGCTCACTCATTTCAACTGAAAAATATTGGTTTATGCAAATTAAAATATTACTAAAAACTTCAACAAAATTCAACCTAACAAACTACAAGGTGCACAGAAGACCCACTGAAGAAGTGGAGTTGCGGCTCTCAAGGCAACATCAACCCAATCTGTTTTTCACAAAATAAAACAATCTTGTAACAAGAATCTTAATTTTTTGTTTAACCACTGGAACTCTATAAGATAGTGTACAGATTAGCTTAATACCTACATTACTTGCTAATTTTAAAGGCAGCCAACGTAATCGATAATACCCACCTCGTGACACTTCCAGCATATTGTCAATCTCATTCTGGTGTTCCTCTTTCAGACGTGCTATCTTCTCGTTGCTTGCTTTTTCCATCTCCTTTTTAATGTGATGTATGGTCTTCTGGAGGTTCAACTCATACTTTTCTACAAGTAGTTGGCGTTCCTCATCGGCAGCTAAAATTGCTTGCTTCATTTGCTTTATCTCTTCTTGCTGGTCGTTCAGCTTTTCTTCGAGGATTTTCACCTGAAATTAAAAAGCAATTAAATTTCCATTAATTCACAGCTAAGGTGTGCTTTCTAATAGGTGAGGATATTTTCAAGTAAAATTATGCAATCTTTCCGAATATTTCCCAAGAAAATTTTTTTTTGCAAATAGAACTTATATTTACAGTGTAGCAAGAAGCTTTAAGGAAAATTGCTTGTCGTTCGAGGACATATATTCAATGTATAATCGAAAGAACATAATGTTTACAAACCTTTTTAGATTTGGTTTCAGCATCTTCTCCGTCTCCCTGCGATCTTCTGGCATTCAGCTTTTCAAGCAGCGCTTGGATTTCATTATCCTTTTCCAAAACCATTTCTCGTTCCCTATTTATCTCCTCTTCTAATCCTTTGATATGCTGTTCACGCTCCTCTTCTGACCCTTGTTTCTCCAACAATTCGCGTATCTTCTCTTGTTGGTTGTCGATTGTGGACCTCTGTTCATGCACTGTCTCCTTCAAGCCGGCGAGTTCGGCCGACGCAGCAGTTAGTTGCTTCTCCTACAAAAACGCAAAAGAAATGTTAAACAAACATAGATACGCGAATTTCAATAGAGTGACAACCTTGGGGGGCTAATAACACATGTTGGAACACGCGTTATATAAACATTCCCCTTTGAAAACAATTGGTCTCTAAACAAACGCTCCTTTCTGTAAACAACCGAACAATTGCTATTGTTCTGGTTCTTTGCGGGGCTCAAAGTACATGTTTTTTAATTGTATTTTGTTCAAATTACATAGAAAATAAATTTTTTAAGTAGCTTCAAATAACCTTGAGTTTGTAACTAAATATGATACAAAAATGTCGTTTTGCAGTGATGAACTGTGATAAAGCGGCCGGGAAAACCATGAAACCACCAAAATTGCTCATTCTTGACTGGAACGCTCCAATTACCTAAGTTAAAGCCCCCCCCTTCAGTCAATTGATCATACCATCACACTTGATCTTAGAGGAGAAGCAAGAATGCACTCAGGGTGCTCTTATCCAAGAAAATTGAACGTAAATTTGCTTTTTACGACAAGAAGGAGATCTCTTTTAGAAAAAAAAACATTAAAATTAGTACAGATTCACTCAAAAACTCCGAAATCTATAGCCTGTACCCAAAGGTTTTTCATTTTTCTCAACACTAACATCAATTGACTAATATTTACTGACAATAGATCGCACAAATCGCATTTCGTATTCAATGCAAACTTTTCTATGATTTATTATCACTTATTGTAAATTGGCGTGTATCTGCACACATCATGTCCTGGTTGCAAATTGAATCAACACTATAGGATTTCTCAAATTTATAGGTATTTTAAAAAAATTCAGAGCAATTGCATTTAACAATAGTTCTCAACGGCCAACAGCAACAAATTTCCCTGGAAACAATGTTCCTTTCGATGTTTCATAATATTCATTAACAACCCCCCTCCCACTCCGGCTTCTAACTAAACGTCTTTTGAAAGCTCATAGTTCCCTTTAATTACAAAAACAAACAAGATTAACTACACCAAGTGTTGTGATATGTACGATACTTCTGTATTAGTAAACTAGAAGTGAGTTTAAATTTGGTTAATAAGTAGGTAAAAAGTAGGTTAATATGTAATGATGAATCACCCTTTGATTTTCATCCGAGCTGGATTTCAACCTCCCCCCCCCCTAACTACTCAAAACATCTCTAACGCTTTTCTGTTCAGAGTCCATTGTTGACTTTAAGAAATTTTCATATCTTTCCTCTCCTCATCGACACGGGATTCCCTTTCCGAATCCCGACTTCACAAGGAAACAGTCTACTGAAGAACAAAGCATCATTTCATGTATGCAGTGATATCAATATAGAATTTCGGATTGTTTGCTCATCATAGCGAAAACGCTATTTCGAGTTTAGCAAATTATTAAGGTCCATTCTAAAAGCAAGGGGACTGAAGACATGTGACAATCTTCCACGAATTATGGAAGATTCGATCTGTTCATCACAAAGCAACTATATGTACTCATTCGTTGTACATAAAATTGTAAGCAAAGGACGCAACAAAAATGCGACGTTTGTGGTTAGTGACCTATTCGATACAACGGGGCATTTTCAAATGTTTGCCTGAAATGCTTAATCAAAGCGATTGGTATGGTTTAAACATTACTTTTAAATATGTCGAATCGCTAAGTGAAGAGAGAACCGATCCTTTATCAGAATGAAATCAGACATGTCTTGTAAATTTATTAAACAGTCTTCTAAGCTTTAGAGAACCATGTCGCTACTCAAATATAAAAACCCTTCTTTTCTGGGAAACATTGTTCAGCTTTAAGAGAAATTACAGTGAGTTTGCTGGGCAAAATAAAAGGAACAGATGGCGAAATTGTTTTATTATTGAAACTAGTAATGTCGCTCAAAAGTAAAGGCAAAAAGAAAACGTGTTCAAGCCTTCCCAAGCGGCAATATTTTAAAATACAATAGCAGGGCGGCGGTCATATGAGACCAAACAGACAGAAGGCGGCTAAAAGGACACGCGTCGTGTACACGATCAAACAATCTAGACATTGAAAGCTCGGACAATGACACGTGCCGTGGTGCATTCGAACTCATCCCTTGCGGGTATGGAAAAAACCTTTGCGGTCACGGAAATAAACTTACCAAGTAACTACAATTACATTAACCTACATAAAATACTTTCAAAATAGGACCAACAAAATAGAAACGATTTTCCTAGGATTAAGGCTGTCAAACGACACGAGCACATAGTTATCTTATAGGTATCATGTTACTATTGGAAAATCCCGGAGGGATCTAGTTGTCAATTGGGAGGCACAACTAAGCCGATAACAACAAGTAACACGTGTCTTTATTTTGCATAAATCAGCTGATTCAAAGACACGCGCGTAACGGGGCAGCCAATAGGAGAGCAATGTTTTGAAATAACGAACTTTTTAGATTTGAATGTATAACAGGTGACGCCCAATCCAAACCCAAAAGTGGTCCGATGACGATCTCTTATCTAAATTGCGAATTCCTGTCAATGTATATCCTTTAAGATATATGTTTATAAGGGAACAATTGTCTTTAACAGAATGTTCAGTTCTAAAGTTAACTCTTTTAACAAAAATGATTCTAGAAAATTTAAATAGTTCCACCTTCTAATAAAATACTAAAATGCTCCAAAAATGGAAAGATAATACGCACCTTTTCCTTTAGAGATTGCTTGATGATGCTTCTATCGTGATTTACTTGAGAAAATTCGACATTTTTATTTTCTAAAACACTCTTTGTGCTTGATAGCTCTTCAAATATGTTTTCCTTGTCTGCTAGTAATTCTTTGGCCCTCTTTAGATCGGCCTGGAGAAAAAAGGAAATTTGAAAAAAATAATCAAAAGTTGAAATTTAATTACATATAAACCCAAAAAATTGAGAAGCAAAATTACGATTTAAAAGTCAGTGTCTAAATTTCAAGAGACAAAGGGAACCGTTGAGGATGGGGAAAATATCTCCAACGTTGAAGAACTTCTTCGGGGGGAGTTCCTTCAACGAAAGGTGTGTTAGAATTGCACATAAAATCTTGATTTACGGTAAAAATGTTTCTTATGACCATAACTGTACATCGAAAAAAGAAAGTTTATTAAGAGTTTGCATTATCTGAAGGCACAAAACATCTTAAATTCAGTTGAGGCTGTGGAGAACGAGCGATCGGCTATACAAAGATAAAATAATAAATTGCTAAATATCACACAAATACGCAAACCTAAAGTGTGTTAAAATATAATGTCTTGGGAGAAAGAAAAAATATCAGAGAAGAACCGTGTCGCAGGTGAGAAAATTCTGAACCCGTACAGCGGTTTCTTCTCAGGCGTCATTTTGTACAGCGGTAGGTGATGGCGGACGCTGTACAAAGTCATCGTGTCATAGTAAAAAGTGTTCAGCGGTCGTTTTCTTGGAAAAAAACCTGTAAAATGTACCTGAAGGAACTTTTCAGTGAAAATGCTGCTTGATCGTCGTAGAGTACCCATGTCTTTGCGTGGAAACTTATCAATGACGACCTAAATCAGTACCTCATCCCAATATAATCAACGGCTCGTGCTGGCTCGTGCAAGAATAGAAGTGGTTTATTAGCTTTGGCTGATACCGAATCAAACACACGCGACCAAAATTCGAATTTGCCGCGTTAACAATCCAGCCAGCTGGCCTCGTTCCGTAAGGACAATGGTGCTTGAGGTCGTAAGACAATAGACGCGCAAATATTACAATAAACATCACACGCGACCATTGTCAAAAATACGGAAATCAAAATAAAATCTTAGTTTTTAAAAGCAGGATTTATGTAGGATTAAATTTCATTCATGAAGCAACTTTAGATGCTAATAATTCATAAAGGACGAATCGTTTATTTCAATTATGGTGGTTACCTCAAATGAAATTTTCACGCAGTCTTTATTCCCAAGGCCAGTCTGGTGAATTTTCAAAACAGAGAATATTATAATGTAAAATCAAATGTTTGCTCGCAAAAGTTTTCAGGAAATTTTGCTCATAAAAACTCATAAAATTGTTCATAAAATGCTTTACGCAGGGAAGGGTTCGTTTGGTCAGATACTTTTGAAAACAATGCTTTCAGTTCATCTTGCTGTTAGGATATTTGCAGAAACTTTGATTTAACTGAAAATCTCCATTCGCAGCAAAACTTTAAATGTAGTCGATAAAGAGAAGGGTGCCCGAACCAGTTTTTCATTATATTATATCATTTGGCATAATGAAACTGCCTTACGAAAAGTTTCTAAACGAAATGAGTTGGCCCAAATTGACAACAAGACATGAAGAAGCAGCGCTTGCAAAATAAGTAATAGAGCAAAATTAAGCGTTTTCGCATCATTTAGTCTCTGCTTGAAAAAATTGCTTCTTCTTTCTCGGGAGAATGAACTTGCCCCTTAGTACCAACAACAAAAATACATGGCACAAATGAACATCGAACGTTTCATCGCTCTGTTGTTTTTTGTATCTTTAGAACGATTTCAAGAAAACAAAACAAATTAAACCATTCTAACGACCATTTCATTGAACAGTTCAGAGGAGCGATGGGCGTTTAAACTTTGCAACGCCAATTCCGCACGGTTTCCAGTTGAATGAGATGCACTAATGTCGTACACTCTGTAGCTACTGAATCAATTCATCTAAATAAAGCAAAATATGTGGAAAAGATGGCACTTGAGTGTCCGTGAAACTTGAATGGCATCCTGTATCCAAATGACAACAAGGATGTGTAAAATAACAACAGGCGTTGATATCCTATTGACACCTACAACCCGCTTTCTATATATCTTTGTTGCGTCTTCTTAACAATTTAAAAACTTAACAGTCAACAATTCTTCACATAATTCATGTCTCTTGTTAGCAGTGGTATAGTTTTTCTTAACGCTGATGTTCAATCTTTGAATAAAATTTGCCATGCTCTCTTCGGCGTTCCTTAATTCACGGAATAATACAATCTCTCCCAAGCATTAATGCGACACAAAAACAAGCAGCATATCATCTTTTAAGTGAAAGGGCACGAAATATCCAATAATATTATGGGCACAGAAACGAGGGAAGTATTAGTTATTATACTTCGTTAATAGAAGAATCTACCAAGAAAAATTCTTACTTATAGCCGTGGATTCTAAATTAAAAGGGTTTGTTTCGAGGTCTTAGTTATTAACTGATCATATCACAATAACTCGCCTCACAGTGCCCACATTACACAAATAACAACTATACGATGGTGAGCACCCTTCCTGAATCTAAAAAAGACTGGAAGCTAACATTGTTTTATTATGTTAATGATGCTTCTGTCGATCTTTCTGCTGTACACATTACAATCATTGTTTTAGTAGAGCCATTAATCACTTCATAATCTCAGCACGAGCCGTACGCCTCTCACTGCCCTGTTGTAGCCTTGCAGAGGGGAACGGGTTGTGTGTACGAGTTGGCCTGTGATAAAAGATGCTAGTATGCATCAGACATTCGCCCTTTGAAATGGGCAGCCATATCAAAACAGAAATGCCACGATAGGACGCATAAGTTATACGCTGTTCAGGCCTAGGGTTGATGCTTTTCTTTAATGGGTAAAACGAACATTTATCCCGACACTCTTTAAGCTCACGCCAGAAAATGTACTAATAGTTTGCGAAAACATATAAGTCAAGGCTACTTCTGTGAAGCTAATAAATTTCATCTGACTTCCCCTCCAACGTTGTTTTGCCAACTTTTTGCAATCACATACGCTGTATCAGCATGAGTTTGGTTCTCCCTTCTTTGCGGAAAATATTCAATTTCCAGTCTTTGCGAAGGGCGCTTTTTTCGGAGAAGTAGGTATTAGGGTGAAAGTTAACCAGAATGTTTACCATGGAGAATGGGAACAGGGCATGCCTCTGTTTCAGTCATTTTCAAGAGCACCTTCGAATTATTGGCTGGCAAAAGCACATTGAGTACTTTTTTCCCGTTGATGTGTATAAAGATGATTGTGTAGCATCATAACAGCATTACTTTGAAAGCAATAAACTTCTGCGAAATGAGCACAGTCCTGAGTTTAATATTTTATATTTTTTAGTACCGCAAATTGTCGGACAAAAAGTACTACAGTGTGCTATGCAGGAAGTTTATTAGAAGCTGGCAACCGGCAAAAGCCCGTCGTTTACTCGCCAAAACCTTAGCCGCCTACTTTCACCCTCACTTTAGTCTCACCAAGACTGCACAAACTTAAGTAAACTTATAGATCCCTACCTTAAAATGTAAGCCTTATACCTTAATGATTACCCTGGCTGCCAAAATTAACGAAAACCCTGCCTATGTTTTCGCAATTTCTTGACAATTCTACTCACCTCATTTTTGGGCAGACACTATAATTCAACTCCGATTTGTCAACTCCCAGCTTCACGAGCGTTTCATCCATATGTTAATCCATAATTGGTAAACTTTAGGACCCCGAAGTAATACATGCCTAATGAAAAAAAATTAAAAAATAAGTTGAGAGAAAGGGAATATAAATACCTGAAGAGCCTCTAACTCCGTCTCCTGTTTCTGCATATCTGTCTTTAATTTGTCATTCTCCGAAGCTAGAAGCTTGAAGTTCAACTCAAGACTTCTTTTTCGGTGCAGGACGACTCCCTTTTCTTCTCTTTCTGACTCAAAACCCTCGTTCGCACTCTTGTATAAGTCATCCTCAAGCTCCGTGATTTTATTCAATAGCTCTAACTCAGTCTCGTGTTTCTGATCAAGCTCACACGATAAAGCGTCATTATTTTCTTTAAAACTTTCAATAATGTCTTTTAGATTCTGTATCTCTTTAAGAAGGTCAGCAGTATCCCTTCCATCGCCCTCTGGCCTACCAGACTGGCCCGATGGGCTAGACCCAGGTGACCCGGGTGTGCTGTGAGATCTATTAGTGCTACTGGGACCATCAACGTCATCCAGTTCGCCCTCTCTTGAAGCTGCCTCTTCTTGGGCAATACGCCTCTCTTCCAAAGTTTCTTCGAAAGCAGATTCTAAAGACTTGTTCTTCTTTCTCAATGCTTCATTTTGCTGGGCAAGATCGATGTTACTTTGCAATGTTTCGCTTATATTCAGACGAAGTCTCTCGGCCTCTTGGCTTGCATTCGTCATGTTTGTTTTAGCTTCTTTTAGCTGCCCTCTCAATTTTTCTTTCTCCTCAGAGAGGGTCTCAACCTCTTCTTTTAGCTCATAAATCTCGGCCAGGACGTCTTGGAAATCGTCGCCTGACAGAGAAACAGCTTTGGAAAGTCGTCCTTCTAAGTCTTTGTTCTCTAGTTTAAGCCTATAAATTTCCTTTTCTTGGTGGGTCCTCAGATCTGCTAAATTCATTTCAAGGTCTTTCTTAAACTTGGCTAACACCTCTTTCTCCGCCTCTGATTCAATAAGCTTTTCTTCCATGCTTCTCAAATCGTCATTCTTCGTTCTATTATCTTTTTGCAGCTCATCAACCTTGTGTCTCAACTCACTATTTTCTTTTTTCGTCGACTGCAAATCTGACTGTTTCTGTCTCGCATCCTTCTCCCAATCTGACTTCAATTTACCTTCCTTTTCCAAGTCCTTCAGCGCTTTCTTCAAATTTTCTGCGATCTCCTCTTGCCGTTTTTTATGCTCCTCCTCAGCTTCGCTTGATCGGGCAACGGCATCATCATACGATTGACGAGCCTCGTTTGTCTATAAAAAATCGAGCATTTAGAATTAACTAAAATGGTGGGTTTACGCCTAATTTAAATTTAAATAGTCAACTTTATCAGTAATGTGTATTTAGCCAAAGGAAACTTTTGAGAAACATCTCTACGCGGATGAACGCTAAAAATCTCATCCTCTGCTTGTGCCTTTAGAAACCTGTAAACAAGTGTTTGTCTTTCTCCGTTACTATCGCTGTCAGTCATCAGCTTGGAATTGATAGAAAAAATTGGATTCCAAAAACATTTTACAATCGGCGAAAGAAAAGCTGACATCAAACGTTTGTAAAAGAAATGTAACAGAACAGTACCTGTCTTGTTGACAGGGAGAGCATTTTCAGTAGGTGCTCCACGGCAGTATGCAGTCTTTCACCAACACCTACACAAGGAAACATACACGATATAGCTAGACATGTATAACTGCAAAAAGTGAATGGGCTCATGGTCCTAGATAATGATTCTCGATTTTCGGAGAGTCAATCAGCTAGATCACTTTCGAAATGTCTGTTAACGCGAGTTAAACATCCAATAGATCAATATTAAGAGCATATAACAACAAAATTCCCTTCCTGCCAAAATGAAAATACAACAAATGTGTATACATCAATCAAAAATTCTAAAGGAAATAAATGTATTTGTTCAGCTTTCAACCGACAGCTACTGTAAAACGATGTCTGAGAGTAAATATGAGAGTAAATATGTGCGAGTGACGAGACCCAGGCAGGACTCGAACCCACGATCAGCGACTCTGTAAGATCTTTTTCAAAAACCGGGGCAAGGTTTTTTAACTTAATGAAATCTCTATTGCTGTTTTATGGTTGCATGTATCAGCATCCGTTATAGTGCAACACTAACATTAAAAAAGGCCGTTATTTTTATAGAACATAGATAGATGGAATACAATTTTGGCCTATCGCTAACAGCTTCGACATTTCACTTCCAAAAAGGTTTTCAGATCTAAGAAAAAAATAATTCACCTCGGACAATCTCTTCGCCGTTGGCATCCAGCTCTGCTCCAGAAAAGAGATGTTCTCTCGAAACGAAAGATAGATCTAGGCCTTCATCACTCAGCAAGGAACCGCCACTTAGGTTGGAGTACTGTGTAGTGTCACCAAAAGTTGTGTCGCTTAGTGTTTTGTCTGGAATAAAAATAACATAATACCTATTATAGATAAGATGCCTCAAATACTGGTTATCTTTAAAAGCTCATTTCTACGCAATACTATTAACGACATTAGTTTGGCATAGCTAACTGACAATGCAGTATCGATATGTTTCACGTAACAAAATTGCGAATAAAGTACCTTTTATTAGATGCATACAAATACAATGTTTTACAAGGGGCAACTATGCAACGTAAGAATACAGCTGCATTTGCATCACAGGGGTTGCACTTATCTGAGTTGTATAATTGTCACTGAACGCTTTCGGTGTATACAACAGGGCGGTTCTAAGTTGCTACTCCGAGTATCACTCTTGATGTAATTCATAATCACTTTAGACAAATAATATAAGGAACAAATTGTGAAAATATATTTCCAGTCTACAGTGTCTTCAGTTTCTCAGAATTGGGTAGATGGGCATATGCCTCTAAAAATGAAGGTAACAATCAGAATGCTTGTGAAAAAGGCTCTGGCCCGCAAACAGCCGTACCTTTCTTTGACTTGCTGGGTGATGTACCAAACAAGCGGAAGCCTCGACCGTGGTGTCCCCCGCCATTAGCGCCTCCGCGGCTTCTGCTGGCATCAAGGCCACTTTCGGTCCTGCTGGCCTCTTGTATCATGGTATCCAAACGGCGATTTATGAGGTCTTCGATTAGAACAGATGTACGGACGGCATTCGAGAGAGTCTGTAAAACGCGCTCACTTGCATTCTTTATCTTGCCCCTAGAAAAAGTTAAAATATTTTCAATTAAGATAAGAGGTTCTCAATAAAGATCCGACAGTACACACAGGGGAGGGTAATAAAGAAAAGATGTTACAAAAACGTCTGAAAAGATGCTACCAAGATACATTATTCAAAACTACACTCTATATATATTATTCACAATATAAAAAAACATTTATTTAGCCACCTAGTCTCCAGGTCACCCAGCATTTAAACTCTTCGAAATTCAGTGAACAGGTAAATACTTCCAAGCCAAATTCAGATCTTGACATTTTAGATCTACAATCTCAAATCTTTTCATGTTAGCTCGAATGCGATGAGCTAAGGAAAACTAAAAGTACCTCCAGAGAGGTCTGACACAAATTAGGGCTTAAAAACTTGAGATCTTCAATGACATCAAATCCGAAATAAACCACTACGAAAGATTTATTTTCTATTATTAAAGTAATCTTTTATATTTACTGTTTATTCTCTAATGAGAACCCACCCTCTTTTAAGGCCCCCTCTAAAAAGTGCCAATAGTCAGTGTGCAAAGTTGGACTTGAACGACTCCCCTCCCCCTAATCAAGCGAACAGTACGGTTACAATAAATTGCCATAGAAACTGTTGCAAAGGCTTTAGACGAATGTCTATTACAGGAAATATGGTATATGTATTCTTAGTTAAAAGAAAACACATAAATTTATAGCTATACATTTTTGATACATGATTAATACCTGTTCATTTAGCAATGATTTATGCGGTTCAAAAAGCGCCGGATGAGTAAAACATAATAATGGTTGATCGAAATCTGGTATTTTCTTCTGTTATGTAAATTACCAACTTACTTTTCTTGTTCGCATTTGTCCACATCTGATGATATCATTTTGATATATTTAGAGTTTTCTTCCTCTTGCCTTTCGTGTCTTGCAACTAAGGTATTGTACTGATCACTAGCCACTTGTACTTTGTTTACTAATTTCTGATTCTCTTCTTTTAACTTTAAATGGAAAGGAAATCATGAAATCAAATTAAACCACTATAGCCAGCAGTCGTTGAATAACAACAATTATCAGATCATTAATTATAATTGTCTTATACACCGGTTCTTAATTAAAAGGAATCGTTGAATAAAATACGTGGAAAATATTATTAAAGCAATCAAAAATATCCCTGCCTTTCAAATAACAAAAGCATAGAAAACATGTATAGTATTAGAAAGGGGAAGTATTTGCAAAGTGTTGCAGCAAAAACTTTAACATCAAAGGAAGACTTTTTGCATAGTTTGCTTGCGGTATTGGTGGCCGGTCGTGAACGAAAAATTGAACCGAAACAAACAGATCCTGGTCAGGGATCACTGGTACTTGACTAGCAAAAGTTGATAAAACATTTCTGAGTGATAGAATACAAAAAGACGATGTAAAAATAACCAATGCAGGTTCACTTATAGAAGCAACACAGAACAAAAGACAGAGCGAATAACAGACAATTGTTACTTGCTAAGAAAATCCAACCGCATTGGGACTGATAGCGATCTTAGGCAACTAACCCGGGGTAAGGCCGAGTAGTTCACCCAGAACAGAACTGATTGACTGCAATAAGCTGTGGGGAGAATTCAAAGCAAATCGGGAAGGCCACGCCATTTGTAAAAGAAAAAAGTCCAGATTAGTGTCTGATTAAAAGTGACCATAGAGAGGAAGGGGACAATTCATTATCTATTGTTCTTTACTTTCGCTAAAAGGTCTTTGAAAAAAATATCGATAGTAGGTTTTCTTCTGAAAAGACACGTTGTCTCTAAAAGCACAAACAAGCAGAAGAAAATATGAGCATGAAAATCCCCAGTACGAAAAAATGCTAACAAAAACTTTTCATACTTAAAGGTTTTCTAACATTTGTATGCCTTTACTTATCGTTTAAATCTAAATTCTTTGGTAGAAATTGAGTTATAAATTTCAGGAAATTTGGAAAAATGTTTAGACACTTTAGGTGTTTGTGGCGGTATGAAACCAAGTGAAGCACAACAACCCACCTACTCCAAAACTCCTATCCCCACGAGCATCCAGTCACCTCTTTGCATAACGTTATTTTCTAAATGCATTGGCCACTCAGTCGCAAAACAATTTTAGTTTTTTACCCACAAGAATGGCAGTACATATTGATTGGATTAGGATTAAAATCGTTAGTATCAAACGTTTCCTTTTCTTAAGACAAACCATTTGTGGATTTGAATTTCGAGCAAGTAGAGCAAATTGGATGTTTGGCTGCACATTTGACCTTAAAATAGATCACTGTCGCTGAAAATAACAGCACGAATAGCACACTGTAGGAACTCAACAAGATCAATCTAAAAACTTACGACTAGCCAGTGAGTTTGTGACAGGGCTTTTAAACAATTCATACCAAGGTAGGCAACAGTCCGCAAGCCATAGGTGGGATTCACGTATTACTGATACTAAAGACCAAAAACTAAGAATACTAAAAAACCAGGGGGTCGTTTTCACGCATTACATTCTTTAGCATAGTTTGAGAAAACGAATCTCAGAATTTATGCAAGGCGGAAACTCCCTTAATTCTGCAGCTTCTCTACCTGTGGTGTCATTTTGTTAGCTACAATATGCGATTAACGGGCACAAAGATTTCTTGAGTTGAGACATCTTCAAACAAAGAACTATCCAAGAATTTGTATTTCCGCTTGTTTTAACAGTCACCAGTAGGACAGCGGTGTGCTTGATCTAAATTGTCAGACGAAAATCTAGAACAAACCAAAATGTATATAGTAATATAAATATCACTTACCTCTTTTGTTTCTCTGTGGGCAGAGTGAAGTTCAGCAGTCAAGCTCTTCACTTTGTCCTAAAATACAGAACAAGTGTCCAAAGAATTTCAGGGTTTCTAATCAATACCAGAAAAGGGTGTGTTTATATTGCTAGTAAACGCAACAACCACTCAAAAAAATTGTTGGAACAGTTACACCAAGGTCCAATGTAGTATTGAACCAACTGCCTTATCTTTTATCGCATACATTTCAAGTTCAAAGCAACATATGATGCTAGGAAATAAGCGTTTAAAGGGTCTTGTGTGATATTCACCAGAACAACAAATACTGTTTGTTGGGGGGGGGGGGAAGGGGGAGGGGGAAGGAATAAAGAAGGAGCGAAGAGACAGTGTTTGGTAAGGGAATGAAAAATACAAAAACCAAACAAAGTCTATCGTGTTTAAGATAAGCACTGCAGCAACTCAATGTAGTCTTCACTGAATCATTACTGTAACAGTGTATTTATTTGGAGACGCCCCTTTTCATCATGGACTTAAATAGATCGATACAACCTATTATTTAGTTAAGTTTAATTGAAAGTTAGTTGTTAGAATGTTTTGTTACGGTTAAGTTGAAGTATAAACAGAGTCTCTATTTGTTAGATCCTCCTGCAGGGAATATTACAATAGCCAAGGTATAAAATAGCTAGGCCAAAAAGCGCATACATTTAGCGGCAATTAGAGTAACAGTTAAGCAACATAATGAGGGACTGGAGTATCTTCAATAGCTGCCATAAAGCTGAAGGAACTTGGAGGAATACCCCAATTTCCCCGCTACCCCGCTGATGTAAAGATATTCGCAATGAACAGCACGTAAAAGTATCTTACCATTACGGAATCGAGCTGTTTTACATGTTCGTCGTCCATGGCAATCACTTCATGATGCAAATCCTTCCTCTCATCTTCATAACTTTTCTTTATTTCTTCCAGCTTCTTATCTTGCTTCTCCATATGTTCTTCCAGCCAGTGCCTCTTCTCGACTTCGAAGTTTTTCTCCATGTCACTCATCAGGATCTCGTAATGTTTCTTCATCTGTGCAATTTGCTGCTCAAAATTCTGCTTTATTATCATATGGTCGGTGTTGTAAATGCCCAAAACATTTTTGTCTTGACTTTCCAGCTGCTTATCTCTGATCGATTCAATGGCTTCTTTCAGCTTCGAGATTTCGTTTTCGTAATCCTCGTGTAGGGTTTTAATCGTTTCCATGTAGGTTTTCTCAGTACCGGATTTCACTTTATCCAGGGCAGTGAGTTTGGCATTGGCAGAAATCAATTCATTTTTCAGCTCTTCAAGCTCCTAAAACAAGGAAATGCGTGCTGAATTATTTTCCGCCTCGAATCACATATTCTAAAAGAGGATTTTCCACATCGATTAAAGGTAATAATGCGTGCAGTTGGGTAGGAGCTTTATCGTACAACATAAGCTTGTGGTTTTAGAAAGTCGCAACAGAATGAACACTCAAACAGGAAAGTAATTAAAAAGAATAGAGTCACATCTAGAATGAGTTTAAGTCTTTGTCGTGTGGCCGATCAATACTGAAGAATATCCCCGAATAGGCTCTATTGCAGTAACGTTTTATACTAAAATATCTATAAGAGATGTAAAAGGGCAGCCACTGATTCTAAGGTAAATTAACTGGCAAGTCAGCATAGAGACGGTTTTAAAATGCTCAAAATCTGATCACTTTTCAAACTCCTATATGATTTTAAAATGTACTTCCAGGGGGCGTCACCAAGGGGGGGGAGGGGGGTGGCTGCGGTAACCCCCAACATTTTGTTCGTCGGCACATTAAGGATTTTTGCCGGGCAAAAGATGATGTCTTGTACTCACTCTGTAGCCTTTTGCAACAATTGAAACATATTAAAATTTCTGTGTAGTTGAACTTTCAAAGTATGGCACTAGAGTGAAAATAAACTTTGAAACAGAAACGCAAAAAATAGCATGTAAGAGTATTTATCTTTTGACCACACCTTTAAAGAGTGACACACGCCCTTTTTGTCGGCAAAAATCACCTCTTTACCCCTCCAAACAATTTTTTTGGTTTCGCTCCCGTGTACTTCGATCCAACGTAAGATTTTTGCCATTTTCAGTAATATTGATGCTGTCCCAATCAAGTCAGGTTTTTGTGTGCATGAAAATCATTCTAACAAACAATCACAGGGCTTATTCTGCGACCCTAGCCGTGTTTGCCGATTAAAGGTTGAAAATAACAGAACATCCGTAAAATTTACACAGTAGGTTATTTCCCAATGGAAGCATGACTGCAGCCTACCTATATGGACTAGAAATATTGTTTTTGTCGCCATTGGTTATTGTAGCCATGCTGCAAGTCAAACAAAATCAATACAAGAAACCCACGTTCGAATGGTTCTCCTACCCCTACCCCCAGTTCCAGACTGACCCTGAATAATGATGCAATGACATTTCACAAGTTACGGTGTAACGTGAATAAGAAATAAGGTGAACAAAGACCTAATAATAGCCTGATTATGAAATATAAATTGTTGACCAAAGGATTAAATGCTCTTTTTAGAGCTCTTGATGCGTGTAACTGTTGGCCAAAGTAACACTAAATCAATTAGCCTGAGCTTGTTTCAATTGTAACATAGGTCAAGGAGTATGGTCTGTGTGAAGTACGAGGCTGATCTATAATGGCCTCTTCTTTGTGTGCCGCTTTCACTAACCGAAGTTGCATCGTAGCAGAAAAGATTTTTTGTGGAAAAAACACGCCAAGACCTTAAATTTTCAATCAAGGGTTTTGTCCAAGACAATTTTGCTCTAAAAATTTCACAGTTTTATGCAAGCATTGTTTCAACTAACACTTAGAGTTCACGCCAGGGACCAGAAACGCAAGCGTGGTAAGACGGTATTTAACGGGAGGAAGACGTAAAAAGTCGGTAAAAACATAAAATTTGATTATACCCCTGTCGACCTAATAAATATAAAGGCTACAAAAATGCCCATTTGTAAGGAACTGTTATCTTTTGCCAACAGACCAAATAGGTCAACCATTGTAGCCCCTTACTTTTAGCTGACCTCCGACTCTTTCTATGCAGGATTCCTGATTTTCTAAGAAAATGCTACAATAGTTTTCTATAAGTTTATTCTGAAACAAAATGTATCAAGGATGGCTCAGCTCAGGGGCGGCTGGGAGTAGAAAAGTATTGGTATTAGCCTCCGAAATTAAGACATAAGAAGGTCCCCCTGCAAGGTCCTGAAACTATTAAACAGGGGTGGAGCTTATATGTTCTTATTTAAGAAGGTGGGCAAAATGACCTTTTCGATATGATGGTTTAAAATAGCTTTTGGCAATACCATATCTTACAAAATTATTTGAAGGCACTGGCCCCCGTTGTCTCCCCCAGACACTGATGACCCTGTGGTAATGTAGTTCATCCTACTAGTTTTGGGTGAAGGATCGGTCCTACGAAATACAAATGAATTATGGCTGCGGCAAATTACTCGAGCGAAATCGTGTTTTGATACAGCGGTTTGCTGCCCAGTAATGAAGCCCCAAGGTATTAGCCCATTAATTCTAATACCATGAGGCTTTTGGCCCGCGAATGAGATTCTATTACGATAAAGCGAGCGATTTACTTTAGAGTAATGCAGCAAAAAAACGTAAGATGTATCATTTGATTTGAGAAACCGAGAGAAATAATGTGAGAATGTTGCCTATGACTCTACAATCATATAGAATCGAAGTTTTACAAAACATACAGTTCATACAAAACAACTTTTACAACTGCCTTTAGCTTAAACAAATTATTTCATGACTGTTGCTCTTTATATTCAGTGTCTAAATTTTGTCAATCAAATTATCCATCCAAAGGCATTGCTAGCAAAAGTACAGCTACATTTTGTAAATTCATAAAGTTAATTTCCAGAAATATTTTTTCTATAAGCTGAGGCCTTAGAATAGAGCTGGGGCTCTTTCCACCGTCCCTTCCACTGACAGTGGCCCTCGTAGTATTAGAAATGAAAAACTAATACCTTACTGCTGTTCACCCATTCTTCTACCATGGCTCAACAAGAGAAATTCACGTCATGCAGACCACAAGAGACAAAAGAAATTTCGGGGCAGTGTATTAGTTTTTGGAGGCTAATACCATGGCCAGGGCTGCTGATTACGGCATGGATTACACTTTTCAAAGATTTCAATGAGGATTAGGAAAGCTTTCATTCAACAAACAGAAAAGCAAATATAGCTTGGCTATATGAATAGAGCTGGTCGCATCGATAAAATTGTTGTGAAAAAGTGGCAGCGTACAAAAAGCAAAATAAATTTCCTGCAATCTCAGAGACCCAAAGTCGCCTTCCTTTGAAAATAAAATGGTATTAGACTAATACCTTTAATACCACCCCACGCCGCCCCTGGCTCAGCTTTGACTCAGTTTGTCCCTATCACCAATATTTGGTTCTGAGCCCTCTCTGCAAAAGAAGGGCACTTAGAACGGGAAGCAGGGGTGAAAAGCAAAGGATTGAAGGTCTAACATGTAGTTATTAATATCAACTTCCAGTAGTGTTTCTAAGGGGGGGGGGGCAAGGTACACAGCCCTCCCAGAATTTCTTTTGCCCCCACTTTTCTAAGAAGATGTTTTGGTTATTAATTAATGCTTCCGCCCATACGTCTATACGTATTTTTCGATGTGACATTTAATTTTTGGTTATCAATACCTAAATAGACTCTGGTTAGCTTCTCCTAAGGCCAGTTGTTTGATTGCTACATTTTTCAGCATACATTTCTCAGCATTTTTAAGATCACCTCAAAGAAAGCTGCTATTTTACTAATAGATTGTTTCCATTCACTACTATCCCAGTAATTTCTGTTATGGCCCAACCGGATTTCTCAGGCTAGAGTCGCCCGTCTACTTCATATCTTAGGATTGATCCTGGAGCTGCAGCCTTGTTATTAAGGGATAATAATCAATAGAAACTTGCACAATGATGCGGAAGTTTCTAGGCTCACTAGTCCCATTCAGGTGAGAACTTTGTAACACAATTGTACTGAAGGGCCAGAATTTACAAACTCAAATCAAAACAAATGACTTTATCTAAAACGAAACTATTTGAAGATACTTTGAAACCGTAAACGTAAACCGCCCATCAAAAAGCTACTGTACCTCAAACGTAAACACGGTTTCATAAATAAGCTTTCGTCTCTTTTTCTGTGACCCAAACCGCACGACTTTCAGTAAATACCTTCCGTTAGCCATGTCCGGTCATTCGATCGCGTCCTTCGTCCAACACCAAAAAACAGGCAGGTCGAGTGAACTAAGAACATGCTTAACGGGCCAGTGCAAAATGATACTGTCAGTCATTCCAATCACAGCATAACCCTTAATCCCGACCGGGGGTTTACCATCTTTTACCGCTCGCATGAGAAGGAAACAGCTCATTTGTAATGGCGTGACACGGTGACAATTCCAAGAACTGTAGTGTTGTTCGCAGCCTTTTCTATGGGACTTCACCCGGGGAGAAGAGCCTTTGTTCTTATGAAAGAAGACAATCGTTTCGTCTCTTAATAGTAAAATGAGCAATTTTATTCTTGATAAACGATCTAATTTTGTTAAAATTGTTATATATGATTTTTCTAACAAATGTTTATAATCCACACTTGAGTATGGACGTTCCGATGCTTTTATGAGGATATCCAGGACGGGGACTATTCAAAGTTGGCATCCGCGAAGGAGATACGTAACCGAGATAACCAAGAGGAAAATGAAACTGGAACAACGCTATTTCTCGGGTAGGGGATTAAACTGGCCATTAATGGAACTGTTTTGCATAACTTTGTTGCATTTGGAACGAGATCAATTCCAAATATAGCCAGGTAGTAAGGGGTCCACGCAGAATTCAATTAAAGAACAACCCTTATAAAAAACACCAGGCTGAGATTTGCCCAAAAAATATAAACCAAAATAGGAAACAAGGAAGGCTGAAATAAAAAACGTTGGGCTGGATTTATGCGAAAAAATGAGAAACGCCGGGCTAAAACTGGAGCCAAGTGTTCTCATAAAAAAGCGTGAAGAGATTCCAATAAGACCGTGCTAGCTACTATAACGTGTCATATAAAACTGCTATTAAGGGGATTAAAAACAATTATTAGTATCTAGTTGGGAATATGAACAACGTTAGGAATACCCGAGCATTAAATTATCAAAAAATAAGAACATCGAGCGTTAGGGGTAAGGTAATAAATGGCGACGGAAATGGGAGTTCCCGGTTAATTTTTTTTAGAAAAAATTTGTCGCAACTCTTGATATCTGAATTGCTGGAATATTTTTCCACCGCCCCCCCCCCGTGCCTCACTAAAGCAAATAACGTCCTTTCCCGTCTTGGCATGACTCCTCTGGGTGGTAAAGTTGCCGCTGTTTGTCAAACAATGCCGAGCACGACAAACTGTCAAATTTTTCAACAATGCCATTTTGCGTACAAGAATTTTATACAGAGTTGCAGTGAACACATAAAATTTCTTCGACAGTTCAATATTTGAATAATCTGCCAATAATTACAAATCTGAGAAAAACATCCACTTTTTAAAAGGCATCTGCATTTGTGGAGTGACCCACTGTATCGTCAGGCACCACGGAGCGTTGAAAAAATGGCGGGACCAAAAAAGGGGAGGCTAGAACCGAATCAAAAGAGACTCGGCTGATGGTTAATTAGTTAACTTTTGCACTTTTGGAAAAAGGGGAGGGGGCTTAAGCCTTAGCTCCCCCTGTTCTGCGGTGCCTGGTCGTACTCTCAGACCAGGAAGGTCCCAGACCAGGAAGGTCCCAGACCAGGTGGGTGTGTTTAAAGGGGTGGAAGGGTCATATAAGGGAAACTTTACCGAACGTAGTTTATTATGTTCCTTTTAATCAATTGTCAGGTAGGCATTATTGTGATACGCTTTTAGATACGGGCATTAAAGCGTTATGCTATGCGCGAAAGGGGATGAGGAGTTAAATCACCAATTTTGTTTTGCTACAGTGGGTAAGAGGGCCTCAGCCTAAACTGTTAGATAGCGTTCATTTTCAACCAAACATATTTTACTGCTATAGTGAGATACACAATACCTTTCTTCTTACTTTTGACTTAAGTCTTCTTACTTTTGTATTCTGTAAACCTTTCGTGCCTGAGCTTCTTGCCTCAAGATCAATCAAACCCATCAACGAAACTCTTCAAATCTCTACTAAGCGAAAAGGATATCTTTCCATAATTATCACTGCGAGAATTCTGAACAAAGCAAAGTAATACTTCTGATCACTCTTGTACAATGTAGAATATTTGAAATTTTTTTGGAAATCATTTGGCACTGACCACTGGTAATTCATAGCAAGCATAAACTCACTAAAATTCTTTCCTGCTCGGGAATGTAGACGTCTCTCGCGTTTTTCTTTTTAGATGCGTTTTTTAAAGTTTGGCTTCGTTAAATATCTTTGGATATCATTTGCCGAACTTTAGTGACGAAACAAAAAAATAATTATGTACATCAAAAGGTAATTTGCTTCCATTATCTTCCTAAGTTATTATAAATTTACGTCGGTTAAATTCAATCCTTCATAGCCATTTACTCAAATGTATTTTTCAAAAAAAAATTTGCTCAAGCCATGAATAAGAGCAAAGAGTTGATATCACGATGTTCTTTAGATATACTGAGCCTGGGCACTAGTTTTAGCAACTTTTTCTACGCCCGTGCCCTATGACATATTAGCGCAGCGGACAGTAGACTAAGCAAGTGTACATTGGCAACTATGATTTTTTCAATTTTAGACCAATGCCTCAATATTCTGAACTGTGCGTACCATGGAGGGCTAGCATTGGCCTAAGTCATCGGACGTTCTCTTTTGCACTGGCATTAATCAGGTCAACATTGACAAGAGGCTGATTCTCAGAAAGTGTTATTGATCACTCAGTATAGTAATAAAAGCAAAATGAGAAATACCTTCTTATGTGCTTCTTCCAATTCCTGCTTGATCTTATCCACATCTTTTTCAAGGCTGAGCTCGACAGCGTTTATTTCACTCATACGTTCTTCCTGCAACGACTCTTTCATTGATCTGAATTTCTCATCGCCACTATCTTCTAAATTCCTAATCTCTTCCTCGTGTTGCTTCTTCAACTCGTCTATATTTGACTTGTGTTTCTCGTGCATGTCTTGCAACGTTTGCAACTGCTGCACATGTGTTTCCTCAAGTTGGTTCTCCAACTGTCGCAATTTAAAGCTGTGAATTTCTTCGTATTCCTGTCTGGCTTCTTCTCGAGCACGATCAATTTCGAAAGCAACCCTTTCGGTCAAATCTCTTCGCATGTAATCATCATACTCCCGACGAGCCGTTTCTCGCATCCCCTCCAACTCTGCTTTAAACTTTTCACTCATTTCCCGTCGTACATTCTCTTTTGCCCTCTCAAGCTCAACCTGGCATTTAAGGAACACTTGTCAAATAATTTACATGGAAAAAATCGAACAAATCTGGAATGCTTATAATATAAATCAATCAATTCAATGCATACCTTGGCATTGCTTGTGTAAAACCTTAACACTTAAGCAATAAATCGGACTTAATTTTAAGAATATTTTGAGATATTTAAATCAAATCAAATGAATATTCAGATTGGAACAAATGACAGTTCTAACACATTTGGTCAACGTATTAGCTGGCTAATAACTACTGCATGCTACAATTCATAACTATGAGCATTGGTTTTATACAATACAGAACTGAAATCTCTAGGCTTATCTAAAAGGATTGTCTTCTTTATAAACCATAGGCGCATACATCACAGGCCGTAACTACTATTGCTCTTAGGGGGTCGTGCTCCTTAACAATAATAAAAATTCTTTGTTTCAAAGAACAATACCTATTATTCCTATTGTTCTCAAACGTTGGTGCCCCTTCAATAATCTATCCTTTCAATGGTACTGTACGATAACATTATTCATTTAAGTCGGTATATCTATGTTATCAGCCCTTATCCATAGTCTAGAATCTAATGTCGTACCTTGTGATGCTGCCCAGCGTCCTCAACAGCCTGTCTTTTGTCTTCCTCTAATGTCATCTTGATGCGTTTCAAATCAGAATCATATTGGTCTTTTAAAACTTCGACCAAATCCTTTTGGCTAGTTTCAAGCTTCTTCTCCATCATATTTTTCAGCCTCTTCGCATCTTCTGCATGCTTTCTCTCGAATTTTTCGCGCTCATCGTGTAGAAGTTTCTCGTATTTGTCGCGGGTTTGTAGCAAGTACTCGTGATGTTTTCTTTCGACTTCTTTAACCTGCTTTTCATTTTTCATAGTCAGCTCATGTTTAAGCATGCCAAGCTCATCGATGTGCTCTACGAAATTCGATTAAGTTATTTCATATTACCAACCTGCTATAGCTTGCTCATGTGATTGTTTAAATTCACAGTAAAATCTTAGATGTTCTTATTCTCCAATCCATTAAAAGCCTTTAAAGAAAGGCAAATGAAATATAAATTTTCGCAAAAACCAGGTCGCCTAACTCAACAAAATCTTTATTGTGCAGAAAAAGTAACCAACATTAAGTGGTTTGGGTCTACTTATCATCGCAGAACTTCCCTTTTCAAAACTTGAAATTAACACACGTATTCTAAAATATAGACCACAACCCTCAACAACTTTGAAGCTCAACACACTTATGAAAGGTGAGCAAAAGACATGCTATGTTCCCCATCTACTCACCATTTATTTTCAGCGATACTTACAAAATTCAGAATGTAGCTTTCCAATGTTCTACACATGGTTGTGAACTCTGGATACTTTCAGGTACCGTTACAGGCATGTAAAACGACGGTTGTAATCAGTTTAAAAAACATAATGTGCGACCCAGAACAAACAAACGTCTCTCACGGGCAATACTGATTACATTTTCTCAGAAGAGCGATACTCTCAGCCATAATGAACTCTCTTTATAGCAAGGTCATTAGTGACTACGCGATCGATTACCCTATCAACTTAAATCAATATCAAACACTTAATACGTTATGATGGGCTACTGCATAAAGCCATCGAACAAAGAGAACAGAAATTGAAACAATGAGGTGTTGAAATGATATTGTCGCAAAGGGTTGTTCATTGTCTTTGTCCCTCCAAAAGGTTTTTAATGGTCGCAGCTTTGCAGCATGTCTGCTTAGCTTTAACCAACCGAGGGGCGCAACACTCCATCGAGATCTCGTACATCTCTTGTGAAAATAGTAACTTTTATCTGACTACTAAAAATTTTTTTGGGCCTAGAATTCGAGCAAAAGTGTTTTTTGGGTTTCATTTGCACTTTTTTGGGGTCATAAAACTCTGAATTTTTTTGGGTCTCGAAAATGAGAAAAGTGTAAAAAGAAAAATTGCAAACGCTTTGAGTAGGACAAGAAAAATTACTTTTTGGGTCAATTTTTATGCAAGAAATTTGTTTATTAATGGCTTGTATTCAAGCCTACAACAAGAAGAAAATCATAAGGGTAGAAAATCACCGGATTTGAAAGCCGGTAATTTGTGTTTTAACATAAATCCCTCCCAATATTGCCTGCTGTCAAAGCTGCTTCAGGAACTTTCTCTGATATGGGCACATATCTAAAGACTTTTCCAAGTTTATGAACGAAAAACACCCACCCCCTTTTTTCTCACTTATAAAGACAAAGAAAGATGAATTATGTTTCAACAAGATAATGCATAAAAAATTAAATAATATGCACTTAAGTACTTAAAAAGGTAGATAAAAGGGATGGCTACTAATTACAGAAAAGTAGATAAAAGGGATGGCTATTAATTACAGAACAGAGTTAAAAACAAAGCTAAACAATACATAAGATGCCCTGTATAAAAAAACCACACAAAGATAATAATAAGATGAAGGAACAACTTACCGTTCTTCAATTCTTGAGTAAGATCATCCTGTTGTTTCATGAATTTCTTTAACATTTTCTCGTGTTTTTCAATCAACTCCATTTTGCTCTTCTCCAGATTCTCGTGGGCCTCTTTCTGCAATTCAACTTTTTCTACTGCAGCCTCCTCCTTAACTTCGTCTAATTTCTGTTCCGCAAGTGCTAAGCTCTTGTCTTTCAATGCACTGATATCTCGCTCGTGTTTACTGTTGATCTGGTGGATGTACTCTTCCATCTGAGCATTCTCTCTCTCCAGTTCCTGTATACGACCCTGATAAAGGTGGTCATATTCCTCACGCTGCTTTTCTAGCTGATGCCTGGTTTCATCGTCCTTTTCCCTTAGCAATTTATGCAGCCTTTCTTCTTCCATTAAGGGCATCTCCATCATCTGGTCGTACGACTTGCCAGAGTCACTTTCTGATGGCCTAAATCTGCGCCGCATTTCGCGAATAACGGCCTCCCGATTCTGCTCCACCTCATCATGTCCACCATCGTGCCTAACCCCTGGGTAACGCGCCCCCACGTGGTTAAACAAACTCGGCAGTGAGCCAGTGAGGGAAGTTCCCGCTCGTGAGGCTTCGTCTGAAGAGATATCCTGCAAGGCATCATTCAGGGCGTTCACAACTTCTCCGTCTGCGAATCGAGCAATTAGTGTCTCCGTAGAGCTCGACGGAGTAGCACCTTCGCCGAACCGCCGTGTTGGTACCACAAGTGATTCGAAACTTCCCCCCGGCATATCGTGAAAGGGAGGTGCGCTAGGAACTGCGTCAACATAATCCTTTGAGATCTTCCGCAACTGTTTATGGCCACCTTCTAACAACGATCTTAACACGTTAACTTCACTTTGCAACTCCTGTGTTTTCTCGTGTAAAAGTTTCTCGTATTTATGCTTAACTTGCTTTAAGTCGTCCTTATGCTTCTTTTCTACTTCTTCAGCTTGCTCTAAATCGACAGGTGATTTCCTCCCCGCATCTGCCCGAGCTCCATCAACTTCGTCTCTTTCATACTTTTGCCGCAGATGCTTCAGCTGGCCAGCGTGCCTGCTTTCTAGCTCTTCCATTTGCAAGGCCAATCGCAATGCATTCTGTGCCAGGCCTTCCTGCATCTCGCGTCTCACATCTTCAACTTCTTCAGCTTCGTACTTCTCTCGCAGCCGCTTCAATTCTTCAGCGTGTCTCAGCTCTAGCTCTTCAATTTGCCTGGCTTGATTCAATGCATTCTCCGCAAAGTCTTCTTCAACTGCTCTTTTGATAGCCTCGACTTCATCAACAGTGAGTGATCGTTTGGCTAGCCTCAGTTCCTCGGCATGGCTAATTTCCATGTCTTCAATTTCAGCGGCATGCCGTAAAGCGTTTCGTTGAAAGTCGTCCTGCAGTTCTTTCTTGATGGCTTCCATTTCCTGTTGGTACTTCTCGGTCACACTTGTTCTAACATTTTCAAGGTCCATGGCATTTTTCAGAGATATCTGAGTGGTAATCTGGGAAGAAGACCGTTTACACAACCATAAGCAATCGAAAGCAAAAAATGATCAACTTCTAACGCAGCCAAATCTAGCCTAAACCTCAAACTGTTCAAAATATTGCTTTGTAGCTGTAAAAATACTTTAAAAATGGGTATTTCACGCACGCATTTATTAATGAATCTTGAGCACGTCAAAACTGGAAGAACCAGATATTGGTCACTATTGGTCACTTGATGAACCCTGTCTAAAATCCCTATAAACGCTACGATCGAGCAGCAAATGATCTATATACAAAACTGTACTAAATCTTGTGCTCACTAAAAACTTGTTTGCTTATCGTTTACATACTAAAACTGACGTTAAATAAAATGTTACGAAACTTCTTTTCGAGTATAACTTTCAATTCGAAAAGAACCAATCCACAAGAATTCAAGTATTAGCTATAGGGGAAAACAAGTACTTTAAAACAAAATTTTGTCGTGTTACATATCAAAAAGCTTCCTACCTCGGCTATCTCCGTAAATTTTTTGTGCTCTAACTCCACCTTCATTTCTTTCAGCTCTATATTATAGTCAGCGGCAAGCTTTTCTCTCAAATCATCCAACTCGTCCCTTTTCACTTTGACGAAATCCTTCCTCATTTGTGTCTTCTCTTCTTCGTGCCTCGTTTTCATATCAGCCATAATCTTATTGAAATCCTCCTTCAAGCTGGCACTCAGCTGAACGACCGCTTGTTCCAGGTCCTGTCGGTGTTTCTCGTCCTGCATTCGCATTTGTTCGGCGTGTTGGTTTTCCAGTTCCTGAAACTGTGCTTGAATTGACCTGCAATGAAATCAAAGATTCGTAAGCTGTTTGAAAAAAACAGATATCAATATCATCCAGTTTTTTCCTTTATTCATCAGTCCTTTTGAGTATATTTCACAGAAATTAATACCGAATAAAAGCTAGATCCCAAAAAGTGACAATGTCCTTGCAACCTTTGTTTCATTGAACTATTTCAGCTATGATACTGGCTCAAGTGCTGTGCTACGGATTCAGATAAATAAAGGAAGTTTGTCTACATTCATTGCCTCCTTTATACCTTGTACGGTGAGTGGGGGGTTGAGTATGGGTTATGTATGGGAGTGAGTGTGGGAGTTAGTGGGGGCTAGTGTGCTGGTGAATAAAGGGTGAAGTGTCGAGGTCACTTCCACTTGACACTAAACCACTCACAACCGGCCATTCTTACAAGGTCTCTTTGGCCCCGACTCGAAACACCTGGAACCGGGAAATGATTTTCAAATATAATAAGAACAAAAGGCTGCTGCAGAATTTAACAAAAAAGACCAAAACATGTTCTGCTTTTCCGTGTTTCCATGGCGTTAATATATAACGTAGACACTCTTTCTCTCTTCAATATATCTTTAAAGAGAGCTTGAGCTGTCTTGTCTACAATTGAAATAGGCTTACCTCTGGCCTAAATGCTCCTTCATAATTTCTTCTCGCTGTATAAACTCCATTTCTCTTCTCTGCATTTCATTTTCGTACCAATTTTGAAGATTTCGCATCTTCTCTTCACATTCTGCATCCTTTTCTATCATTCTCCCTTCGAACTGCGTCCTCATAAAATCAAGCTCTCTTTCTCTCTCAAAATTCCAAACCTCCTTTTCCTTCGCTACAATCGCAATTTGTTCGTCAGTCTTTCTCGCGATATCACGATCATGGCTATTCTTTTCCTCTGCAAGCTCTTTTTCTAAACTCTCCTTTTCTTCTTCATGTGCTTTTCGCATCTCCAAGATCGCCTCTTCCTTGGCATAAATCTCATCCTGCAGTCGGCGTATTCTCTGGAAATCATCCTCCCTTAAGACGTCTAATTCATTTTTCGTTTTGAGTAACATAATCTCATATTCCTTTATTATGTTTCCTACGTGTATTTCGTGTTCTTCCTGAACACATTTTAATCTCTCTTGAAAATAATCCTCCTGAACAGATTCGAACTCGCCTAAAGTGTGAAACATTTCATCATCGTCGCCACACTTCTGCACAAGCTCTGATTTGACTTTTTCTACTTTGTTTTCGTGTCTGTTGTCCAATTCCATCCTTGCCTGAACCCTCTGGGGATCTCGCAGGTCAACAAGCTGGGCTTGCATCAACCTTATTCTTTCCTACAGGTGATACAGATGATAGAATGAATATCTTATAAACGTGCTATCTAAACATTAAAAAACGCGTTAAAAGTAATTTCTGCTGGGTACGGGTGAGTGCAAACTTTCAAATTAGCTATCCCCACCAGTAAAGTCAAAGCGCGTGCGCAAAGACGATCAGAAAACGCGCTCCTCTTTTCATGACAAGCTCTGTATTCAAAAAGTGGAAGGAAACAAGAAGCTTACCGGAATCCTTAAACCCATGAAGTTGTCATAAAGCTATTTTATCAAGGGTTGATTGCCTGTTAATTTTATCATATTGGCACAGGTTTTCAACATTGATACAAAATTTATCGACAGGAAAATTACATACAAAGATATTCAGTTTTACGTGATGAATGATGAAGCATTGGTACATTATTTTTCTAAAGTTTCATAAGAATAGCCTGTCTCTCCTTCGAAAAATGTTTGACACCTTCAAAGTGTCGGTTTTGTCCCAAAGATTCCTGTCAGACAGTTATACTAGGTAACCCTGGTGAGAGAGAATATGCAGTCTAAATTTTTTACTGCGGTGTACCGCTTGAGCTGAAGGGTTGGGGCGTCGAAGGATTTACATCGTTATCAAGGCGGGTGATTAGCTGCCGGCCTACCTGGAGATCGCTTGATGCGTCGTTCATAATCTTTTCCAACTCTGCTTCCTTTTCTGCTTGCATTTCCCTCATCACTTCATCGACTTTTCCCCTCAACTCCTCTTCGCATTTTGCTTTCACCTCTTCAACAGCCAAATCCTTTTCTGCGCCAACATCTTCCATTCTCTTTTCAAGCTCTTCCTCCATGGCTTGCCTCATTTCTTTTAGATGCCGCTCAAGCTCCTGCTCAGCTGCTAGCCTTGCAGCGCCAATGCGAATGGCCGATTCAGTGATCAAGCTTGCCTGTAAGTCTTCCAGCATACTTTGATGTGATGTTTCGAACTCCCTTCGAAGTCGATCAAGCTCCAGCTGATGTTCATCTGTCAAATCTTAAAAAAAAGCAAATCAACGTCAATTAGTTGGTGATAGCGACATTAAGCCTACAGCAATCGGCACAAAATTTATAAAACAAATAGATAGTCAAATGTTTGATGTTGGTTTTCATGTTAAATAGTTTAATCATATTTCCCAAGTATGAAACAGACCATATATGAAAACACTAAGTAATATAAACTAAAGCAAGAAACAATGAAAACTTGAAAATAAGTCTGAGTGAATAATAACTGAGATAATTTGACTTCTATAATAATAGCTTTACTCTTTTTTTACATCGGACTTCTGTTTTCTTCCTAGTTATCTTTAAAATAGGTAAAATAATGTTCGCTCCCCGTATTGGTGGACCTTCTGAGTAAAACAATTTCAATCAAACCTTTGCATAATCAACTTCACATTTCAGAAATATATAAGATTTCGAGGACACGTGATGAAATGATGGTCCTTGCTGGGAGGGTTGTACAGGAAAATATGCACTGGGTTTAAAATCATTAAAAAAGGACTGATGCAGTATATTTTGAGCTTGGTCTTTACTCAGTCACTATTATATTATGTTATAAGTCGATTAGAAATAATTTTGCAACCTTTTTATTGTAAAGCAAAATGTATATTAGTCTTATTCCGCTATGAAAGTTCTTTTAGGTTTCAGCCTAGATAAAATGTCATCATTTCACGATAACAAACATCACTGCAAACAATTTCAAGGGCGAATTCAGCCAACCTACTTTCCTCATCAAAACAGCGTTGGTTTATTGTCTAGAAGATTTGAAGGCACGTTTTTCCGAGCAAATTGTGTTGTCACTGGTGGAGCAGATCCAAAACATTTAGAGAGGCTAAGTATGGAAAATCTTGTCTAAATATTATTACTTTGTCGAAAAAGCACTGTCCCAATAGAGCCTAGAATGTGACAATTTGTTTCTGCTGAGGGAAGGGGGGGGAGTGATGCTCTGCTGAGGGAAGGGGGGGGAGTGATCCCAGCCCCATGTCTCCTAAGCCTATATGTGAAGTATTTGCCAAAAAATATCGACACAGTTTTGGAGAAGGGTTAGTATTCAGGGGAAGAAAAGTCATATATAAAACAGAGAGCAAGCTGATGGGAACAGCAAGCTGATATAAAAACAGAGAAGAAGTTCTTCTGGCGGGCTTCTGAGATGAAGAAATCACAATGACAAAGTTTGTTGTTATTCAGCTGCTATTCAATAACGCCACCTTTGCCCTTCAGCCACAGTGTGTATTGACCTTTGCGCATGGCAACAAAGATTTTCCAGACTCTCGTCATCCCCCTATTGTCTCACCTTAGTCTGTTTATCTTTTCTTGATCGGCTCGCGAATGAGCGGTTAAAATTTAGGTTCTAATGTTTAGGCCCGTTGAAAACTGAATAGAAACGAAGCATCGAATGAATGTTTCATGAAAAGCTCCCAAACAAATATACTTTTAGCAAAAAGTAAACCGTACGTTTAGGTATTCAAATATAAGTTTGACCCATATTATGTGCTTAGACTGGTTACAAAACACTTGATCAGTTAAATTAAAAATAAATCGAATTAAGAATCATTGCAAAACGTCTTTGAAGTTTGCATCGATAAAAAAGGGTATATATGTGACCGTCTGAAACCCAGCTTTAAACAAAAAACAATAAACCATCTCAAGACAATCTTAATAATACCAGATTTAAAACTCAGGCAGAGATAAGCTAGTAACAGTGCGATACTATCACGTGTTTTACCTGCACAAAACCAAATATCTTCAACCCTGTTTCCCCTTTTTTTCATTCTGCACATCCTGAACATTTTAGCGCCAATTGCGATGCCCGCCGAATACTTTCATTCACACATCACAACATCATTCACCTACACGCGATCAAACTCTCACATTTCTTCCAAAGGGTCAACATTTGCTAAGATACAAAGACAGGGTCAGCTCCTGCCAAGGTACCGGCAAAGTGGCCTGCGCATGGTGGGGGCAAGACAGTGCGAAAAATCAGCAAAGCGCTCACAAAAGTGAGAATATAGTGACATAAAATCGCTCTTAATTTATGAGTAAAAAAGACTTAAATCACATATAAACCAACACAAAATTTTGAAAACCGAAAAATACTGATATCTATTGAGATTTTCGAAATCAACTCTCTCATTACACCACATCTTGAATAAGAATCAATTTCAATATGCATTTAGTACAGATGCTTACCGCTCTTCAATCCATACATTTCTGAATCGTGTCCAACCAGGAGATCAATCTTCTCTCTTGAGTGCTCCCTCTCTAGCACTTCTTTAACGGTTTTTACTTGGCGGAGGCGTTCCTCATCAAGCTGGCGTCGCAAGTCCAGTAACTTTGCTTCAAATCCAGCTTTTGCTCTACTCATCTGTATGAGAAATGGACAACTGTCAGATGTCATATTCAGGAGATTACCTTGTCAAATCAATACATTGGAGCCAGTTGGTCTAGCTTCGTAATCAGAATAACATATTGAATTTCTAAATTGTCTCGATGACTATAGAGGTTGAACAGAAACCCAGCACTGGAGAGAAAATGTCTTGAGAAAAATTTGATTATGAATTTTTGATACTATATTTAGCACAGAATGTTGAGGCCATGTCTATAAAGTGAATGGGTATTCTACTTTATTCAAATAAAACCAATAAACAGATGAAATAATTTAAATAAATCATTACAAACTGTGAAGAATTACTTGTACTGATGCGTTTTATAATTTTGCTTGATATTGATTCATTGATAGCATAAAAATAAAACCAAGCAAATAATGACTTCTTTAAAATGATTTATTCTAAATATAACAAATAATGGAGATAACAAACAACAAAGAATGGTTATGGCCAGGCCTTATTCTATAAAACAATCCCATCCCGTTTCCCCCTTCAAAATATAGATAATGCCCCCAAGCATGAAAAGGTTTTACCCTCTAATTGGGGGTAATCTAACTACCCAAAAATTGTAATAGATCATAGAGGGAGAGTGTCTCGGTTTATGGTCTTTTGTTTTAATCATTGAGGGAAAGTGAGCTATCAGGTATTTTATCCAAAGTTGTGTGAATCAAAAAGATGTCTAGAAAGGGACTTGTGAACAAACAATCCAGCTGACCCCAAAAATGGCATTTTTGTGGCAATGCATTTAAATTCAAAACTTTTCGCCCCTTTTAATAGCCTTTAATAGTTGTGACCTTTATTTATATCTCAGCGAACCTCTCAAATAAGCTCCCCTTTCTGCTAAGCCCAGTAAAATGAGCCCCATCTCTTCTAAACCCCTTCTAGAACTGGACTGCAAACTGTTACATGAAACAAACCAAATGACTTTTAAACTAAGCAATAAGCTAAACTCAGAGAAATGAAAAATTGTTATAAGGCCTAGAAGTCCCTTTTGATAAATTTTGATGTCGCTTTCTATCATAACCACAGTACAAACAATTTTATTCATCCATTCAAGATTTTTTCAGCTAACACTTATCAAATACATAAGTCTTGGATTGAAGTGAAAAATAGCAAGTTTGCACCTAAAAGTAGATTGAAAATAACTGTTTACTAATCAGTCATAAAGTACTCAATGCCATATAGGCAGAGCTGTACATACTTTTGGTGTAAAGAACAGGATTGTTCTAAGTTGCTACTCAGAAATTCACATGTAATGCAATCATCAGGCAACTTAGCCAAGTAGATTGAAATGAGCATATTAGAAGAGAGAAAGGCATTCTTCAAGGCCAAAACTTATATGCTGGTTTAATTTATATGTACTGTTTTCCTGTTTTCTGGTAGAGATCACAGACACCACAAAGAAACAATAGTCCAATAATTTCTCCCCAATAATCTCCTTGCTGCAACTGAAGCTTTGTAGAGCTTTCTCAAGATACCTAATACCTTCTTAAACAAAAAAAGCTATGGGTCTGAATAAAGACATATATACCACCACAGAGGGAGAAGGGTCAGTTGCAATTTTCTTCATGTTACTGATTTGCCCTTTCTTTAGGCGCTTGCCCCTTGCCCACCTTTATAACATATGCCAATGGATCCAAGGTGTTCATATTACAAGCACAATTAGATCACCTTTTCTAAAATATTTACTAATTGTAGCAACGTAAAACAAAACATGATCTATTTTTCTTTTCTTATACTTAGAAATGATGAGATAACACCCAAAAAATGCAGCTAGAAAACCTAAAATTAAACATCATCTTACAAGATGTTGTTTGAAAAATATTCTTAGTACAAATGAGAACTGTTTGAGCAGAAGCATGGTAATCAACAGGAGCAACATATTCCAAGACTTTTAATTAAAATATCCAAGATTGTTGGAGAAAAATGATGTATTCCAGCCAACATTGCTTTTGTTCAGATCAAAAGATGTCTTAATGAGAGAAACAGATTTAATAGATTATACTCTTAGGGTTGATAATTACAGACAAATTGATGGGTTGCTGCATTTCAATTTTCCTGTTTGAAAAATCTATGTAGCAAAAATTCAAAAATTGTTGAATCCATCTTCAACAAAATAAGATTATTGTGGTATAATGTAAGATGCGTCTTGAGATTATTTTTCGTACATGTATCATTTATTTCATTTTCCCCTAAAACCTAACATTTATTACCTAAAATACGAGAGCTGCAAACATAAGACAGTACTATATCAGATGACTGAGAGCATTGCAACAGCAAGGACCACAGAGAGAGATTTGTGGGTGGCAACAACCCACTTTGCCCTTTGAGAGGGGACCAAAGTACCATTTTCCATAAAGGTTCCCTCCACATCTGCCTTTTGTAATCTAAGAGATTCCTATGAAATTCTGATTGTAGTGCCTTATTCATGACAAAATTTCGCGAACTTATAAAAAATTTCTTAAGTCAGAACTTAGACTATCTTCAAGGTTCCTGAAGAAGATCAAAATAAAATGAAAGCATCTTCCCAGAATATTCTTTGCAGTCATTATCTTGCAATTGTTTCAATAATACTTTGTTTTTATTTTTTTCATTGTCACATTTTACTATTACTTCCATTTTATAAACGGTTTTCTATCATTTAACTATAAATCCTTCCTAGACATTGAGGCAATTTGCCCCCCTGTCCCCCTCTAGGTAGCCCTGCTTTAAATCATCATCATGATACTCTTAGGATGCTCAAGTTTTTGGCCTTTTGACAAAAATTATCTCTTTACTTGCCAAACCTTTAGGATTTAGATAACAGCCACTGATATTAGTGATAGGTAAGAATAGTTCAACTCTCAATCATGTAAACAGGAAAAGTGCCGGACAAAATATGCACACATTGAAGAATTACTTAGAAATTTGATGCACACTCAAATGTGCACACTTAAATGCACTCTTCCGAGACTGCACTCTTCCGAGACTGCCCCCCCCCCTTCTTGTCTCTCTGGCTATTCTGGCATCAAGCCCAATGTACCTATTAGGTACCAAACGAGATAAGATAACAGCAACATGGATGACTCAGGACAGACCTTCCAACTAACTATTCCACAGACAAATATTTCCTTGATTTTAATACAGTAAGTGCTGGATGGAACTTGAAAACTCAGACAATACATAAAACATTTCCCAACTTAACATCTGTCATTACACTCTTTTTTTTAAGAACCAGTAAATTTAAGTTCAGGCTGACTGTTCTTAATTTTTTCGAAAATCTGAGGCTGGATCTTAATTTGTTCTAAAGTGGGCTATAGGCCTCATTTGCCAACAAAGTGAGTGAGACAGCCTTAATTTGCTGACAAGTTCGAAAATTCACCGAAAAAGCACCCACATATTGCTAAAAATCCTCGATTCTGAGAAAAAACGTTATTCAAAATTGCCTTTTGCAGAAGCTCAGCCTCAGCTTGTTCTTAATTTGTTCTTAACTTTTGACCAGTTTTGAGGCTCGTGTTCTTATAAAATTGTTCTTATAAAAATAGAGTGTATTTCAAAAATAATTGACCATTGTCAAGAAAATACAATACTTCCGCTAGAGAAGCATATCTTTATCGTTTCACTCTACAACTAAATGATAGTGCCGTTAAATGGCGGTGATTGCCTTCAAATTTTGCATCTAAACATCCGAGCGGGGGCTTTACTACTTCCTTCGACTTCCTGATAGTAAAGTTCACACGCAAAGGGCCTAACGTAAATTTTATGGTATATTTTATCAAAAAACGAATTATTTTTCGTATAGCAGAGATCATTCAGCATTTCTTCGTGTCGAAGGTCAAGGACAGAATAGCTTAACAATGCCTTTGCATAAGCAAAGATTGTTATAAGAACAGGAAGTAAACAAATGGGGCCATTGACCTTAAGAAAATCATAAGACTCCCCAAATGTCAAATAACGAAATTTTCTGATTTCAAAAGTATTTTTATTTTTACAAAACAGTTAGTGGATTGAAAGAAGCTATAAACTGGCCTATTTCAGAGTTCGTTATTTTGATTTGAATACAAGAATAGGTTTAAAAAAACCCGCCATTACAGGATTAAGTTCAAATTTGAATAAACCAATCTCCGATTAGCGAAGGTACTGGTCATTCAATTGGCATTAAATGCGTGAAAAATTTTGTTTGATATAACACAAGTAATTTGGAAAAATGTTAGGCAGCTAAACCAGACGAAAAAATGTTATTTCACGTGGTAGGGGGTGTGAGAGAATAAATTTTGCTAATACATACCCAAGTCACTGTGTAGAAGGGCGCCAATCGCCAACATTTCGTTAGACTGTGGGCAGTTACGAAAATAAACAAAACTTATCGTAAATTGCGTATCTTAATCAACCACAGAGAACTCTAATGATACTTCGATATTAGCTTCTTCGGCCTCGCAAATACGAAATCAATTTCCCAAGAGTATGCTGCTTATTGTTCAAAAACAAAATGACTCAACCGCTATTATTTCAAACTAATGATGACAACACAACCACGCAGCACGTGATCAAATATTCTAAGTTCAAACCTGAGTTCAAACAGAACGAACCTTCCGTTGCTTGAAAACATCGCATATTATTATGACAATTCTCACTGATATGAACAAAGCTAGAAACATCAACAAAAGGCCTGGAAAACTGTGCCTCTGCAGTTCTATAAAACGATTCCATGAATCTGCCAGATCTGGGTACACCATTTTGAAGCCACTGTAATGTTGTTATTATTTTGATTCACATAGTGATGACAGCAAATTTGAAAATGCAAGCTTGTCCATCCTCGGCTCTCCTCCCACTCGTGCCCTTCTCTGAAACATTTCTCGTTGAACTCCAAATATTATAGAAAGGACTATCATGCCCAAAGTTAGTAGAGATTCCTTGGGTTTACAGTGATGTTGTCAGTATTGTTCTATTTAACAATGGGGCGATCAAATCCGAATTAAAAAGACTCTTACTCAAGCATAAAACCGGATCAAGTTTCACCCATAACCATACAAAAATATTGTAGAGATTTTCACTGGAGAACACTCTTGTTATCCGTTTGTTTGATGACATATAAAGTATATATCGCTCAAAGAAAGCGAACACAGGGAATTAAAATCGTGATTTTCGCCTAACACAATAATAATTTCAACAGTTTCATAGACATTTTAATGATTCGTTTAAGGTTATGATGAATATGATAACGACATGATTATGGTAAATATCATATATCATGAATAATGATGATGGTGACATGATGATTATTATGAATTTGATGAATATGAACTTTTTAGATCGTCACAAACACTAGGAGCTAACAAATATTGTTATTAAGCCACGATATTGTTATAAATATATTGATAATTATTATAATTACCATTATTTTAGCAAGAATGCTGATATCTTTAAAGAACATAAGATTGAAATAAGACTAACCTAGGTATTTTTCCGATAAATTTTGAAGTTTGAAGTTACTGAGCTACACAAAACAAATGGCAATCAGCCTAAGATATAATTATGCTAATCAAAATAAGCAACATCATAAATTCTTACCCGAAAAAGAAATCTTTCCATTTTAACTAAATAAAAATATTGGTTGGTAAACCCTTCATCTATCCACGTATGCTTTTATTTTTATGTTATCCATAACATATATCTTCCATAATGGCCTAGATGGTATTTACACTCATGGCCTGATGGTCGAAAACGCTTACAAACACACAGTTGAATGGAGGTTACAGCTACCTGCCATTGCTAAATGGGCTTGTCTTCCAGCAAAGCGAATTACCGGTTAAAAACCCTCAGGTGGCTGATAGGAGGTAGCGTAAATTACAAGTCTATCCCCAACAAAGATCAAAAATATTGTTTTTCCACACCTGCAGACTGGACAGCCCCACGGCAGAGACTATTGAATGAGAAACAAAAGAATGTACAGTCGCTCCTTTTCCCCTACTATATCAATTTCGTTAAAACGACACTGTTGAAGCACTTGTCAAAAGAAGTTAGTAGATTTTCAATAACCTCTTTACAACACCAGGAAATGCAGTCACGTTTAGAACCATCGAACGTATGCAAATTCGTCTGTTTCTAGGTTTAAAATCCATAATGCTCCTAGCCTGCTGGAGTAGTAATTGACGGTAGCCAAGTTGCTTCTGAACATGTTGAAAAATGTGGGCAAGAAACAAGGACATTAATTTTGCATAACAAAAATTTCAACGTTAATTAAGTCAAACTCACAGGAATTGTTTCTTAGGTCTTAATTTCGAGGAGATTCGTTCCTTGTTTGGCATTTTTGGACATTTGTAAACCATTTTGAATCAAATTTTTATTGGCTTCTATGCAGAATCAATGGGAAGAGGGCAAATTGGCAGCTACCCTCATTCGTCATTTTGTTAAGAGCAGGTACAAGAGAGCAGCTATTTAAGAGGTTGGAAAAAATACGGCGTAGCTCACAACAGCAACATGACATATATTTATGAAAAAGTAGAAGCGAGAGAGAATTTTGTAACAAAGGTCCTTCAACCAAAAAAAAATCCTGCTTTCTGTGCTCTTCACGTGGTCTTTCCTGACAAACAATGGACATACACCAGTTTACAAACACTAGCTATCGGAGTATTGAGTGTTGCATCGTTAGCCTCATAGTAGAATACACAGCGTGGTAAAACTAATGATATAGCGTCGCTTATATATCATTGGGTAAAACACGCTCACGACCTATGGAGCTCTAGAGGGAACATCTCGTAACTGTTTTAGTCAAGGCAACAAAAACTGTAGCACAACATAGTAAAAACTATTTTGCTGACCTTGAAACATGGCAGTGATAACATGGAATCCAGAAGCCAGTCGCTTAGATCAAGCCAGTTTCGAAGCTGAAGGTGCATAAATATAAGAGCAAATTAAAAACAAAAAATGGTGCGTGTACCCTCTCACCCCCATGTAATATAAAAATGCCATTTCTAAATGCAACAAGGCAAGCGTTGGTCTAGGCTCAGTTTGTTAGGTTTTAATTTTCCATGCTTAAAAAAGTGTTGGTTTACATACATGAATAAAGGCTTAGGCATAAATTTGAAAGCACACTCGTTCTGTATTGGTTTTGACTTCGTGTACCCAGGCTTCAAAAAACGAACGTCAGATATTAACTAATGTGAACAATTGCAGACAAAGTAATTTCCTGCCCTTGTCACTTTGATCGTTATTTCCTACTTTAAATATCTTATTCCTTTCGTGGCGATTCATGATTTGTGATTCAAGATTTGTGATTCATGATTTGTTTCATGAAGGCGTTCGCTTTAGGTACAGTCTTTTTGAGACAAGGAAAAGCATACAATAGGCCCTTTCAAAGCAGTTGCTAAAACAGGGCAAAATGTGTATAAAAATGGAGGTGAAAGGTTTCAAGTGCAAAAAATATCTAAAGGAAATAAGGTAAAAATGGATCTAGCAATTATATTAAGGTAATAGTGCATTCGTTTTTATTATTCCCTATTCAACGAGTTAGATTAGTGCTCTAGAACAGATACAAAACAAAAACTTAAAATGGTGACGGAATTCCCTCTCTAATCACAACTTGGTCCCTAAGTAGAGTTATTTGGTCTTTTGGAATTCGGCCTCTCAATTAGGAAAACAAGTTAGCTTGAAACATCGATAATATCCAGTCCAGTTCAGAGGAAATGTAAAGCTGATAATTTATGTCGTTCTTGATGTTCTAATAGCTGCTCTTGTCTTCGATGATGATTATGCTGATGTTGATAATAATGATAATTATGCTGGTGATTTTGGCGATGATTACAATGATTAATGATCATGATCAACTGATAAATGCTCATGACAAAACCTATTAACATAACTGAAACTGTCAAAGTCTTTCGCAAGGTGATTTCTCCAAAACTGAAGTTAATCACCTTTCTCTCGCACAGGTTGTGTTCAGTCTAAGGGCAGACAAACTAAAACAAACATTTTTCTCCCAAAATAAATCATATCTATGAATTATAAATATTCTAAATTACTCTTTTATCACGTTCCGCAATTTTATTATATATCTATATATTTACATCAAACATTCTTTCAAGGTTAGGAATTAGTGTTGAGCCTGAGGGTGTCTGCAAATTTTTCATAAAAATACGTTAGTCCAAGTAAAAGGTTTGAAAAGATTCCTACCTTCTGGACAAATACCTCATCTAAAATGATCTTACAAATTACTTGCCGAAAGGGTGGATTCCTGCAAAAGTATTTTGCTAAAGCATTTGTTGCAATAGGGACTTAAATTTGGTGACGAACTTAAAGGAAGTTTATTTGCAGAGAAATAACTGGCCCTTGAAAATTGAATTACATCGAACTGACGAAGCGACAAAAAATAAAACAATAATTTTAGGTACAGTTTTAATTTACCTTTAAGCCTTTTGTGGCATTGACCTAAGTAAGAGGTGTAAGAACAAGCCAAATAACTGAGAGAAAAATATTTGCAGTTGCCCCCAGACTGAACAATGACCTCATGGAATCAGAAAATTCACAACAGTAATTAAAAATCGTTTGCCAATTATACAGCGCATGTAACAACTCTATGATTTTGCCAACTCAGCAACAGAAAACCTAAGCTTTCAGGCATTTTCGTCAAAAGAACATGTAATCTTGTTTATTTACAAATATCACGATAAATTAGCGGGATTCTATCACCCTTGGGGAACTGGTCCGAAACGCGAAAGGAGAACAAATGCCACTCTGTGTAACCGAAAATGTCCCTAAGGAAAGACACGTTTATGAGGTATTTTCATGAGGCATTTGAAAATCATACCGGCATTTATGACACCATGTGGTCTAGGAAAGGACTGTTTATAAACATTGCTGGTGTGGACTATGTCAACTCCCAGGATAAATATACATCTAAAACTCGGTATAAAATAGAAAGACTGGCGGTAATTGCTATCGGACTACATTATCAATGGCACAGCCAGGAAAAACCATCTCTTATTGTACTCAAAACTCGGCATTCCTAAGAAATTTTGACGAAACCCTAAAGCTAATATTTGTGTGAAGTGCTTAACAAACAGCGTATATATTACATCCCACCTCTGAAACACAGAATATATCTATGATCTCGTAGAAATAACAGCAGATAAAAAAATCAGGTAGAAATATGCCTACAGCAATGCACGGCAAAAAAAGTTAAATCAAATAAAACGACTTGCTTGTGGGACACAAAACATAAATATGTAATTCTTCTTAAAGTTGGCGTTGCGTCGCTTGAAAACATAGTTTGTTTGCTTCAGCACTAAATCCAATCACTTAATGACGTTGTGAAAATGCTTATTGCCACGATTGGTGAATGAAAAGTGTTTTGTATAAGGAATGAGTGTATGCAATCTAAAACACAACATAGTTCACCTTTACACTAGCAACAGCTAGATTCAACTAATCATAGGTATAGTAAGAATAAGGCACCTGGCATTCGTGCTCCTCTTCTATTTTTGATATTTTTTCTCCATACTGACGATGAAGGCCTTCCTCCGTAACAGCAATGCGGTCCCTATAGTCCGAGTCTAGGTCGGTGCGCAGTTGCCTTAGGTTGTCCTCATTTCTAACCTCGTAATCATTCCTTGTTGATTGTAGAATGTTAGAAAAGTTTTCTCGCAAGGTATCTTCTTGTTCCAGTAGCTCGTTTTCCCGTGCTCGGAAATCCTCTTCCCACTTCTGAAGTTCTAAATCCTTTAATTCGAGCTCCCGTTCTAATTCTTCCCTTTCAATACTCAAGTCTTTTTCCTTCAAAGAGAGCCTTTCTTCAATGCTTGTTAGCTCCGTCTACAAAAAATAAAAATAATAATCTGTTAAAACTCAAGATATTAATGTACTTTACTCAATAATATTAAAAAACCTGGAGCTAAAGCCTTACAATTTTGAGTACACTTTTTCTTAGAACATTTCTTAAAAATACTAACATTTTTCCTTTGAATTTAGATCCTTTGATCCTTGCTATTGCAATTATGTAAACATCCAGCCTGAATATCTTTCGATTGCTCACCTGAAGTTTCTTCCTTAATCCTCTTATCTTGCCCGTTGAAATTCAACTATTTCAACGGAATGTTCTCACGAACCGCTTTTGGCTTACATTATTAAAAACCTGCATACGACTTTCCTGAAATTCCCAATAGAAAGAAACCCCTTTCTATACTTCAAATATACATAGGTCTTTCTGACAAAAAACTAAACATATTTGTAATTATGCGAAAATTTTTTGTTGTTAAACCATTCTGGTAATCGTGAGAATGCTTCTCGGGAAAAGAAACTAATTTAAGTCAAGAAAAACGGATTTAGTTGGCACGATTCCAAAGCACTGAATACTATAACCTTTAATTCATTGCTATGAAAAACCCTACCCACATTACCATGATAATTTTTGCCACTTGGGCCTTGCCATTTCACGGGGAGAGGGTGGTTGCACTGAAGATAACTAACCGAATTAGGCATAAATTGCAAGAACTAGAACCAGGCATGACCACAAAACTCAATTGTCGGAATAGCTACCATATTTCCAATTGAATCAATTGTCTTACCTTCAGTTCATCGCGCTGCTTTGTCAATTCGTCAGTTAGTTTCTCCTTCCCGTTCAGCATTTCCCTAAGCTTTTCCAGCTCAATCAACTTCTCATTCAAAGCCTCTCTTTCAGCTGCCAACTCCATCTCAAGAGCCTCTTTCTGACTGAGCTTTTCAGACAATAGTTTCTTCTCTTCCCTCAGTCTGTCCTCAAGCGTCGCTTTTTCCTGCACAACCCTGGCATAGCCCTGGTGGTCCTTTCTGTGTTGTTCTAATTGTTCTATTAGAGCGTCGCGTTGGCGATGAAGGGCGGCTAGCTGACGCCCGAATGCCTCCTGGATTTCATTGGTAACAAGATCACTGGTAGACAACTTCTCGTGCAATTCCTGAATAAATAACGAGCTACCATAAGTCAATTTTATCCTTAATGTGGTGTAGTTATGACTTCAAGTAAGTGTACATATAAAATATGAGCTTTGTAGCGATAAAATTTTGCAAAAAACGACTTTGTTGAAATTCGCACATTCATTGATGCCATAACCTTTCATAAAATAAACAACAAAGTGAATTGGTAAACTGGAAATCGTAACCATTTTTAAAAACAGGAAAAGGAATCAGTTGAACTCTCTGACAAAAAAGTATATGGCTGAAGACCGAAGACGGGAAAAAGTTACAGATGAGTTTTCCTTTCCTGGCGGGCATTCAAAGTATTGACATTGCTGTATATTCTTATTGACAAGCACCTTCTTTAAAACAAAGTGACATAAAAACTTCAATCAAGTAGGGTTCCTAGCTTAGATTATGTATTTCATTTGGGAAAGTGAAATCACTAGACGTTAATTGACTTAAAGCTTGTATTTTGTATGATAAACAACGAGAAATACTTCTGATGAGGTTTCAACAGTATCTAATAACTGCTAAAAAGAAACACAAACATTTGCATACAAACCTTTATAATATCTTCTTGTTTTTCAAGTTGATCTTGCAATAACTCTTTTTCGTTATACAGCTCAATATTATTCTCTTTCAATAAATTCACTAATCTCCAATTTTCATCTTTTAAGTCATTTTCAATTTTCTCTTTCTCTTTCAATTTTTGCTCGAGCATACCAATTTTATTGGCTGCATCCTTTTTCTCGCGTAACAAAACTTCGCTTGCTGTATTCTCTTGCGCCGTCCTTACTTCGGTTTCTTTCCCAACTCGAGCGCGTAATTGTTCTGCAAATAGCATTCGTTCGTTTTCAAGAGCTTCGCGTAACTCCTTGATTTCCCTTTTTTGCTGTTCTTGTTTTTCATTACTGTCAATCAGCAACTTTTGCAAATGCTTTAATTCCAAATCTTTATCGAATGAAAAAGATGCTACCTGCTCCTTTCGACTTGCCTCTTCCGCTTCAACCTAACCATAAAATTCAAATAGCATCAAAACGTACGAAAACAAAAATAACTTCTAACACAAAATCGCTGATGTAAATTAATCGATGTCTTGAAATAACTTAAAACAAACCAACTCATTTGATAAAACGAATGAGTTCAATGCAGTGGTTTTGTCTTAAAAAACTTTTTCAGAAAATTTGTGATTATCAAGCCCCTCTAGTCAGCACCTATCTGCGTTAAGGAGGATAAATAAAATACTTATAGGTTAACAAAATAACAGAGTAAGTTTCTTGATTCGCCGCATGTAACTACCGTTAGTGTCGAATAAGTAAGCCTTGACCTAGCAATTATACAAAAGAGAGGCAGGCACGGGGAGGGGGCTGGGGGGGGAAGGGGGCGGTCACCCTAAGATAATTTGAAGGAAAATTGTCTTTTGTTCTAAAACAATTGGAAGATGTTACGTCATCTTATCAAAACAGTAGGCATGCCTTCCCAATATTTGACCAAGTATCCGCCCCTGATACAAAACGGTAATTTTTCTAGCCAATTGACAATTTAGATCAATCATAACTGACTCAAAAAATCCAAATAAATTTTCGGGTAGGCTAGATTTTAACACTCACCCTCTGCTCATTCTCGGGGCCATCAACCTCCTCAAGAGGAGTAGTATAAAGCTCTTCTAAGAATTCAGGTACAATTGCTACTTCTTCATGTTGCATACTAACAACGGAAACATCTTCTTCAATCACTGGCTCTCTTCTTCCTTTCTCTTCCCTCAAAAAACTGATCTCAGACTTGACATCCATAAGAGACCGATCTAGTTCTTCTTTCTGCTTCCATTTTAACTCTAGTTCATTTGAGATTTCAGCCAATCTGTTGTTCATAAACTCAATATCTGTGTTAAGGAGGCTTCTATCTTTGCCATCAGTTGCATCAAACCCACCATCTTCCCCAGCCTTAGCCAGCCTGTCTACTTCAGCTTGCAATATACTAGCAGTTCCTTTCAGATCTTCATTAACTTCGTAACTTCTATTCAGTTCTTCTTCGTTATTCTTTAACAGCGCTTTGAGATTAGCAAGTTCTTCTTTCAGGGTCTGGTTCATATCTGAAATATCATTGCGTGTTTTCTCACTATTTTCATACTTAGCTCTGGTTTCCTTCAACTTATACGCAAGATCGACAATCTGACCTTTACATAACCGCGTAATTTCACTCAGTTCACGATCTAAAGAAGATTCAAACTCTTCTCCTGATTTATCTTCACTCAATTTTTCACTTATCTTTCTCTTTCCAAAGCTTTGTGTTTCATCCATGCTCAAATTGAGAATCTCTGACCTTAAATCTTCTAATAGAGCTTGCAACGGCACTTCGATTTCGAATGGTTTTTCAGATTTCAAACTCGAATCGGTTTCTCTCGCAACAACTTCTTCTTCTGCAACACTCTTATCTCTAATGCTGATTTGCTTTTCCAATTCTTCTTTCTCACGAAGCAGCGTATCTAAACGATCTTCTGCCTCCTTCAACTTTCTCTGCACATCTTCAGTATCTTCACGGGACCTATTGCCTAACTGCTTTACCAATTCTTCTTTCTCGTTGCTAGTCTTCCGCAAGCGACTTTCGGCCTTGCTTAGTTTCTTCTGAAGCGCATCTTGCTCTTCCTGATACTTTGCGATCTGAGTTGCCAACATTTCTTCCATTTCAAGCTTCTTCATTTCCTTAAAGGACAGATACTCCTGCTGAATGCTACGCAATTCTGCATCCCTTTCTTCCTGAACTCTCTTTAACTGTCTCTCCATTTCATCTTTTATCTGTGAGGTGGCATCTTTTTGTTCTTTCGTCATATTACATACAACATCGTGTACTTCCTTGTGCTTTTCTTCTTCCAGTTGATGCTTCAAAAGCTCAACCTCTTCTTCTTTTCGTCTTTCAAAATCTTCTGCAAAACGTTTCATTTCTGCATCTCTCTCTGCTTCAAACCTTTTAAGATATTGCCACTGATTCTCCTTAAGACTCAGATGATCTTCCTCGGATTTCTTTTCAAACGCTGCCTTTACTTCAGCAAGCTCTCTTCTGTGCTTCTCCTCCAATGCTTCCATTTCCCGTTCCAGACCGCTTTCATGCGATACTTTGTCTCTATCCCTCACCTCCTTGATTTCCTTAAGTCGAATTTTCAAACTTTGATTCTCATCTTCAACGTGTTTCATATCACATTCAAAGTCTGACTTCAATTTCTGCACGTATTTCTCGCTACTTTCTCTACTGTGCATCATCTCATCTTTCAGGTTTTTTATATGTTCATCCTTTTCTTGTCTCAATTTCTCGAAGGTTTGGTTGAACTTTTCCATCATTTCGTTGTTATTTTCACTTTTCATTACCTCCATTCTCTCTTTCAAAAGTCCCACTTCCAATTCAGATTCTGCAATAAAAGACGTTTTCTCCATTTCAATTTGGTCAACCGTTTCTTTAAGCTTCTTATTCTCATTTTCAAACTTTTCAACTAATTGCTCAAAATCATTTCGTTCATCTTTGACTTTTAGCAAATGCTCTTGAAGCTCATTTTTATCATTCTCCAAAGAAGATACATTCTCCTTCAATCTGTTTTCGTTTGCAATCGCCTCACTCAATTGCTTTTTCACAACTTCAACTTCACCAATGAACTGTAAAAACTCAACCTTTTCTTTCTCAGCTGAGTTTTTCAAATTCATGATTTCCGTTTCCTTTATTTTCATTTTTTCTTCATATTCCTCTTTTGTGTATTTCAAATCTTTCTCTTTTTCAGCAGCGAGTTCTGTTTTTTCCACACTCAAAATATCAATAACTCTCATATCTTCTTCAATCTTTAATTCCTTCTCGCCAAGTATACTCTCTAAATCAGTAATCTTCAGTTCAGATTCTTTAAGTCGATTCATCAACTCTTCATTAAGTCCCTCAATCTCGAGTTTTCCAATTCGGGCTTTTTCTTTAAAAGTGTCTAATTCTTCTTCCTTATCTGCAAATGCAGTTTCAAGTATATCAATCTTGGCTTTAAATTCGTCTATTTGTGTCTCTTTTAATGCCAGCTGCTGATCTAACTGAGTTATTTTATATTCACTGTCTTCCAGTATTTTTCTAGTTTCCTCAGCTCCTTGCTGCACAATCGCCTCCGTAACCTGTTTCCGTACTGCCTCCAATTGGACCTTCTGTTCGGCTTCTATTTCATCACGCACACGAAGTATCTCCTCATGTTTAGCCTTATCCAAACCAGCTTTCATTTCGACTAACTTGGCTTCAAAGTCTTTTTCCATGCCCTGTATGTCTTCTACTTTTTTCGCTTCAAGTTTTCGAATTTCATCTTCCAGGTTTCTTATGCTCGTCTGCATTTGTTCTTGCAAAGCTAAATCATAATGAGACTGCAAATTATCTACATCATCAGCTCTTAGCTGTTCTGTTTCAGTCCTTTCTCTCTCCAGCCTTTGTATCTCATCTTCCTTCTGTGATAACACAGCGCTGTAGTGTGCTTGCTTCTCTCTCAGTTCATCATTTAACCCCTTCATCTTGCTTTGACTTTCTTCTACTTTTTCCTTTAGCGTTTCAATCTCATCAAGGTAAATCTTCCGATCATTGTTAAATCGACTATCCTCGCTATTTGTTGCTTCTACCTTCATCTCTAACAGTTTAATATCTTGGTCCTTCTTCTCAAGAGCTTTTTCCGATTCTTGCACCAAGACTTTTGTGGATGCTAATTCTGCAGTGGCCTTGGATATTTCAGACTCGTACTCTCGAAGTGTCGTTCCATTCTGGTAAAAATAAATCATCATCTCATTATCTTGCTTTAAAATAGAATTACGGCCATAGAGTTTAAAATAGTTCAATTAATAAATAAACGGTAGAGATGCCATTTTGGCCTACCTAAAAAATTTCAAGCCAAAAAGCAACTTTCTACAAATAAGTGTGGCTGAATAATAAAGACATATATATTTGGTCACTATATATAGGACATGTGGCTACTGGAATTAAGGCTGGTTCGCTTGCCATGATCTTATGACAATATTTCACATTAAAAAAGAAATATTGTCTAGAGAAAGATTTTCTGGAATTAAAAAAGGCATCGGAGCCGTCTTACAACAGCAACATACAAATTAAGAGAGCTTTGCAATTTGCCCACTGGTTATCGCCATGGCAACATTTGATTGCTTATGAAAGAGCAGAATTGATGAATGACACAAGAATGATTTATGGATAAGAACAATCTGTATTTGACTGCTAGTCTGAGTTACCGTTTGGAAGAGTCAATATCCAAACGACAAAACAAAAATTAACAGCACTTTCAACCTGCAGTAGTTGTTCTTGCATCACTTTGATTCTCTCCTCAAAATCCTCCACTTGCGCCCTGGTCTCTAACTGCACAGCGTCTCGTTCACCAATTGCCAAAGAAACTTGAGTATCTACCTCAGCAATTTTTTTCTCTTTTTCATTCAATTTTGCATCAAGTCTGGTGATCTCGCTTTCTAAAATGTTTATCTAGAAATGCAAATAGGAACATTTACGTTACAATCGATTTGAGCAACATTTACTTCCAATGATTTTTGCCAATTCCTTGTGCGGGGCTTCCCTGATTCAAAATATTATGCCTTAAAGAAATCCTTGTAAAATTCAAACAATTTATTAAGATACTGTAGGAAGTTACTGAGCTTTGTAAGTACAAAAGTAAACAACCTTGATGCTCATCCAAATTTCTAAAGAACTGGCCTAAATTTCATTTTGTGATTTAATGATAATTTCTATTCTAATGGAGTAAGAAAACCATTGCCACCTCAGTTAGTCGGCAGATGGGTTTTGCGCCAAATCAGGGCTCATCAATACAGCTAGACTAAACGAGGACCTAATGCGACCCAAAGCCAACCATTAAGCAGTCAGTGGCAATGCAATGGAGGTCGTTTGAAAAAGAAACATTAATGCATGAATCTTATTCATAGTTCCTCTAAATGTTTTCGTGATTCTAATCTTTCTTGATTCCAAATTATTCCGAAGCCTTTTTGTAAGCCTATCTTAGACTTACAAGAATATGATGAAATGGAGCCTAAAGATTAAAACAGATATGGGATGAGCCATACCTTCATTAAATGGTCATTATTTAGTGCCACTATGTTGTGATACTCAGCTTGAACCTTCTCAAGCTCAAGAATAGTCGCTGAACATTTCTGTAAAAGCTCCTTTTCTTTCTGTGTATTATCATCTTCAATCTCTTTGCGTCGCTTTTCGGCATTTTTGAGATCCTCTTTTGCCTGGTTTGAATGCAGCGTTAACTCTTTAACAACTTCTTTCGTCTGCATAAAACTGATTTCGATTGCTTTCAGTCTCTCTATCTCATCATCTTTTAATCCTAATTCGCTTTGAAGATCTGCAATTTTCCTCCTGAAGCTTTGCATCTGACTATCTGAGGCTCCTGATTGCGATAGCTCATGAATTTTCTCTCTTAATTCTTGATTCTGTTTGTTCAGTTCCGATAGCACGGTGTGTTTGGCGTGCAAACTTTCCCGCAGACTTTCCACTTGCGAATCAGATTGACTGTTATCTGGTGATTGATCTTTCAACCGTGATTTCAGCTTATTATTCTCCTTAATCAATTCCTCATTCTGAAAATTCAGCGCCTCTAACATTTGTTGCTTGCTTTCAAGGGAAAGGTTTAATTCTTCCATCTTTGATGATGATGACCTGTCATCGTGGCCCGTGTGAGCTAGCTTTGCTCTCATCTCATGATTTTCTTTATTGATATCTTCAAGTCTTTTTTGGTTCTCATTTAGTGTTTCCTGTAAACTTTCAAGTTCCTTACGCAAAACGGGAGAAGGACTTGATTCTTGCCTGCTACCAGACTGGAAAGTATGAAGTTTCGCTCTTAATTCATAATTTTCCTTGTTCAGGTCTTTTATAACAGACTGCTTCCCACGCAGATTTTCTTCCAACTCGACCACTCTACTTTTGAGTTCATTTCTCTCCAGATTGGCAACCACCAGGCTATCAACTCCATCCTTCAAACAGATTTTCAAAAGTATATCGTGATCCCCTTTTTTATAAAAATACTCTATGAATAAACTTTTAAAAACTTTCATAGTACAATATCTAACTCAATATAATTTAGAATGGTGACGTCAAAGAAAACGAATTTTTCATCTCAAACAAGTGAGATAAGATAACTGTTTTGAAGAATTGGCTAACAACATAGTACACGTAATTTAAGCTTTTCAAAAATTGGCAATGTAAAAGACAACAAACATACTCAGACCTAGCGTTCTGCAAAAGGAACCTTTAGAAACAGTTTGTGGATTTAGGGGCATGATAACTATGGTGTAGGTTAAAAAAAATTAGTCACTTTCTCTTATTTTACTTCGAAATGGCTGCTTTGTGTTGTCTTTTTTGAAGAAGCTCAGTAAAGGATTACGGAGAGTTTTGTGATTTTTCCAAACCATGCAAAATTCCTTCCAAAATAAATCACAATGTATAATTGCCCTTGTGTAAAATAAAATGCAATAAGTGTTAACTGCTCTGATCTTAGAACTTCACTAAGTATGAAGTAAGCCTAGACGAGCTGTCATGGAGAATAAAGACTAATATCTAGATGCTTATTTCTGTGTTGATAACGTACCTCTGAATATGTGTATGATTCCTCTGCACTTGTGTATTCACTGTCACTTGTGTAGCTATTGTCTCCACCCTGAAATAGCATCGGTAAAAAAATATAATAAGTACTATTTGAAATAATGGCGTTAGAACAATCCAATTAATCCTATTTCGTTGTACCCCCTGGTACCTTAGACTTCATAAAGTTGTCCTGATGTTCGATTCACATTGGAAATTCCTACCCTATCAAAAGTATAAAATTGGACGTCGGATAATCGTGCCTCGTTTATCAGATAAAGTTGTACCTATGAAAAGTCGGACATTTGCTATGTTGGACCATTTCCTTATCCCCTTGAAGGGCTGACTTAACGAGATTAGACTATGTACTAATATAGTTGACTTACATACTTCATTTTTCATATTAAAAACAATACAGAAATATTGGAATAAAGACGGGAATGATGATACCCAAACAATGAAGCCAATTGTCTAATTACGGGGGACAGGGAGTGGTTTGCGAATTGGCTTTTTTGTGAAAATATTACCCTCAGCTGCATCTGCAACTATATCCATGAGATAAAATAACAATAATTTGCATACAAAACACGAACTATGGTAATATGGACAATACATAATATATTTGTATAAACATTTTGCGAGTTTAAGAACATCAAACAACAGGTTTCATCTCTACAAGCCTGCTTGTGATTAAATCACTCTTCAGAAGATTATTTGGCTAAAATTTGATCGCTTAAAAGCAAGCATAAAGTTGTTTTATATTATCAACTAATATAGTGTGGGGCAAAGAAAAGTGACCTTAAAATCCAGTGCCTTTATTACACCGAGAAAACAAGGTATAAACCAGCGTTTAAACGTGAATGTGTTTAAGGGAAAAAGAAATAGCTATATTTTCCTTCTGTTTTTCCTTTCAAACAGAAGGAAAGCTAATGACAACATGTCTAGACCCTTTGTTTTTTACCCTTCCACTTCTTCTTCCAACAAAAAAAGAATGGCTGAGGTACCACAAACACGAGAAAGCAAAACTCTTTACATTTAGCAACACTATGCATGGAATTAAATGTCCATTTTCAAAGACTAATTATGAATTAAAATCGTTTTTATTTCAATATTCTTCCCAGTAAGCAAACAGTATTTTCATTTAGTAAGCCAAAATAAGGCACCATACGCTTTTATTAATATACAAAAATCTTTGACTGCTAGATAAAGCAATATCAACTTTTCTGAATAAATTTTTAACAGTATTGATTTTTGTAGCAAAGAATAACATGTCCTGAATAGACTTTGAAGCAATTAGTCCACTTTGGGACAATTTCTGATGCAGATATCAAGACAGATGTCAGAAAGAATAACATTCCTACCTCATGAGGGATTGGTGAAACTGGAAGTGAATTTCCAGCACTGCTTATTGATGCTGCATCATTCTCTGTGTTTTGATCTCCAAAATCATCACCACTATGTGCTCCAGATGCTGCTCTGGGACTGCTCATTTGTGAACCAACAGTCCTTTGTACTTCCTTTGCTACAGGCTGGCTTCCTGATTGGCTATTATTTTGGCTTTGATTTCCAGAGGTCTTAGAGGTTGCAGCAGCTTCTTCTTTCTTCTTCCTTTTTTTCATTTGCTTAAACTCCATGAGCTTGAAGAAATTGAAACTTTTTATTGGTGTTGTAAAAATAGGAGGTAAGGTTGTTATCTGCTTATCCAAAAGAATATCAAGCTAAATCCAACATTTGCCCAACATATCCTTTAAAGACATTGAGCCATGGTAAAGGAGAGGGTATACCTAAATGAACCCAAATCTACTGAATTGTGATTCTGGTGCTGCAATGCTATTGGTGGCCCTGACACCCTGACACTGATCACATGAAGTTGCTAAGTTTGCATTTTCGGTCAAAAGCAAGTTGTCAACAACAAATGCCAATACCCATGAAAATACAGCATTTAACCCCTTTAAGAAGGTCCATTCACGATGACTCTATGCCTTTAAATGCCAGAAAATGATCCATATCTATAGATCTGTATCTAAAGAAAATCAAAGTCAACATTTCAAGACTTTTTAGCTACAAATTTTATAGATATGAAATGATATTCCAAAACTATATTTGCAGAAACAACTGGTTGCTTATCAAAACCTTTTTGAATTAAAGGGGAGAAAGATGAAAGCTTGCATGAAATTACAGAATTCAACAGGTGTAAAATACAAAAGGTGTCTTTTCAGATACTTGACAAATCCTGCAATTCTGAATAATAATTTTCATAAACCAAAAAAAAATATTACCGTATTTCACCATGTATAAGATGCACCAATTTTTTTATTATAATTGGCTCTGTTTGAGGGGCATCTTAAATATAGTAACATTGACTATCCCATCAATTCCTTATGAAGGCACAGTGTCATATATAGACAAAATATTATGATATTTGAACTGTTTTCTTTATTCGAATAATTGCACTTTTAACAGAAATTTAGTAAAAGCTCTGAAATTCTCTGAAAATGTTGTGAGTGTTATAGAGTAAAGGAGGTGCTTCTTATACACGGTAAGACACAGTAAAAATTTTTTTTTCAGAATTCAAACATGGAATTTGGGCGGCTGCCTCTTATGTAAGAATGCGTCCTTTACATGGCAAAATATAGTACATATTTAATGAGAATTGCACACCAAAAATGATGCTTATGGCCATCAAGCAAAAGGGTGTACAAAACACAATTTTCTAACAAAATCATGATTACAATCAGGCTTTTTCGTAAGATATAACCCACGCAAGTGGCTGATCGCTCGCGATATTTCTCTTGCGTGAGCAATCACTCTGGTAGTGATAGCAATGATCTTTTAAGGTACCCTTTCGTTTGAGGTAACATCAAATGAAAACAAACTGTTATGATGACCTTAAATGCACTCCAAGAAAGAATAAATACCCAATACAAATGTGCTTCGTTTATAAACTTTATATATATCATGAAGGTCATATAGACGTCATTGCCGGATGATCGCATAATGTTGCCGTAGATTCAGCGCACAATATTTATTTATCTGGTTATGTTCCTCACGAATATTCCACCAATAAAAAATCTGATTTCTGATAACAAGAAAAACAAAAAAAATTCAAGGTCTCGTTCCCCCCGCGTTCGTTATCCACAAATTTCAAAATTATTGTTCTGGCGTTCCCCCCGCAGAAAATATACTTTACAGTCTAGCTGCCCAGAAAATGTCCTAAGTGCTATTGTAATTCAAATACTAATGCATTTTTTTGTTGAGATGTGGTTTACTCAGCTTAATATTTCCTTTGTCTTGATATACCCGCTTTGTATTGTCTATGTCACTTGCTGGGTCACAAAAGATAACTAGAAATGTCTTGATTGATGAGACATTTATTCCTCACAATTTACCATTTTGTGTGAGTGATAGAACGCTTGAGTGGTTGGGTTTGTGCCAGTGCTGACGCGATCGCAAGTGTTCGCTCACATCAACAGAAAAGGCCTGTACAATATACACAAAATGCAATGATGGCAGAATATTTGGAATCAATAGCTTGTAATTAAGCAACCACATAAATCACTTAAAAACCTTTATTTTTCTCCAGGCCTACATTGTCCATTTAATGAAAAAATATATGTTTTGTCTTCAAAAGTAATCGTAACTGTATTTCTCCGAGTCTTTCTATTCTTTGCTAAAAATTGCTATGCTTTGCTATGACTTTTCAACTTGATTAATCTTAAGTATTTACAAAGGGAGTCTATCTAGAGTATTCGTAAGAATGAAATCATGAGTATGTGTGCATTTCATTTGATAAATACACATTCAAAAATATATCAAAGTTTGCTAAAAGTTTTTAAATCAAAACTATGCTTGTCTCAAAAATGTCAAATTTTCAAAATTGATTATCATCAGCTTTGATTTTAACCAAATAAAAGATCAAATATCAGAGTAATCAACAGAGCCAAAATGCTGTAAAAACTGTATAGATACTTGTAATGATGGATTTTAGGCCAGTGGATTTGGCAGCGCTTACTTGTGCATTTCAAGGCCTCAACTACTATGATTTGATAACTTGTTACACCAAATAGTCATATACAAATACAATTTACTTACAACATAGCCAATGTGCTGAGTAATGTGAAGCTGTGAAACTTTAGTTTCAGTTTTCATTGACAATTATAACTAAATACATAATACAATATATGCAATTGAATTACCTAAATTAACTAAAACAATCAAAATACATGACAATCAACTAATACAGAAACTACAAAATACATCCACGCCAGACACAGAGGAAAGTGAAAAAAGGCACAATACTGTACAGAACATATAATGAGCATGGATGGGTTCCAGAAGCAGTCAGCAGTCAACAGTAACTGGATCTAGTATTCACAGTAACTTTTCTAATTCTGTATTTGTTATAATTTAGTTTTGTGTTTTTGAGCCATGACCTTGGGGTAGTCATGATTGTTAACTCCCTGTCATATATTTATTGCAATGGTTTTCATAACTGATGTAAATAATCATGCTAGTAGAATCTTATCATGTTTCTTTTTTGCAACTTTTTCTAATGATTAAGAAATAATGGAATTAAAATGATGAAGCATGGCAGAATTTAGGTAGAAAATGTACTGTCATTTGATTATACATTTATTCACATAATATAATTTGTTGAAAAGGGAGAGCTTTTGAAAATATTGTTCTGTTTAAGGTATTTTAATTCTTTCTTTCTGACTTAATGACATCCATGATAATAAAAGATCTATCTATAATAGTGCAAAAATTGTAAATAGGCAGGTAATTATAACAATGATTTCTTGCAGGTACCAACCAAAAAAAAGTTTCATCAAGATATAAAAGTTTGTTTGACCAAAAATGGTTTTTTATTCAAGGTATTTTGAGCATTATTGCTTTGTGTATGTTCTCGCAATTCTTGAAATTCAAGCAATGAACTTATCGAACGTCACTATAACCGAACAAATTTATGTACCTTTGAAATGAATTGAGCAAAAAACTATTACTCATTAATGTCACATCCCATTCATGCACCAGTTAAAAAGGTTGATTCTAGATAAACATTTTAAATACAACTTAGAAAGATACTATGGACAACTAGGTACTCAAAACGCCGACGTTATCTAAATTAGGCCACATTAAGCATTATAAAGTTTGCTACACAAATCCCTTTACCTTCGCTCTGCCAGCCTTTAATTTTCGCTGTCTTTCTGTCTCTGAATCGCTCATTTTGTGCTTTAATGGCTTTGATTTGCGTTAATTGCAGTCTAGTGATCGTTTTGGAAGTTAATTAGGGTAAACACATCGAAGAAGTGTGAAGTTTTTGGCTGTTAGGAATCCGAAGTGTCCAGGGAGATGCAAAAGGCGGGCAAACATGCCCCGCGGGCAAAGCGCAATCACAAAAACCACAACCGCGGGCAAAGGTTAAGGAGCAAATCAAAATGTCTCTTGGAAAGAAGTAGTGGATTGCTCTTTTAGAGTCGAGTTTTTTGCAAACTTTGACCCTTAATAATTACTATTTAATTTATTATCAAAGGGCACTGATATGATTTAGTTTTAAATTGATATGGCAAATCTAAAAATTTCAGAAAGTAAAACGAATCCAGTTTCAAAAGATAAATGAATAATAGCGCCAAAATATCACTTTAAATGTGGCTACTGTTCACTGAAAATCAAGAAAACGATATGCACACAACTTTTGGGTAATTTCTTGGTCGATCAAGCAACAATATGTATTGCTCAAGTATATTCTCAATGGACTGAACATGATTTACAAGCATAGTGAAAGCCTAGAATACAACCAGGTGTTTGCCCTAATCAAACAATAAAATCATAAAATCGTTAATAGCAATAAAATCATCCTTCAACTGCACCCTAACTTAGTAATCGTTGCTAGTTTTTGGCTGTGAACCGAATGGGCCAATTATAAGGACACCTATTTAAAATACACAATCTGTCAGGCCGTCTGTTCCTTAAAATTTTTCTCATCAACTTCAAAAAACACGTTCTTTTAAGCCAACAAAAAACCTTACCAAAACAAAGACCTTACCAGCAAAAAATCGTTGTCGCTCAAACCGTAAAATTCAAGATAAATGTGGTAGTCCTTGTTCGGCGTTGTTGTAACGTAGGACCGCCAAAACTTGGACGTTTGGCGTTGTTTGTATATAAACTCTTGTGCAATTGAATGAAACAGTGACTAGCAATGACAATATTTGACATTCACTCAACTTCGAAATTATCAAATTACAATAGACCAACGTTCAAGGGGTTTAGAAATTCAACTCGCTTTAAGTAGATGACAAATTTTGAAAAGCCTAGCCAGTGGCAATTCTCCAAACATTAAAATTGAGTGAATATATATAGAACATTAAATGTTTGGTAATCAGCAATTACATTAACTACAAAAAATTTCATTGTGACAAAAATTTCGGACAAATATTTTGACGAAATTTTCTTCGACGAAATTCAAATGAGACGAAATTTGGTCACGACGAAATTTTTTGCATTTAAGATTTTTGAAAATTCGCATAGAAAAACTCTTACATGAGGTTAGGAATAGAATCGATGTATCCTTTTTATCTTTTCAATGTCAAAAACGTCCTTTTCCTCATTTACAACGTCTCCATAATTATCTTTACCGTCGGCATCATAATCATCATCATCATTGAACTAACTTCGTCATCACCATTGTTCAATAAAAATAGTTCTTAGTTGCGTAGCGAGAGGGAGGCAAGAGGGGTGCCCCCCCCCCCATGGCAAAAATTATATTCGAAAAAGGGCGTTTTCTGGCGTTCTAAAGGGTGTGGAATCCAGTTTTCCCTTGATCGATGCGCTTTGCCCCCCCCCCCATCTTACTATCCTGGCTACCTGTTCTAACTGTCTTTTGTTGCCGGTTTCAAAAGATTCCACCTCTGTCTTTCTTTACTCAACTGTACTATTTCTTTCAATCGTTCAAGGTATTTGCATTTTTCAACCCAAAAATTTTGAACTCAACAGGAAGCAATCTTTCCAGACCAACATTTCCTGTTGGAGATGGTCTTATGCTTTCCCAATCTTATACTTATATTCACACTTCTACATAAACTGTCATACCATTAAGATATAGAGTAGAGACTTTTTCAATGCTAAAAGCATCTCTGTTGGCCCTGCCTTTGCAAAATACTGAGTAAATAACTGCATTAATTTAGTTTTTATGATATGCTGCCTGGGGGGGAGCGTATGAGCCAAATTCCGAGCGGGTGCTCAAGCCTCCAAGTCTTCACAAAGTCGGTACTTTTGGGATTGAGTACATAGTTTTGCTCCTGAAGATTTTGGTCAAATGTTGCTATCTTTGTGTTAAAAATCCACGACGAGATTTTGTCACGATGAAATTCTGAAAAGTTGTCCGAAATTTTTTTCGACGAGGTTTATCCGCCGAAAATTTATCTGACGAAAATGTTTGTTGTTAATGTATATCTTTTTAAGAAGAGCGTTGGCGATGGCTCCACTGGCCCTTCTGCCCCCTTTGGCTTCGCCCTTGCAAGCTTCTGCCACTGCAAAACCACTGCCTTAAAGGTCCAGAAAAGTAGCGTTTTATACAATACCCCTAATTTTTTAACTGAACCTGCGTTACAAAGTGATTTTGATCCCTTCGTCATCCCAGTTACATCTCAAACTCTTTTCGATGACACAAGTTTATGACGTTCCGGTTCCCTTCGCCTTCCACATTTAATTTTGAATTTCGACAAAACGGAGAATCAGAACTTAACCAACAAATATCCATTGCCCCCATAGTATTTCCATTGGGAGCATAATTTTCAATTGTTGACAAAGTGCACCCTTTAAATAAGAAATTATGCTGATAAGAATGTCCAGGCTCAGAAGTTTCCTATTTTTATGAACATTAATATAAGAGTTTTGCTAAGCTTCAGATCGCATATATTAAACATTTTCGCTTTCTTGAAAGGCTATGATCAAGAGCATTCTTGTTGTTGTTATAAACGCATGAATTCTTATTTCACTTTCCTCATAATGGCATTGAATCTCGTTTTGCTATGTTCTCTTGAAAACATTAAAAAAATACGCTGAAATATCGAGGCTGGAAAAGATTTTTGATAATTAAAATGATTTTATGCGAAAAATGTACTCGTTCTGAAGTTTCTAAGATTTTTTGAGGCCTTTTTTAAAAAAATTTAAATCAAATTAATTATACCACAAATTATTGGTGATTATACTACCACAAGCTAAATTACAGAATTCATACTTCTTTAGGGTAGAGATGAAAAATACTCAAAAACACAATTCAGTTTCACAACAGTACAAAAACCCAAATATTTATCAATGAAACGCCAAATTGTTTTACTGAATATGGCAAAAAATTAAATTTTAGCCAAAAATAGACCATGCGTTTGGAACGAAGATTGTCAAATTCTCGAAAGAGTCAAAGATTTTTATCACTTTTGAACCCTCTTTCTTGGCTACAAGATAACTGATGATAACCTCCACAGATAATTTCCCGCTTTGAATTTTTGCCGATCAGCCGAGCGAATCGTTGGAGCCAACAACACGAACGAATTGTGACTAGACACAAATAATGTCTAATCGTTTTTTACACACAAGTGATATAAAATCAGAAAAAGCAGAGCAAACTTATCCAAAAAACTCATTTGACCCACATTTTAATCCAAATTACAAAACAAGTGTCTGGTTACACAAAAGTAGGCGAGCCTAACTATAAACAGTCTTGTGCACGTGGTAGGTAGATATTATTTAAACCTACCTCGTCCTGCTCACAATCTGTATCCCTCTCGTCGCTGTCCTTGATACTGCCATTTTTCTCCTTACTGCAATCTTCCATCGAACGGTCCTCCATTGTCAGACGCCCATAGCGTTTACAAATAATAAGGGAGACATGCTTGATGTACTTGTTTTCCGCGCCATCGACTGCATCAAATCTTCCACATGGCCCAGTCCACAGTTCTAATCGATTGCAATCACGTGATATTACCCATGGTATCTTCTTTTCTGCCATTATTTTACCTTAAATTTCCGCAGCTTCTCAAGTCAAAATACCTTCGGTAAATCTGGTCATTACGATAAATATCATGTTGAAATAGCAGAATTGCGAATTTTTTCTCACAATTTCTTGTTGTTTCTTCGTTCTTCCAATTTTGTCTGCAATTTCTCGGTTGTTAAAATGCCTGTGCTTCGTCAGATATCTTTTATGCCGTATAAACAAAGGGCTTTATGAATTCCTTGGTTTCACAGTTGGTTAGTTAACCATTAAATACCATGAAAACGTTTGTTTCGTCTGTAATTTCAGATGATCCTTTACAAAAGGCGGACAAAACGTCTGCGGGATTCTTTCGCTAATTTGTTTTCTGACTTCAACTGATCTCGGACCTAGGCATTCGAGGAAAGAGTGTTATTGAAAATACTTTTCTTCACAATCGAAATTATTGGATCATGAAATTATGACCATGCTGCATGTCCTCGTGGGAAAACAGTTCTCACATGATGAAAAAACCAAATTTCTAATCACTCATATAGAAAAAGAGCCACCAGACGATCTTTTTTTCTTGTCCCTTTTTCACTAGATGCTATTTTTCTTCCAGCAAATGTGGCAAAACAATTAAAAATGTTATTGAACAGATCTTGTAGGAATGGTTGAAATTTTGAACAAAATAAAAAAAAGTGGATCCCAGATTTTTCATAATTTAAAGGTTAGATTTTGGTTTCACACCCTTTTGGAGCCTGAAAAAGATGGAATTGGAAATGTCCAGTTTACAGTTCGTTTCATAGCTATAAGATAAAAAGGAAAATAAGATAAGGATAAGTAGATACTACGATCTACCAAAAATATTTTTTACCGAATCAAAGCAAAATTGACCAAAGGACACAAAAATGTAAGGACGTACATTCATTTTTTTATAAGAAACTGGCTATAAGAAACGAGTACTGGACAGTCAGAAAAAAATAAGAAACTTCAGTACTCGAAGCAAAAAATCAAGAAACTATTAAATTGTGATAAACTGAGAACAACGAAATTTTGTAAAATCCAAGAACAAGATTGCCCTGATGGCCTAGAATTTAAGACACAAGGGATAAAAATAAACTTCCCACAGCTAAATACAGCATCGGAACGGAAGCGAATCTCTTGACGTGATAAAAAAGGACACGAACATTTCATACATCATTTTTGACATCGTAATTAAGAAACTCTTAAGAAACAATGAGTATTGAAATTTCTAGAACATTAATAAACTGGAGTACTCAACATCGACCTTTGTTTCTTATAAAAAAATGAGTTCATTGAGGCTTTGCGACGAGGCTTTAATAAGCCTGTTCATAATTTGAATCTCTTGCACTCCAAGGGCCTGATTACGCGAGGAGGGCTGGCCCTTCTACCCGAGATAGATATCTTTTGTCGACATCTCGGTATTATTAATAAAAAAGTATTCAGATTTGAGATTGCTATTACATGTAGGCAGAGCCTAATTTCTAGCTAGTTTTGAAATGATTGGAGTATCCTTTGCTTTAGATAAAACGATTTTCCTCCTACATGAAATTTGAAAAAAAAATTATGGTGAATGTTGCTATTAAGATTAATTATACTTGAAGAAAGAAAAGAGCTCATGATCAATCTGATAATTAAAAAGAATATCAAGCAGATGGCAAAGAAAACAACAAATTGTAAAAAAAAGAAAAAAATAATTTAGCTACACATACTTTAAAAAATACGAGCAATTTTAGAGCGAGAAATAAAATACAGTCTGCTAATTCTTTTTGTCAATAGATACACCATACTTCATTTTCTTCCTATATCAAACGTAGCTAATATCAAATAGGAAAGTATATAAAATGAAAGCAATTAGTCTAAACTTTACAATAATTACCCATTATTTGTTTATCAAGGTACTAAAAGAGTTTTTACATACTTTAAACTTTGCTACGGATATAAACAAAAGCAACTAAATCGAAACATCGTGTCATGATTATCCTATTTCTGGTATTACTGGTGAAATTCTTACTTTTGCAGCCACCATTCGATTTTCCAGAGAATTTTTATTTTCATAGCTCTTAAAAAAATGAACCTTTGTATCGTGTTTTTGCACAGAATCGAGCTTGTCAACAATAAGCTAGAAAACCGTAAAATAGACAAACAGGAGAACAAAAAGGGGACAAACAAATGCTGGCAAACATTCTATTAGCCTCTGATTTTTCTGGACTTTTTCATTAACACATATGTAGAAATAGTCTGGTTTAAGGAATAAATCCTACACCATCAGCGGCACTCCTGTCCGTCCCCTGTCTTCATTTTGATTCTTTACAAATGAGGCTATATTGTTTTGAGGCAACCTCTGAAAGAGGCTAAATATAAAGGGCCTTTTCCTATAGCCTTATGTGTTTTTGCTATCTTATGACTAGATTTGAAGAATGCTGACTGGCAAGAGTAAATATTCAGAAATAGGAAAACCTTTATGGCTGTCAGGCTTGTTTGTTCTAAACCATAAAAGCAAACTTCCCCTGCACCTCATCCCCTCTTAAAACGGTAATTTAACTTCAACAATACAATGTTGATACGATTGGTATCAACAATCGTTAAAATTATATCTACAGAACCGCAAAACAAAATGAAAGACTAGAATTTTATTTAAAATTAAAAGCTAGCGAAACAGGGAGTTTATTGTTTTATGCCAAAGGAGTTACTTTCTTAATTAGTCTCCTTAATTAATCTCCTTAATTTAACTTCGCGTTGTAAAAATAGGGTTTTTCTTCTATACGACGCCATTTATTTCTTGTATCAGGTGCATGCCACCGTGTATTCTTAAAGTGAAAAGAGACAATTTGGACGACAACAATGATACAACAGAACAACAAGCTGTCTGTGTTGTTGTTGTTATCACACCGAATTTACAATACAGTAAAAACCCACGTTTAAGAACCTCCTTTTTTCAGAGTTTGGCAAAACAGGTTCTTGTTTTAGAGGACACTTATTGACAGTTTAGGCTAAGAAGGTTCTTAGTTAGGTTTTTAATTTCTACAGAGTATATATTGTTGATGATTATCAGAAAATAGCATTAAATCTGGTCGGCTCTGCATTCTAAATATTTATTAGTGTACCAATGTTGCAAGCCCACCAACAAGTGATAAATGATACAGGACTGTTTATAAAAAAGTAGCAATAATTGTTTCATAATAACAGTTCACATTAAGTATACCTTGTGCAAAACCTGTTAGGCTCTTACACGCGGATTTTGACTGTTTGCAGACTCATCTCATTGGATGATAAAGTACTTTATAAGTTCTATCTTTCCTGCTTTTGTGATATCAGCGTCGTCATAATTTCTTAGAGATATTGAAGTTAAGAAGTGTGTCGTCCAAGGGTATACTGTTACGTTCATCGGCAGTTTACCGGCAATTTGTAGAAAATTAGGTTCAAGTGCGTTTCGAGTAAGATCGAATCGAAACGAGTATGACCTGTCAACGCAAACATTCGTAACCTCGTAAGCCCTGTGAGATTTCGACCTTGTCCTCGTAAGCAATATTAGACATCTAGAATCCAGATACGCAGCTATGGTTCTAACACTGTAGAATTTACTAGACAACAGCTGCGTCAGGTCCCGGCCCGGGTTCAAACCGGAGCTCTCTGGACGACAAATGCAGAGATCTGGAAGTACGCCGGTATCCAAACATTTCCGAAAATGCTGAAAGATGCTTACTCGACGCCATTGAAGAACTTTTAAAAGCTCGTCAGAGTTCCCGGCATTTATTTTTTCAGAAATCGCGAACTCGAACATTTCTGCACCTCTGTAGCGATAAACGACGATGTCAAAATTATAAACCATCTGGTTGCCGTCTTTCCTTGTTTTTATGTTGATAAAGCGAAGGCCGATCAGCCTCTCACAGTTTCCATAGCCCCCAGTCCTGTTCGGTGTTTCCTTTGTAAACATTTTTTGTATTAAATTGTTGAGGTACCCAAGACCAAACTCAGCAATCCAGGCCACAGACCTTTCCGCATCCGGTAGCCTGATCACCCACCCAGAACAAAGGCAGTGAGTAAACGAATACATTGGAAGGTCCTCGCAGCCTCGTTTTGGATCGATAGGTTGCAGCAGACCCTCACTATGGCCCTGCAATAGTCCAGTTAACGTAAAATGAAGATCCTTCGGTGTAATTAGGCGCTTCTGGTTAGTAACAAGAGCACTGTACTGCTTACCAAGTGCTGTGCGGATTTTATCTGGTATTATCATGAAAAGGAAACTGTGCGCTAACTCGTAGCGTCCACGGTCGTTGTCCCTGGCAAACCGTGTTGTTTTAGGCCCATGGTCCGACATGATTAAAGTGATTGTGTTATCCTGTTTTGCAGCATGTGTAACAAAGTCTGATAGTTCAGGATCACTTTTTGCGATCCTCTTCCCTGACTTTTCATGCCCAGTATTTAAATGAGTGTAAAGAAGCAACGGTTTAAGCAACTTCTGCCTATTGAACGGCAGAAAATGACTCTTGACATAATCCAAAAAGTAGGTGGTGAGCAGCTTGCCGTTGTAGCAAACTTTTTGCGGATCATTGAATTGGTTTGTAACACCGTATCTAAGAAGGACCTCACATGTAAGATGTGTTAGGCCAAAACTGTTGACTTGCATCATTCGAAGACGTTTATTGAGAGCAGTCCAACGGTCAAGGAACCTTTCCGTTGTCGTTAGTGGCGTGAGGTCGTGAACATTATCAGTGATAATTGCTCCCCAAGAGTCGAACCAACAGCTGTCCTCTTGCAGCATTGTCTGGTAGCCATGAGCTATGAATTCTCCGAATAAATTCCCGATATCATATGTATGCTCGTCATCATCGGTATCTTTGTCGACAACGCCGCTAAACAATGCACGAATGTTCGGGAACGTTCGTGGAGCCAGACTTTGGAAAAGTTCAAAATCGAGAACACTTGCATTGGTGGCTGGGTCTCTGTTTATCTGTTTCAGGTTTTTCGCAGTATCGGGCAGCCTGCGGAAGAAATGCTCACGTGACACCGAATCGAGAACAAGAATGTTGATATTAGCGTATACCGACGATTTACGACGGTTTTTCCGATTATCATCTAGTTTCAGTAAAGGCGGCAATACAAGAACTTGCTTGATCATCTTCTTGTCCGGTTTACAACCAATGAAAACGAAATCGATTCCTCTAGAAATCAAATCCTTTATGATAGTATTCAAAGTCGTTACAAGTTCATTTTTCCCCCGTGCAACTGCCCATTGTTCCATATCAGAGAGTATCCCCAGTGAAGGATGTATTCCACCTACATAGACTGGACTGTTTTTGCAGACGGAGGGATCACATTGTAAGCGTAAGTTCACATCTGATGATAAGCGAAAAGAGTCGTTCGCAAAACGACAGATGTCAGCGAATCTGTTATCTCGTCCTTCGTGGCAAGTTCTGTCTCTGGGCATATCACCATACGCGCGCTGTGCGGCATCACAATCCTCCTCAGAGGGAGGAACCAATTTGCATTTGACGTTTTCATCCTCTGATTTTGAAAGGTTTTTGCCTATAAACGGGTACTCGCAGTTCAGCTTCTTCTTCTTAACCTCGCTTAAAAGCTCATTTCCAAAGGTAATGTATTGGATGTCGTTCTTTCTTGGAACTGCTGGAAAGGAGCAACAAAATGAGCAATTTTAATTTCAAGTGCGATTAGCGTAAGGAATTATAGTGGAAATTAAGAAATTAACGTAAGAAATGTGGTATCAGAAATTATAGTGGGGTAACCTATTAGGCAAATCAAATCCCACCCATCATGTGTGTACATATTACAGCTACCTAAGGATCTCTACTAACATTTTTAAACCAGTCACTGTAGCCGAAAAGAAGTGGACATCTTTTTAAAATTCTTTATAAAATTCTTCTTGTGTATCTAAGTTTAAAGCTAGGTAGGTTTTCAAAAAGAGGCTTTACTTGGTACCAAAGGAGGTGTGCTTCAAAACATTAGCTTTACTTTCTTTCCTAAAAGATTCTAGCTAAGCAAATGCAGCCTGCTTTGGTAAGAAGGCACAGCTTTCTAATCTTTACAGCAACATGAATTTGAAAATAGCAAGGCTAGGCGGAAACATAACAAACTAAACTACTTTTCGTCTGACATTCGAAAGTTTGACAAACCAGCAACCGCTAACCCCTCACATATTAAAATTATCCAATAGAGAAGTATAAAGTTTCCAAAACACCAGAATATGAAGACCAACTTGCTTACCTAATGATTTTAAAATTTTCGAACAAACGTGAGCAGTTAGAGCAGGTTTACAGAAGTGAGAGAATGCATCTGGTCTTTAATAGCTAGGAGATAAGATAACCCTTGTGGGAGGTCAAGCCATCTTTTGCATTCTACTGGCAATTTGAGTTAGTCCCTAGCCTACTGCTGAAGTAATAGATTGAAGAACGTTAGGTGAGAGAACCTTTGTCGTTGAACTCACGGTCCATCTTGGGATGAGATAGATATATTGATGTTTACTTATATTAATTGTCTAAGACATTCAGGAGCTTGCATACCTCTGGCTGTAGTTGACCAATTGTTTGCTTGCTTGGTACTTGATTTCTTTCGAATGATTCTATTAGTGAACTGATAATGTTGAAGAAAATTGACTCCAAGCATTAAAATACACACAGCTACCAGTGTCTTGGTAAAATTTCGCTAAAAAATCAAATAAACTAGAAATTATATGTTGTCCTATTAAATATTATACACAGGGCAGTAGCAATGGGAGACTCGTCGAGTGTGACAATTTCTTAAAAAATCAATTTAAAAAGCAACGAGCTTTTTTCCATCTATAGTTGCTTCGTTGACAAATTTTCAAACGTTTTGGCAAATAAAGCATGTCCACGTTTTTGGCAAATGCGACCTAGACATCCCCCCCCCCTCCTTCAGCACAACAACTAGCGACAATCCTGAGGTCTTACAGGTTGGTTGTTTTTTAATGCAGACATCTATGAGCCTACATTCACTAACGCCGATAGTATATTAGCAGTTTTTAGGCATCTCAAAGCCATGAGTCTGGGTAAGTTCATGTTGAATTCTTTAATTGCACAAGAAATTTAGAAATGTACAATTAAACATACAAATTGACAATCATTGACGTTAATGTAGTTGCTATTTCTAACTCAGGTTGTCATTAATAACAAGGGAGGACTGGTATCCTTTTTCCATGAAAGAACTGTAAGATCAAAGGGAAGGATACTGATTGCAAACTATTTATTGTCTGTCTTTATTGCTAGCTATTTCAAACTTATCAAGCCTCAATCATGATGACTATTTGGTTAATTTCATCCAGAAGTTTAAATGCTCTTTTTACAAAGCTTAGAGAAACTTTCAGCTTAAGTCTACGAAAATGATAAATATATTATGAAAGCCATTTCAGCCGCACGAATTCATATATTATACCAAAACATGAAATAAAAAGCCATTCTATCCCGTCCAAAGTAAGCAATGCGAAATTTTCTATGAAATGCCTCTTTATCTACAAAAAAGCACAAAGAGAAACCAACTGGAAAATACTTTCCTATTTGGCAAGAACGAATTTATTCATAAAGAATAAGAAATGTTCTGCATATATGCTAAAGGGAAATTTGCTTTTAATGGCTATTTCTAAATCTTCGTCTCCCAACCGAGTTTAATATAAATTAAAACTGCTTCAGAAAAATAGTTACTGCTTCGTTTGTGCAGACACAAATACCATTTAAGGGTTTCCTTTGTATCAACAGCAGATGCATTGTAATTGCTTAGTGTGAAAAGTGGGCCTAAAAATAACGAGCTTGTACTTACAAAGTATTTTGAGCAAATCATTCTACTTTTGCCATTTTGAATCCACCTCTTCTACAAGCTGTAAATTTTGATATGATATCATCTTTTCATCTTCAAACCATGTTCGCGTGTTCTGCAATGTTTTGAAGTCCATATTTCCTAGGCTTATCGCTGCATCTCTCAGATTCAACAAATGTTACCTTATTTGTGATTACTCACTGACAGTTTACGGTATGTGGTTCTATATAAAAATTGAAGGAGGCCATATTTGAACCAGCAATACCAAGCAGGTGGGAGCATTATATCAAGCGAGATGTGAAGAGGGCATGATCATTTGATCAAGAAGACCTACATATGTAGCGGATTCTTGGGTCGTCTGAAACATACGTAATTAGATAGTGGAAGCGTGAGTTATACTATGGGCAGCTAAAACGACTACACGGCAAGAGGGCATATTTTGCCAACCTGTAATTAAATCTTGAGCCTAAGTGTCAAATTATTATGCATAAAAAAGTATTTATATATGATTTTCTCAAGAAAATGTTGAAACAAAAGATGCGCTTCCAGCTTATGGTTCACCAAGGCACCTTCAAACGTCCCCCTCCTGGCAAAGGGATTAATTTATGAAAACTTTAGCCATAGCTGTCTTCAGCTTCATGCATCAACTAAGTGAAAAGCAAAAAAGAGCAAACATCATCAAAAAGCTTCATCAGTTCTAGATGGTTGGCAACATCTAGAGAACGTAAAATGCGCTAAAAGTTCTGAGCACTTACTGGAAAGTTGCATGTCCAATCGGCTCCTGAAAAGTGAAAATACATCGAGCTGAGTGGCAGTTAGTGTCTGCGCCTAGTATTTTAAGATAGAAAGACAGTTTGATTGCATTTGAAGTAATTAACCTGGCATTTGCCTTGCGAAAACCTTAAAACAGAAAGAGAGCTTTTATAGTTTAAAGAGCTAGTATTAACTGCGCCTCGTAAACGGTTAATTAATAAGGATGGTCCGAAAAGTACCATAACAACACTGGTACAATCTCAAAATGAAGGATAGAGGCAGATCTTAGGTAAGAGCTCTAAAGCAATAAAGATACCCATATTAACTCACCAGAATTTTGTCAAACAAACGGCATTGCTGAAAATATGATAACCAACTTTCGATACAGCAACACGTTCGATGCATAATTTACGAAAAGCTAGATTTCCTGCAAAAATTCCATGGAAAAATTTTTTTTCGAAAAAAAATAAACAGTTTCCAGTTGTAAGATGCAAAAATAACAAATCTCCTTTAAAAACAATGTTGATTGGAGACTTTTTGCAAGAATTATACATGATGTAGTTTTTTTTACGAAAGATGCAAAGTGGAAGAATTACGAATAGTACTTTGACTAAATACAAGAATTAAAAATACAAGAATCTCTTTTAAGGGGAAATTTTAGTGATAATTGTTTTTTAGTGATAATTTATCCGTGAAGAAAATTTCGAAAAGGGAAAGTTCCTCGCAACTTGAAGCAAGAATTTTAAATCAAGATGGATGCAAAAATCATTTATCATTTACAAATTTCAATTTTGAAAGAGTAGAAGGCACACAGAAAAAAATTTGAATAACTGTAACATCTATGAAATTTCAAATGAAATTGATAAAAACCTAACTCTGAAAGACCATACGTATAAATAAGGGATATAAATAAGGGTAAAAATTTACAAAATGAAAACGAATAACATATGAGAAGGAAATTCCAATTAAATTTCAGCACCGAAGTGCAAAGCATAAGAATTTATCGATGTTATGTTATGACTTATGATATCTATCAGAAACAAATTTTGATTTTACCCAACAATCTTTATGTCTTGTATATTAATAACATATTTATGTCTGTTTTAAACAGAGTAAGACTGTTTTAAGGAGTTATAGATGCTGGCACGAGGCTAGGGGAAATGGTTGATGAAGGGTGGTTTTGGCGTAGCCTACAGTACAACACGCTTCAAAATGTGCTACTGAATACACGAATATCGAAAACATGTGATCCGGCCTCGGAACAATACATTCATGGTAGAAAGAGGTGGAAAATGTTTTTAAATACGGGGGGGGGGGGGTGGGCTATCACTATCAAAAACACCTTCATGTCGGCCAGTAAAAGAGCCATGTGTAACACGGGAACTTTTTTGATAATATCTCTAGACGTAACCAGCCAGTTAAAAGATATTCTTACAACTCAAGAAACTTCCATCTCCAAGGGGACCAACAAAAAGGCCACGCCAGAACTGTATCGTTAAACCTTCACCTTGTAATGTCTTATGACTAAAAATGCCTTTCCTAGCAGAGGACAGGACAAAACTTTAGATGGGTGGTCCACCAGTCTTGATAAATGTTTCTTTTAAATATTTCTAGGGTTGTATGTTAATACATGAGTATCAAAGCCAATAAAGAATGGGTATAAGCCCATAGGGGAGGCATAAAAGACAATAGATGTTCGACAGTAAATGCTTCTTCAAGACATGAGCTCCGCGCATTGCACGCCTCTTTTTAAAGGCTATTTCGCAACCGGCATGCAACCGGCAACCGGGATCTTGTTTGATTAAGAATTAATTCAACAGCAGAGGGATTTTTCTCTCATAAATAGCTATGCTTCAGTTTGTAAAGGCCTATGGCATGAAATTAACAAAGACGTCAAATCAACTGGCTAGGTATCATCCCACCTCATGCAAGCAGACAAAGTGGCTTTTGATCCAATTGCAGTTAAATAACCCAAACTTGCGTTTCCTTTTATTTCAGGAAACAAATGTCATAAATTTAATAAATTATTTGCTTGTTGATCTACTTCACAATTTTGTGTCATCAAAACCACTATTTGTGACCCCATCGCCAGTTTTTACTCCAACTTTCACATCTTTACTCTCGTTTTCAAGAGGTGGCGAGTCTACAGTTTGTGTATGTGCATCGACTGAGAAGGCTCTTCGTTTAGGTGAAGTGTCTACTTTTTCGGTTACGACATGAATAATTCTTTCATTCTTTAGGTCTTTCTTTGCCACGCATAGTGAGTGCTGCTGACTGTAGTTCAGTTCCATCAACAGAGATATGCTACCAGTATGCGCCAGCTCCTTCCCAGTAAAGACGGGGGATAAACAGACAGGAGAGTCACATGGAGAACCTACAGTCCTAGTAGACATGACATCAATTCGCCGGGTTTCCTCCCCATCAATATGAGAATGGTATATAGTGGTACTTCCGGATATACTTCTTTCATCGTTTACTTTGAATTTATTTTTCTGTTCCACTGTTTGTGGTAAATCTGCAACTAGAATACTCGAAGGTCCTTCAGCTGAATGCGTAGCAAGGTCTGGTTGGTCAATAACCACGTGACTACATTTCTTGGAACTGCAAGATTCACTTCCGTTTGATACGACTCTTGATGCTTTTGCTTTCGTCCGCGATGTCTCCTCCCTGTTGTAAATGCGCCAGTTCTTATTGGTTGTAACGCAGGCTTTCCAGTACGTTTTAGAATATTCAACACAGCCACAGCAATATATGAAATACACCAGGGACATGCTGCAGATGACATAAAGCGTGATGCAGACTGGGGAGAGGCAGCCCTGTGTCGCTATCCAGATGATCATGCCAGTGAACACGAACATTATTACGCAGTAAAGTGTAAACAAGTAGAAGACAAAATCGCAAGAGTCCGTTGGCAGCCTCCACTGTTAAAGCAAATCAGAAAAACACATTACGTTTTTTATGCTATTCAATCGTTTGGGGTATCCCAGATACTACTCTATGAATTGAAATGCTATGAATGTAATGAAAATATAATCAAATATATTTGCACAGAAAGATACTTTTCTCGGTGGCCTCTGCAAACTTACACTAAAGTTTTTTAAATGAGAAGTTCTGAATTTCACCATGACAGGCCTCACAAATGTCCTTTTCATTAATCAAAATATGGTTTTGGTACTGTAGGCTCAATAATCATATAAAGTTGCAAGGGTGGTTGTGCAGAACTTTGGACATGTTAAAGGACAGTATAGGCGATACTGAAAATAAAATACATTCCTTGGCGTTCTTGACATAGAAAAGTCCTTAAACGGTCTTTAAAAATGCGACTCAGCTTTATTCTTAATAAGAACTCTATTGCCCAAGGCAAAAAGAATTTATTTGGCCAATCCTAATTATGCATTCTCCTTGTAACTCATATCCGTTGCACTAATTAGCCAACTCAAAACTAGGATCTTTTTGAAAAAACTTCAAGCCTATTTCATTAAAGGAATGCGACAAGAGTAAAGAAAAACCTGTTGAAAAGAAATGAAGCAAATGAAGGGTTATTGGTGAATAGGGAAAATCAAGAATCTCGTGGCGACTTCCCCTGAGCTGAGTTTTTAAAATTTTTAGTACATTTAAACTATTATGTTTATCCTAAACCTTTCCTGCATACGGAATTGAGATACAGAAATAGGTAAAGAAAATAGTAATCTGTGTTGCTTCTGCAGGTGATTCCCCTGCAGGCTTAAAGAGGCTCGGAAAAAAACACGTGTGCAGTATGTCAATTTCAACTTCCTCATTCCTTATTTCCAACTAAATGCATGATGACTTCATCTTCCTGTTTCCCTGTTCAAAGGAAGGCCCCTTAGCATCAAGTTGTGCAGGAATACAGGAATACAGCAACCAAAACTTAAATGGTTCAGTCACAGTTAAAAGTACAATTAGGAATAGCTGAGGAAATATCCAAAAATGGCCTTGGGTCGAAGTGTGCCAATTCTATGCACAGGAGCTCCAGATATGATGGGCTTGCATAAATGGGCTTTACAAGGGTCTATGTCCTAAGCTGGTCTAATACTTAAAGAAAACAATTCTGAAAAGAGATCATATTAGATAAAAGGGCACAGTTTTTAATTGGGGTATACCGGCCTCACATTTGCCCTTTCGACTGCCATGCAGGATGGATTCGCAACATCTTTAAAATCATGTGTCAGTATGCATGGAGTCTTTTGAAGCCTTGTTATATTTCAAACCCTTCAGACAATCAACGGAACTCTCTTTCAACCATAAAGCTGTTTAATGAAGACTTACCTTCTGTAATGGTTTGAAACCAACGGATTTCACATTAACCTCAGAAAGACACAGCTCACACTTTCTTCTCCGCGTTTTAAAAAACCACTGCAGAAGACAGCTCTCGTGAGCAAATTTGGCAGAACCGGCACATTTACAAGGTGCAACCAGTGGTTCTGTACCTCTGTCAAGACAGATGCGACAAATGGTTTCATTTTCAATTGTCCGTACACTTGCCTGGCTCGTTGGGGAGCATGGTGGCTGGGTGGGCAACGATGTGTCTTGTGTTGCAACGGCTATAACCTCTGTTTGGTCCATCTGGAGTGAGACAGAGTGGCTAAAGTCATCGCCAGAAATGGCCAGTTCATTGTCTCTGAAGAACATGAACATCTGTGCAAGCATTGGGGTCTCTCACGACAGACCGCTATTAATTTGAACCGTCTATTGCTCTGCCTTGATTACTAGAATCGAAATGAAAACAGAAAAGTCAGTCTAAATAAAGAAGCGAACTTTCGTGTCATACCGCCACATAAGCATGCTAGTGATAAACTGATACCTAGTTAGTTGGAAAAATCAAACGCCCAGTTGACTATCGCTTTCTAGGAAACCGATGACATCAAGCCGGGGGTACAGACTTTGTTAACCCTGGAGCATTACTCAGAGGAAAGGACTTCACACCTTCTTTTCTAAAAATTTGTTTCGCGGAGGTTTAATCTTTCTTTTTGAATGGTGCCACACGAAATGAGATGTATTCTTAAAAATTTTTTTCAATGCTTATAGAAACTAGCATATCAAAATACTGATAGGGCAGCGAGCGTGCGAGATTATTGCAAAAAGCCACGCCCCGCAGATGCAAGGGGTTTCCTTCTCTTAGTCCTGCCAATTTTTTAAGCCTGTCCTGAAATAACAGCTAATTTGAGTAATCCTGGAAAAACAGGAGCTCTTGAAAAGACCTCAAGACACATATAGTCGCTCACGTCATAAAAATCGATTACTGAAAATAGCAGCCTGCTTCACTCAGGTTGAATTCGTAAAAAATTGGCGCAGCTCGTTAATATAAATACGTGGTTAAACATTAACGTAACGGAGGCATCTGGGCCCTATGGAAACAACTGAAACGGGCTCCTATATACGGACTGCAAAATAGTACTACGTAACACCGTAGAGCATTTCAAACACAATAGTAAGATGTAACATGATAATTTTTTCTTAACTAGAGGAAGCCGAGCTATACAAGCTTGAGAAAGCGTGAACAGTTTTAAAAATAAGTTGAACTTGAAATAATTTGTGGGCCCCTGTTTGTCGGACTAAAGTGCCCTTAACTGCGTTACGCCACTCGAGTAAACACACTTTGTGAACCCTGGGGGGACTAACGTCAATCAAAATATATTGATGTAAATACAAAAAATGTTAAGAAATCGAGAAAATGGAAGCAGACTCTTTGTTTATTTTTCTCATCTGATGCCTGATGCATTAGAGAAACAGCCAGCCAGCTAAATTTCTCCGTAGTTTTTTCCTTAAAAAACGATGTTCATTACTTTTATCACAATTTATTCAGCCCAACATGCCCATCATAATGTTTTGTCTGCTGCAAATAATGCGCTGTCCTTTTTTGCTTTGCATTGAGATTGTGTTAAAATGATGTTGATATTTGCACATATAAGTTGTTGTAGCCAGGGATGCTGAAACGATCAAGGAGCAAGGGGGGGGGCAGGCTTCATTAAAAAAGCTTAAGGAAAATAATTCCCAGTTTCTACCAAATCTTTTTTAACCGTTGTTTTATTTAGATTTTGTGTAGACATCTTGAATATGGGCTAACAGCTTCCATAAGAAATATGTTTTCAGATTTTGAGAAATTCCATCATGAATAAGGTATTACAGTCAAGATTTCATATGAATTTCATTGATAATTAAAAAGGTCGGTGTAACAGGCACTTTTTTGGACAGGACACTGTAGCCTCATTTGCCCCTCCTATCAAAGGGCAAGAGGGGTGGTTATACCCCTCTTCGGAACCCTGGTTGTAGCTGTAATTTTATGAGTGTTATGTAATTGTTGCCGTTAAGGTTAGAGGCCGTCTTCGCTTAGATACTTCAAAATTAGCGTAATATTATAACAACATTAAATCAGAAGACAGCTGATGGAATGGCAGGTGCCCTTATTAGCTCTCAATATTTCCCAACCGCTTTATTTGTATGATATATTTGTTGGTCAATCCACTAGAAAAATCAGCATGAATTTCCAGCAAAAATACTATAAATTCAAATTTGCTTCACTTTCAAGCAGCAATATCAATTTTGAAACAATAAGGCTTCAACGCAAGTGTATGGTACGGGCCAACGCCAAGGACAATTTAAAAACCCATTACAAAAGATTTTGTAAAAAACAGTACTCTTCATCCAGCTTCAGTAAAGCACCTTTTGGTATTTGCCTCAAAATAAAGATATAAAAATAAAGCAAATGCTGTGACAAGAAAAGACATTTCACCACAAATAGAGCCATGTAACGGTCAACGAATCAAGGTTGCCGTATTGCATGTGAGTACTTTTATAATCATCGGGGTGTATCAAGTGACAAGGATAGAACAGAAGTTGAGTCTACTAAAATGACTGAGATTTTTTAAGTAAAGCAGTTAAGTTGTTAAAGGTTCACCACTTGTTTTCTAGGCCTCGGACGAGTCGGGGGCCATGGTCCCTACGCTTTTGCAGCACAAGAGAGTTCTTTTGCAAGGCTCTGCCGTAGCGCGGAGAGTACTATTGAAGGGGCACAGGTGAGTGAAAACGATAGAAGCATAAGGGATTGCTCATTGAAACATAGTAAACATTTTTATTTTTGAGAGGCAAGGAATCATTCTTACTTGTTTCTATCATTTTTCACATTCAGAGAAGAGCAACCTTCGATATTTTGATAGCGCCACACTAAAAACCTGGACAAAATTCCTCCAGATTATGGGGTGTGGATTCCACAACGCCATATCTTCGACCCAGTTTTGAATTCTTATTGATCATTGAAACAAACACTTTTTTGGCAGTTGAAATATTTTACAGAAATGTTTAGAGGGTCAAGTTTTTGCCAAAGTGCGCCCTATTTTCCCGAAGCCCCAATTGGCACTCTGGAACCCAGGGTATTAGAGAAAAGACAGCACTGGGTTTTTGCTTTTGAATAATTTTTAGATGGAAAGCTATTGTTCATTGGTTTCTTCGACTTTATACTCAAAGACGTGGTAGTGCGAAATACACTGTGACGTCAAACTTACGTCACCGAAGAAAATTTCAATTCATCAAAACTCAAGCGGCTGTAACTGAAAAATCTATAAAAATTACAAAATAATTCATAACATTTCATCGGATTAACTTCAACTAGGTTTTTGATGGAGAGACCCTTTTTAAATTTCATAACTACACTTTTTTCATAGGAGCAATTTAATAAGAACACCAGTGGCGGAAATTATGGGGTTTGTGGGGTTCGAGCCCTAAATCAACGATCTCGTCGGAAAATTCGGGCCTTCGTCGGATAATTGACAATCGTTTGACGTCTCGAAATTACTTCAAGAAATCGTTCTGAAATGCATTTTTAGCTAATCTAAGGTGAGAAATCTAAGGTGGAAAATAGCATTGCTGAGAAAATATTAGCCAGTACTAAATAATCAAACAAACAATATATGAAAAAATCAAAATTTCTTGTGAATTGTATATTTCGTAAAGATTAGCAGAAATTTTTATCGAATTCTTCCAAGTTAAGTGTAATCGTAAAGTGTAACCTTCAAAAATTTAATCGGTTGACCTCTTATATCATCAGTTGTCTTAAATGAGATATCGATCTTGATAAACATTCATAAATGGATTGTTCTTCTTGCTACTCAATTATGGCGTGGTCAGCAAAGATTTCTTAAGGATCCCGTCAAAAAATCACCTATTTTCATCTAAATGTGCAGTTTCCTTATATTAGAAATGATCCAGGATGATATCTTGTCTGAAAATCGTAGGCCTGCTACCCCCCCCCCCCCAAAATGAAAGCCTGAATTTCCACCACTGAAGAACACGAGCATCGAAATTTGTCAAAAGTTAAAAACTATTAACAAGGTGAACTATTAACAGAGCAACTCAAAAACGTTTATTTTAAAAAAAATTTCGTCTCATAAATGTGGAGATTTGCCATCTAAGGGTGTTTTTCGGTGAATTTTCAAACTTTTCAGCAAATTAAATATGTTACAATGCACACACCCTTATAATTTGAAAATAAATTAGAACAATCCAGCCTCGAATTTTTTAAAAAAAGCCGGTCTGAAGTTCAATTTACTGGTTATATAAAGAAACAGTGTATTGCAGAAAAGAACCTCTAAGTAGGGTAGGTAGAAGTAAACAACTGCATTCTTTGGCATCTAAATACAAACACGTATTCTTATAAGTGAAATAAAACCTTGAGAAAACAGGATTATGCGGTAATGCGAGCCAAGACCACTAGCTCTTCCTTTCCTGGGTAACCTTTGGCAGCCATATCGACCTGCACTTCCGACCAGCTTAGCCACTGGAACAGGAGGTAACTGTTTCGCTGAGATATTCAGAGAGCTTCTCAGTCATTGATATATATGCCAACTGAGCAGTTTTGCGAGAGAAAAGCAGGACGTAAGAAAGTCTGTGAGAGTTAGGGGGTATTAGCCAAAGTTGTCTGAAATTAGAGCGAAAATTTGAAAATGGTACATGCCCAAAATAATGGGCCTATTTTCAGGGCAGATGGGAAAAGTACATGTAGATAGAAAAATTGGTATTCAATATGGGCTGTTACCGAGAAAAATCTTTACTAGATCCTTGTATCTAGTTCCTAGACGGTAGTGGGCCTGCTACCGTGGAGAAAATCAACGAAAATGTGAGGGGTCTTCATAGAAATATCAAAGAAATGTTTTTCATAGCGAAGAAGTGTTACAAAAATACAAACAATAACTTATGAATGACGATATGGGAACGTAATCATTAAGGAATTCATTTATGATAATTGGTTTATAAAGATCTATATTATTGTAACATGATTACGAAATTCCCATATTATCAGCTGATGGAATCTGATTTGATTAGGGTCCTTGTGGGTTATATTTAAACACGATTAATTTATCTGTAATTATCCAGTTCTTTAGAATCTATGCTGCAAAAACTATGCATAGTCTGAATTATTTTAAGCATAGTCTGGCTGTTTTTTTCAAACTATTGCGTCAAATGCCATGCAAACCAATTAAATATGTATGTTGCGGGGGTTCTTCATCCGAAGAAAAGATAATATCGTTAGCATATAAATTGAGAACCAAAATAGAATGAAATTAATTAGTTATCAAACTAACTATTTAACTATTTAACAAAATGCCTTGCAAACAGTTATTAACGAAAACCATAATTTTTGTTAAGCTTTGATTTTGTTAAAAAATATTGACTCAGAGCCTGAATGTGCTTTAAGTCTTTTTTAAACAACACTATTGGAAAATCTTTCAGGAAAAAGACGAAAAAAACGAAACCTCTTGTGTAGAATGGTTGAGAAACATTCAAATCACAGTATTTTTGCTGTATTTTTCGCTGTTTTGTTACAGTAAGCTTGGATGTGATTGACATATGAAACTCCTTTTAAATACTTTTTATAAAGTTTGAGCTTGGCTTTAATTTAAATATTTTAGCAGTTTTGTGTCTTAATATTCATTTATAAACTATATTTTTTACGTTATATTTCTTACTGAAAGCTGAAATTCAGGTGAAAAAGCAAAGAGGCAAAAAGAAAAAAACACTCTTAAAATAATTTCAGTAAAGTGTTCTATATATTTAGATAAAAAGAAATCTGGGTTTTCGGAGCATGATCTCAAACTGTTAAAGTTCGGCAAACAGATATTCATATCGATATTTCGCGAACAGTGTAAGCAGACCTGGTAAAATATTCAGGTTTTCAGAATATTGTTTCACGATGGCAATCAGATTTTGAGGTCCAAGGTCCGAATTCAGCTGTGTGATTTGAGAAAAATATCCGAATTCAGCTGTGTGATTATGAATGGATAACATTTAGACTTATCGGTAGGAAATTCAAAGCATACGACTTTTGATGCTTATTATGCGAAAAAATGTTCGACAAATTCGTAATGATTGTCTTTTTCTTTCGTGGGAATGAAGTTGATTCATTACTTGAAGAAATAGTAGCTTTTTGGACAATTACTGTACAAGAGCGATTGTTTATATTCATTACGCTACTGTTACAAATTTATATTCCATCAACATTTTTCAAGCTTCTATGATTTCGTCTTAATACCTGCCAGGCGCTACATCGATACCAAACATCGAGAAAAATCAAAGTTCACAAAAATCGCCACAAACCTTATCGATTTCTTTGCTATGTTGAAGTTTATCTCTCCATTCCAATATAATACTTGTTCTTTTCTGTGTTGTATTAAATCGACCATACCTGAACATGGAAAGATATAATGACAGTCTTATTGTGGACTTCAATCGCAGCATTAACGATGTTGAACAGAGAGCTCAAAGATGACATGCTGGCCTAGTACTCGCTGAAAGTGGAATGAGCTTCAACGACACTCCACGTATAATAACAACAGCAGGATGAGCATAAACTCTTCCAACATGCTACTATCTGAATATTTATGGGACTAGAGAGCAATCAATTATTAATGAGGGAGAGAAGCTGCTTGTCTTCAGAAAATTGAGTTTTAAAACTTTCAGTCATTTCAAGGCTAGGCTTTAGCCCTAGCGGTGTTCTCCAATAATTGATTTGCTGGCAAAGAGCCCTGAGAACTTATACCATGTGCGGTCTAGCTCCACTGCTGGGACTTGATGAGAACACATTCACATTCCCAAGGTATTTGCCGTTAATTCCCCTATTTGCCTAAACGACAAAGAGAACACATGGCAGTAACAAACGCAAGTAAAGAGGCCTCTTGGAAAAACCTTCCTTGAAGATAGTTCCATTGAGACATCCACTTGAATCTACTTAGCGTGGGAAGGGTCATCTATTCATTTCAAACGTTACAGACAAAGATGGAATAATTGTTACATCTTAGGACCGTCTAATTGAGGAAATTGGTCGTTCTTATTTCGCCACCTAATTGCAACCTACGAAATGGGTGTGGGGAATTTCGATTCATTTACGATCGCAAACTATATTTTGTATGGGTTTTGGTTGGCCATTTATCGAAAATTGATAGCACTGTGTAGTGATAAATCTATCTAAACAGCTGCCTTATAAATCTTTGGTCGTTGTTATAGGAAAGGGAATCATTAATTTTCGCCAAGAATTTTTCGTCGGATCCGAATCCTTGTGTCAGTAAAAACTGTGTCGAAAACGTGGAAACTGAAAAAGTAGAAATGTTTGCTAAAACGTGTTTTGTGACCTAAAATGGATTCTACACCCTATCAAGCTAATTCTGAAAGGAAACTTGAATTCCGCATCCTTTTGAGGGTATCTTTAGCCGTACAACAACCAAAATCTGGGTGGGCTGCAGGCACATTTGTTTTCCAAAATATATGCCCCGCATTGGAGATCTTTTGCCTGGTTTGCCCCTACTTTCAATAAATTTATCAACTTTCGGAGAATGCTACTCCTATATCCACATCATATACACTAGTGCATAGATAATACCAAGGCTCCCCTAAAAATGACAATGAACCTGCGTATGCTTCTGGATACCAGAGACATTTTGTTTGGGCCTCGTTTTCAAATTTCCTTTAACCTCCGTTGCACACATAATCCTTCTTTGAATCAAGATTCCATCAAATAAAGAAGATCCAACAGCTATAAGTATACTATAACCGTTATTGTATAGAAAATATCTATGTTGTTCACACTGATACATTTCGACTTACATTTTGTTTGGGCAACTAAATCAACAGAACTATGACAGCAACAATTTTTTTTGCTCTTCTACTGTTACATAACTCGCAGCAGTTGAATTAAGATTTATTGCGAAGGACAGCGCGCGCTTCATGTAGATACCTCCTTTTGGTGTGCAGTTCTTTAGATAAATTGTTGATTATAGCACCCGTGCTTTATGCAAAAAGTAATTTTTGGATTTTCGTTGCTATTAGGCTAGGACCATTGTACTAGGACACTCCTCTCACTTATCTTTCATTCAAAACATCGGTTTTTTTTAAACTGTGAATACCCATTCTCGAAATCAGATCAATTTCAAAAACATCGCTCTTGAGAGATATTATAAAAGAAAAGGGCAGATGGTATAGGTGATAAAAAAAGCAAAGATGTAAACAAAGATAGCGTCAGTACAGTACCAATCATGCTGAAAAAAGCGAACCTGGGAATTAGTGTATCGTAGGGTTCTACTGTAGGACTCAACTGTAAGACTGCACTGTGGTAGTGTGCTACGGCAAGGGCTAAAGTCCCTCCCCTCACTTTTCGCCAGAAGTTTCTTATTTATTGCATTTCTGTACGTAATTGCATTGTGAGAGTGTACTGACGGCCTGTACTTTTGGGCTGTACTGTGGCACTGTACTGTGGATTTCGTCTAGGTACAACTTGATTAAGACAGAAGACAGAAGACCTTAACGTAGAAAATCTCACGGTGACCAAACCGCAGAACAACATTCGCACCGTCAAACGGCAATGTAGTTTGGAATCCCCATGAAAGAGGCAACAGCCTGTTAAATATCTTTGTCAAAAAGCAAATTGAAAGATTTCAGGTTACACTTGGGCTTTGGGAGGGCAATCTCAATCCTAATAGATATAATATACTTATTCCAAAATGCATGACAGCATTAGCCTCCGAAAGAAAAAGTTTCAATGCACAAGTTATCAAGAATTACTCATGAAAGGAAATGAAAGGGAGTAGGCCTACATATAATTTTATGAATACATCACACACTTGCCTGTCCCAGATCTTCAACTGATTATATTCTCATTTTCATATACACTCATTTTTAAAAAAAAACAGGTTATAAGAAATGGTAGGCTCAATTTTTCGAAAGTTAAGAAGCACCCAAATTGAAAAAAGCTAAGAAACTTTTCTAATTGGCAATTTTAATTTTCCGAGTTGACAATCGAAACAGTCTTGACATTGAACATTACTGTATATTGCAACACTACACTTGACATGCAGTTTGTATTCATTCTCAGAAAATTGCACACTCAAGAAGTTTCCATTTAAAAATCTGTTTTGACTTCAACGTGACATTTATGAAGTTCAAGGAACGTAACTGTTTACAGATCTTAACAGAGTTAGTCATGCTAAGAAAACAAAATTCCTTGATCACTATGTTAGTTTACCTCTGAATGTGAGTGAACTATTTACTTTATCTTTGAAGCACGTTTGAAAAATTCATTACCTAAGAAACTTAAGAAACATGTAAGAAACTTTTGATAGCAAAATAGGCAGAAAATTTAAGAAACTACCTACCAACACTGGACCTTAGTTTCTTATAAAATCTCATACACTCTTTTTTTATAAGAACCAGATAATTTTTGCCAAGCCTCGATGTTCTCAACTTTTTTATAATTTTGGGCTCAAATGTTCTTAAAATTGTTCTTATTTTAAGAGTGATTTTTTGCAAATATTTGAGTAGTTTTGCTGATGTTTTTCTGATTTAAGACGTTTTACTGGGTAAAGTTTGAAAATAAAGCAATGACTACTAGAATTTATGAACAAACTTGCATAGTTTTGTTCTGTTGACATGACATAAACTTCAAAATTTGAATTGTTTTTTTTAAATTTCTCATCTGACGCTGAGCATGTTCTAGCCTTGTTCTTATTTTTTGGGCTAATCGAGCCTCAGTGTTCTTATAAAAAAAGAGTATATTACCCATTGCTTTTTCCAAAAAAAAATTATACGCGTGAGACTGTCAGAAGAAGGACTTGCTTTACGAACAGACCACACATACACAACAATGCTGATTAGAACTAAAATGAAAAACGCATGCAAAAAGATGGTTCTCATTTCTGACAATAATCGTGAAATTTTAGGCGTTAATGAGTTCGACTTGCATAATTATTTCAATTTCTATTTCAATTATTTTAAAGTTCTTCACAATTATTCGCCAGGTCAGTAGCTGCAGGATCAACTTGATTCCTCTAACAAATTGAAATCTGAAACTGACAGCCATTTTCTTCAACTTGGCCGAATTAAAACCGATTAGCTTATTTCCTGCGGTCGTGCGACATATATTGAAGATAAGACACTTAAAGTCGAGTTTACGGTCCATCTCAGCACAAAAAAGCCTGCTGAACTTTGCAGATTTGACATGTTCACTGATGTTAATCTCCTCCCTGGTGCTTCGACTTCGTCCTTTAAGACTACGATAGTTGGAACTTATTCTGGATTAACGATCTTGGCGTTCAAAGTAACGTTTAGGCTCATTTTCTAAATTCAATAGCGTTGAAATTTTAAGACAACAATTCAAATGTATCGCCATCAGTGAACCACCAGAGCTTATTCTAAGGAAAATTTCCAGCTCCACAAATCATCGTTACGTTTTTAGCGCTATTAACCCCTTAAGACCAGGCTTCTATCAGAGCAAATGCAAACCAATCTATTAAATATTTCCATCAAATTGTTAGATATGTTGGGAGGACAGCCGAAAGTTTCGGATGCTCCGGGGCAAAGCTTAAAGCGGTGGCATTGTGAACGAAGCGAGCAGAAATCTTGGCGACCACGCCCTTTAGATTAGCTTAAAATACATTTCAGAATGTTTCTTGCAGTCATCTTCTCACAACCATTTAAAACGTTGTACTGTTTTAAGCATACTTAGTTACGTCTGATATGTTTCATTCTTCAAATGGATTTCATCATTTTACGAGACCCCTTTGACCTCAAGGGCCATGGGGCAATCTGTCACCTCTTGGCGGCTCTGGGTTTTGGCTCTACATTCGCGAAACCAAAACCTTTATGTCCTACAATTCAATTTAACTACAGCTTAGGTAATAAGCCATATTCTATAAAAAAGGTGAATCAGGCATATCAACTGATCGGTCCAGTTTCCATCGTCAATGCAGTCGACCTATTCCATTCGGGCGAAATGTGATGAGAATAATAATTATAAATAACAAAGCATTTCTTTATTTGGATTTAATGTTTCAGCTCCACAGAATTTCATATCCAGCTGCATACTTTTAATTCCAGTTCCAAGAAAAGGGCCTAAATCCAGCTTAGAATAAATAAGCGCTGCACTATGCAATGGTAAACCAATAATTTTAGCTTTTTTCATTTACTTTTACTTCTTCCTTCCAGGTTTTCTTCTTTATCAACAACATTACTGTAACTTTTCTATTGCTTTCAGGCTTATTCTTCTTTAGTAGCCCTTATCTTTAGTATCTCTGATCTTTCATAAGATCGATTTCCGAGTTATTATGATATCGACTGTTTAAGCGATTGATGTCTACACTGGTAAAAAGGGCCTTTAAAAACATCATCAATGGACAAGACCTACGGATGCAGATATTGTATTTTATTGTATAGATTGTTTATTGCATTGTATAGCTTATTTAAAGTTAGTTTTTACAATAGTGAAAACACACTTATTAAGACTAACATAAAGCAATTGTTTTCAAGGAACCAAGTTTTGATCAAATTCTCGAATTTTCTAACATTTTATGCTGTCTTTATTGATTCTGGGAGTGATTTCCAGATTTTATGCCCTTGGAAATTTAATGATCTGATACCAGTTTTGGTCGTTCTGGTTTTTGGAATGTCAAGGGGGTTTTTGAGTCGAAGGTTATGACCTGTTGTTTTGGGTACAAAATATTCTTTCATGAAAACACGATTAAGGTCGTTAAGTGTTTTATAAACTTCGAGCACTAAAATTCTAACTGATTTGATATGTATGGTAGTTTCTTTTGAGTAAGGGAATAATAATTTGTACGAAGATGAATAGTCCAAATAGGCTAGTTATAATGCCCTCTAGTTAATTTCCTCTAGCTTTCGTGCCGGGTCATTGACTGTCCAATAGCTTAAATTGAAATCAGGCAATATTTTACTAGACACTATAAGATAGCATCAAAAGTCGAAATATTTTTGTGAGGTCCCAGCATATCACATCGGGCATTCAATAACGAAATAGACAAATTTATGATTCATTTACCATATTGTTCTTCTTTATACATTATTCCTGTTAGTCTTATTCATATTTAATATTTTATTCAAATTCATCACCCTTTTCTCTTTTATTCTCGATTCCATTGATATCAGTCCACATTCATATATAATTCCATTATATGGTATATAAGCCAGGTTGGTTGAACATATAAAAAGGCCCCTTAGATTTAATGCATCCTCTAATGAATGCACCCATAAAATTATTAAAAAATATGAAAAGCGCGGAGATTCTATTGAATGTTAGTGCCGAGAATTCGAAAATAAAATAACAAGCATTACATTCCGTACAATCAACTGACTCTGTTTAGAAATACATCTTAGAGGGGGCTCTCCATGTTCATCTATCATAAATCATCACTCCATAGATTTAGAAACTCAGCTTCTTTTCGAAGAAGAGAGGCTCTCTGTTTATATTTCTTCACCCAATCTTTTCCTGGTGAAAGGACAAGAATTCTACTCATAACCTGTATGACGACTTTGATTTTAGAGTGAATTGTGATCGAAATGATTATGGCTGTTACGTCAATTTTGGTTTCGCTTAAAAACACTATTATTTCGCTCCGTTCTCGAACAGTACTGGTTTGCAGCAATGTGGCGGTTACTATAGACTAACAAAGCAATGACGTCATGAAATCTATTTTTTTGAATTTTCCAGTTAATCAAGTTTGAATCGAGTTGTGTTATCAACCTCAACTGGGAACTTGATCAACTAAAAAGGTCCTTCTGGATTACGGCTATCCAGACAGAAGATGTAACTGTAACATTTAAAAAAAATTCCATTTCGTGCACCAAAATACCTATAAATATAAAAAATCAGCTTAGGGACTATGCCTTCTTCAAGGCTGTAAATTGTTGCTCTAGCTTTGACGATACACCTAGCTAACTTTCATTATATTTCATAGCTGGAAAAAAACAAATGCTTTAACCTTCTTTCGAGGTAAAGCAAATATCATAAGATGGTTCGGAGATGCAGATAGGCGCAATAAGAATGTCTGGATGGAGGAGGAACACCATGAGCTTCTTTGTTAAATCTACAAAGCTAGTCCCAAGGGAACTTGGCATAGTGGTCCACTTTTGACGGTATCCCCCAAGTACCTTGTGTCTCACTATCCACTAAGGCCTAAAAACGCAGGATGCTTGAATATCACTTAGCCTCATTCATTTCACTCTATACCCTTCACATTTTGATTCAAGACAACGAATCAAGAAACCATATTATAAACTGTTTACATTGCCACAAAGCACTGTATTTTCCGCTGGAAAAATAAAAGATTGAAAAAATTCAATCAATATGTCATTTTGATCAGGCGAACCGGACAGCCATATTAGTGATTCTGTATGGACTCCTTTAAGCCGGTTGTAAACAACCAGTAAAGAGAGGCTTACGATTGTGTGCTAATAATTTGCGAAAACGAAAATGAATTTTGAAATCAAAAGTAATTATCAAACAATGCCTTCATTTACTTGCACTTTTTAAACATTTTAATTAAGCTTTAGAAAACAACGCCTCACATTTAAGTTTCATAATTCTCCTACACGTTGTCAGCAACATATACACATTTTGCTGCACAAACAAGGTATGGAATGACCCTCATCTTTTCAGGTGTAGCTAAAAAATGATTTATAACTGTTTTTAACAAGTGAATGCAGAACAGCAGTTAGAGTATATTGAAAAATATTTTGAGTCAGTGATACGACCAGGCACCCACGACCGTGAAACGTTGCTTCAATCCAAGCCCAAGGACGTACGGCCTCATATCGCCTTCTCTATTTATTGAGTTCTGTCCTTTTTGTATCACTCACTCACATTTTCTCTGAGTTTACTATTAAATCTCCCTGTTTTGAACTAGGCATGTGATGTTAACGTGAACTACCGTTCGCAAACAAAGTTTTTATCATGGAAGGTACAGTGAAAATTGGGAGACCAAAACAACGACACTTTTATGAACGTTTGTTCATAAAACTTTTATTAAACATGGAAGCATGGAACGTTTGTACCATGTTTTCAAACGTTTATTAAAATGTTAGCAGTTTCCTTTATAAAACCGAAAAAATACAAATATGAATAAGGGTTTTAGAAGAAAATTCACAAAAGAGTAGATGAAGAAATAATACTGAGTTTAATCTTATTTGATTACTGTTTGGCATTGTGAAATCAATCTTTCGTTAACAGTATTTCGGAATAAATCTAAACTGCAACAAAGATTTTCCCCTAATGAGGTGGACGAATAAGAGAATCAGTAAGCTTTTTAAAGAGGGAATTTTGATCTATATGCCTGTGAATAAAGCTGTCTGACGTCACAATACGAGGCAGTGTTGCAAGCTTACTGTCCTTGTAGAATAGGTTACAGAGTTGCTTTATCAGAGACACAGTATCTGAAAATTGTCATTTAAAAGCCTCACTGGGCAAGCAAATGATTGTGACCATGATTAAAAACCAATTCTTTAAGCAAAAATTTAGAAGGTTTGTATTGACTTTTAAAACGAAATTATTATTCTTACTTAAGAAAATATAATGTGATACTTGCTTCAACTTTTCTTCTCTCCGACCATTTCCTCCTTAGGCCTAACCATATGAGATCAAAAGTTCGCCCTAGAAGAATTTTTGCCTCTTCAAATTGATGACTTGATAACTGGGGCCAATAAACAGCAACAATTTTATCTTAAATTCAAGCCTTCGCTCATTATTTCCGGCTAGAAACTTTGGATTTCAAAAGCCTTGGTGTGCTTGGAATTTCTGAATTTTGAGGCTATTTTTATACTATCCTTAGATTATTATGAAGTAGCATCTAATTCAAAAAAGCGAATTTAAAAATAATGTTTTTTACGGTCCTGAGACCTTGATAAAAATCCACTTAACAATTTTCTGCAGTAACAATGTTCAACAATTTTTTCATTGGAACTGAAAAGTCTAACAAAAATCACTGAAGATTTTAAGTCTATAATTATTCTTCGTTATTCCTTCAATCTTTAGCAATTGTGGGCCTGAATATTGTAATGTTCTGAGTGAATCCTTCACATCTTAACAAATATTTCAAAAGCAGCAAAGCTAAATTAAAATGAAGCCTAACCATGTGTGGAAGATATAAATAAGAGAACCGCAAGTTGGTTTGCAAATGACCTGTCAACCTCGTTGAGTGCTCGTGAATACACGGAAACTGCAGGAAAGATGGCAGAGATAAATTGAATATGTATGGGTTGATGAAGAATAGAAGTTTGTATTTTTTGACAGCAACAATACACAAAATTCCCGGCTCAGCCATCTATATTCTACGCTAGTCCACTGCAAAGTTGGTTATGAAATTTTAAAAGTTGGAAGCCCTTAAGAGATGTTCTCATCATAAATGTATGTTACAGAATTCTCTCTCGATTTTTTTTTATTTTTAATTTCTTGAGAACAATTGGACGTCTAAAGTTGAGCATCTTTACTTTCTTTGCCGTCTCAGAAACACCATAATAATCAATGGCTGCCTATTCTGTGCACAAATTCCTTGACAATACTATGGAATAATCTTTCTTTCACAGAATAATCTGCTTCTTGGTGTAAGTTCTCGATATTCCCTTCAACACAATGTATGGTCAGGTCTGTTTTTTAAAACAGTTGGATCATTATTATTCACTGTGTCGAATTTAGCTCGTTTTTAGGAGAAAATGCTTGACGAAAAAAGGAAGAAAATGCTGTGCGTCAAATTACGAAAGAAGAGAACATAGAATTTAGGCAGCAAAATAATTTGAACTTACCCGTGCTTTCCAAAATAGTGTAGTTAATAGCTTTCGAGGTTGGAAAACTTTCTTTGCATCTTTCTTCGAGAAGTTTTGCACCAACAAATCCTTGATAAATTCACGAAGCTGTCCGTAATGTATAATTTAAAAATCCAAGAGAAACGGGGGTTGAATTGTTAAAAAGAGGCAAACAACTGAACTCCAGAACTGACGATTCACCGAGAGTGTTGTTTCATCATCAGTCGAGTCTTTCCAACGACTGAGTCGGACAATGCTGGACTCATACCATTCGTGTGTTTAAAAATCAACGTGAAAATCGTCTAGAGAGTTATGATTTCATTAAAAGAACAAGAGAAGGAAAAAGAATTTGAAACAAAGCCTCCGCGAGGAACAGGTGAATTACCAACATGTGTTTTTGTTTTGAGAAGCAGGTCAATAAGGCCTGGAGCGAGAATCGGCAGCTATTGTTCAGTGCAGCGAGGTCAATTGAGATACCAGCCGCTTGGTGCTCCACCACAATAGGCTACTAAAAAGTTAGAATTAAGAAATAAAATAAAGAAGAAACTATGCTTAATACCAAGTTATTTGGTCTTAATTGTAGCACACAAAATGGGAAAATGAACTTGAAATGTCAAACTGCAATTTTCAATATTGTTTGGTTTCCCATAAAAAGAGTGAGAAAAAATAAATACAACACTATATAAACTTGGAATTATACTATTTAAGTATTGAAGAAATCCTTTTTCTTTGAAAATCTGAACTAATTAAATACATTTCAATTATAATTCTAAATATCTAAAATACAGTATTTACACGTTTTAAAAATCGAAGTGGAACATTTTATATTGGATAAAATGAAGTATCCGGGCAACAAAAGATAATGATCAAAATCTCATATCGTGTGTGATACCAGTAAAAGTAGCGTGGTTCATGAACAAGCAGGAAACCGCAAACAGAAGCGAGATCTACCCAAATATAGGCATTCACAGTTGCAATGTTTCTATTCAATATCATTAGGTGAATTTTCTATACAAAACAGTCTTTCTTTAGAGTTTCTGTCAGGTTTCTGTGCAGCGGTCGCGGCGATCAAGAATGGAGGGAAGACGCCAATCACCAAATGAAAAATGCTGCTACAATTGCCATTCTGTGGATCATTCGAAATAGTTTGACTTTATTCAAGAAATCAATAGGCTTCAGTGAACGAAAAAGGGTGTGGCATTCTGATCTAGAGAAATTAATAACGGAGCATCTTATTTTCTTAGCATAACACAAGGAAGCCTGCGGCGAGTATCGAAAATTGAGACCACACGATCCGCGAGATTCGAATCATAGCAGCCCGCGGGCAAAAAATGTTTCACCATGTTACGTTTTTTGGTGCAAAATAAAAGAAACCCGAGTTCGAGGCAGCTTCATCAGCTAATGCTAATGAAGGAACCAAGCACGATAATTCTCGAGTCAAAAGAAAATTTCCACGCATGTTTTACCCCTCTTAAGCCTAATTCTCTATCTAGAAAATATTCTTGTAAACATTGTTGACCGGTTCGATGAATCGTGCAAATCCGAATACCATCAGTTCTCCTTCCAATGAGGGACACTAAAACAGTATTAAAATTTAATGAGTGCTTCTTCTAATGAAAAATGAGTGCACCCCTATCTTTCAAATACACGCTTCCATGTTCATTGATAAGGTAGGGCCACGAGAGATGTATTCGAGTAGACTTGACATTCATATTTCAATAGCTGTGTGTTTATTTTCAGGCGTCAACCTGTGATGTGTTTATGTTTATTTTCTGAAATTCATTATGATAAACATTTCCTTGTATAATCCGCCAGCACTCTCCGTAATGATGACGAAGAAATTGACGTTTATGATTACCTTGCTTAGGTAGAAAACAAGCAATTTACTTTTGATAAAGCTTGGATTGAACTGATTTTAGTCCCGCACTCTCTATTAGATGTCAATTAAGTTTTCTTTGTTTCATACGACCCTGGCCGTTCGCAGAGCCCACGGTCCGTGCAACTGGGGAGGAGGGGGTACGAAGGACCATTCCTCGTCCCAATTTTTTGGTAGGCAACAATATTTTCAAGTAACAACAAAATATAGTTCAACTAAAGATTTGGGAGACGTTGTTTAATAATCTTGGCTGTGAAAACTTCCGAAAAAAATATATTCTTTTTTCAAGACAAAGTTCAATTCCACAAAACTTAAGTTCATTTCGTTGAACTCTTCCATTTTGCTATTCGTGGCATTTGCCCTCTAGCAGCACGCTCCAAGCAGAAGGAGATCCCAACATGAACGATAGAAGCTGGAAACAACGTGCTGACTTTTAGCTCGATTCATTCGTTCTTGGGATCAGTGGTAACACAATGCATAATGGGCTAACAAAATCGAGGCCACATAGAAAGTCCATTGAACTGGAACATACTTTTTCTCATCCAATCACTTTCACCAATTCCGCAAAACATAAAATGGAACTTTAGAATAGGCCAGTTGTAGAGGCAACGACCTAAGTGTCAACCGCAACCAGGTCAACTTCTATCTTAGACCCCGTTCACACTGCTCCGTATTCATATGAAAACGGATAAAAAAGTATCCTTTTGTGCCTTGCGTTCACACTGCTCCACCTTGAAAACGGATACTTTTGAAAACGCAATACGCAGTGTGAACACCGAAAACGGATACTTTTGAAAACGCTAACAACAACAACAATACAGCAATATTCTTAGACCGCGCCAATTTGAACAACTTTTCTTAACATGGCTGATTCACTCGAAGTTAGTATACTACTCGGAGGAATATTAGTGGCAGTGAGCTGTTTGAAAAGTTTATTAGCAGTCGCGAGGTCTGTAAACCAGTTCGCGGCGTTTTCCTTTTTATCCAGAGCGGAGCAATGTGAACGCTTCATCGTTTTCATACCGTTTTCAAATGTATCCGGATCAGTGTGAACAGATAAAACGGATCGATAGGAAAACGGATAAAAATGAATACGGAGCAATGCGAGTATAGCCTTAATGATACAATTAACCATTAACATCAATTCAACTAAATACCTCATGTTTAGCAACATGTCTTGTGTACAAAATTTGAACAAAATGTGCTAATTGGAATGATATCCAACAGCTGATTCGAAGTTCTGAAAAAAATCCAACAGCGGTGTCTAAATAATAGATTGCATAACTGTAAGCCAAATTATGAATATCCTTGTAGTTTCTGACTAAATAGATATCAGTCACAGAGTAGTAACCGAAATACCTCAGATACTGGCATTCTGGCTTTTTTGCAATCGAAGTACCAAGTTGTGACCACATAATTCGTATTCTGTGGTACGACGATAGAAGCAAATGCTCCAATTAACGGAAGTTGACAAATCGAGGGAAGCGAAAAAGCATAATGTTAAAGAATTAACTCAAATTTACAAAAAGTACGATGCAGAACTTAAAGACAAGATTTAGGAGACTATCCACTCGTAAAAGAAAGACTTTTGCAGCTTATAAATTATTGATAAGAGATACAATTTTAAAAAATATCTATTTTCAAGGCCCTTGAAAACTCATTTTTGCAGCAAAATTAACATCAAATACGTGCTTGAGGTTTTTATTACAAAAAACCTGGATATGTGTTAAAGCAATTTAAACACTTGGCTCGTGACACGAGTATTGAAATCCTCAGCTCAAATCACTTCTGACCTTCGCCATTTCCAACTGAAATTGTATTGACAATGACAAAAAGTTGGCTTTTTGCGTGTTCTTAATGAATTAGGTTGATATGATTTCTTGTAGCTCAAATTTTGTAAAGCTAGTGCCGACTGGATCCAGTTTAGCATCTGCCATGAAGAACCCAATTCAAATAACCCATGGCACTTTTTTATTAGTAAATTGATAATCATTGGAAAAGAGACTTATAATACTAAAAATACTAAAAATCCTGGTGCTCAAAGACCCATGCTGAATCAAATAGCAGCATTAACAAAGTTTGCAAAATCTGTTCATTTTCCTGCAGGGGCTCAACTTATGTATAAACAAAAAGACATTTTCCTTTAAAGCATCTATGTAACATAAAAGTCACAACATTTTCAATCCTGGTTGATAACTTAAAACTATAGATTTTGCCATATCCTTAGACACTGCAGCATAGTTTCCAAATTTATCGAAGTTTTTGTTCTCGAATCCCAATAGGTGAAACAATCTTCGATTTCCCTCCCGCAAATTTATCAGAGCTCAGTTTTTGCGTTCGTTGTTTGGTCATAAGCATATCTTTAGAATGCAGCAAATTCATTAAAAGAAGTAGACCCATATCAAACACTTGTGAGACCTAATTAATCAATTTGCCTAAAACAGTGAACTGCTTTCTGAATAGAAGATAACCACGGTTAAGTTGTAAGGCAGTTACGCCGAATTGCTAGTAATTTGCAAAAATGCAATAGAATTGCTTAGCAAGATTTTACCACAGCATCGTAGAATTATACCGCCTTAAGGAATACCGCAAGGGCTGTAGAGTTAGAGTTAGGGTTAGTGTTAAGGTACGTCACGATACGTCGAATACTCTTCTGGTAGGCGTTTGTAGTATTTATACTCTAGGCATTGGTATAAACATTAATAATACACTAATACATACACTAAAATAACGAAATAAATATAAAACCTCGGCAGAAGTACATTACTATATCCGTATCAGCATTTCTACTTACTGATAGCTACATCTATCAAGAAATGTTTAATTTATAACCATGATGGAAAGAGTATAACCTTCGAAATTTTTTGGCACTTTATTTAGGCTGTCCTATGCTTTCAAAAATCTTTTTAAAATCCAGATCATCAATTAAAAATGGCTTGCCTACGCATTTCCCTCAACAAGCGATCCCACCATATGTTTCTTTTTCGAAGCCATCAGCCGATTTATAGCAGACAACGATCGCCTACTAAGAACCAACGCAAACGTTTATTCTTGCTGTGAAGGACTGCCTCCGTTACACGTTTACTTCAATTTACAGCAAAACAGCCAATTACTGGGGCTGCAGTTCGGCACACAGTTATCCAACGAACAGGTTTAGTCTGGTTTTCGAATGATCAACTTTATAATGACCAAACACAAGGCCTTTGCAACAGCTCCTGAAAGGGGAGATAGTGGGACGCATGGCGTAAATTAGCCGAGCATTTGGTGTGGTAGGATGTATCAAGAGTATTCTTTAAGTGATTTTCCGCAGAACTAAGTAGTCATTTCTTCGTATTTTGATTTATTTTTCACTTCATATTTATATCATACATTTTAAGTCAAGCGAGCAAAAAATGATTAAAATGGGCAATAAACATGATTTGAGCAAAGGCAAAATATAAAAAAATATGACAGAGAAAAGAGAATCGCTAGCACCAGGTTGTACCTCAAATCAAGACAGGGAAAGATTATGGGTGCCTTCTGGTGGAAAGTTCCATGACAAAGGCAGAAAATATACGTGTTAGGAAGCAAATAAAACGTAAGCCAACTAGAAGAAATTTGGAAAAGCAACATTTTAGTTTCATATGTATGAAGTGGGATGTCCAACTGCGGTGAAATGGTCAGCTCAGAAGAGATCAAGCTCACAAAGTAATTGCCATGTGAAACTTAGACTCTGTTGATACGACGAGTGGGCTGACCCACCGATGTGAGATCCCACTGCTGAGCTGTTTGGATTCCAATCAGGTTGGATAGTTATATCTACATAAAATATGAACAAGATTGGGATAAAAACATGTACACAGCGCTTCCTTTGGTTTTGGATTTGAGGCTAACTCAATCGAATGGGATGAAGGCTCTCCACATAAACGAGGTCGTGAATCATTCAGCACTGGACATCTAAGCGTGACTCGAAAATTATTGAATTTTTATCACTCGTGGTGGAGACTTTTCCAAAAATGGCGAGAGGCATAAAATATGTTTGGGACGTCTAGACATGTTTCGGGACAGGCATCTGAACTTTAAAGTTCTTCTTTGAATATCAGTTTCACGACGGCATGATTTCGTATCACGAACGCTTTCAAATAAAACTGAGAGGCAGTTAAAGTACCTAGTCTATTGAAATATTAGAAAAAACTTGCATTCCCCTCGCCCATCTTTCTTCAAAACTGTACAAGTTCTCCTTGATGGATCTTTAAATCCCAAAAATGATTCTAACAGATAAGTGGACTCTGTTTTTCTCTGTTAACTAAATATTCATGAAACGCTAGAAAAAAATACAGGAGGATTTCTTCTTTAGATATAGAATATTGAATTTTTCAAATCACTTTTAAAGTGCCAGTTCAAACTCTGGACCAGTTGACAGCGAAACTTGAGACTTAAACAATTCTTAAAATGCTTTCTATCATAGCTATTCGAAAACTGTGTTTTGATTCGAACTAATCGTTTTGGACCTGACGGGCAAAATGCAAATGACGGTCAAAACATACTAACTGTAGGAAGAAAAAAAATTCATTGCTTTATCGATCTGTCATATAGTGTTTAATGTCGTAAAGGTCTTTGCCTGATGATTACATTAAGGTGCTGTGACTCAGAGCCGTCCTATACACGGTCGAATAGATACGAACTTGCATACCCCTCGAACTACAGTTACGATGTCAGTCTTTGAAAAGCTCCTCGTAACTCTGCCGTAAGTGGTTCCAGCTATACTTTTCAAGGTTGACCTAAAAGATGGAAAAAGCATATCCGATGTTTTGCTGTGACGAAACTTGCTTCAAGATGAATTTTATTTATTTGTAAAAATGAAGGACTGTTAGCACTAGCCTTTTGAGTTCGTTTGAGGCAGATCATGGAAAAATGAAAAGGGAGAAGGTCTTTACTTTTGGGTGTCAGTGAGGTCTGCATTCATGTTTTACTATAGACCATAGTTTTATATTGTTACAAATTTACAAAGTTTGATCACGAAAAACACGAATAAACTTCGCAATCTTGAATTATTGCAACTAGAGATTCGATGGCCTTGACATCGAGGATTTACCAAATTTCAAACTAAACACGATTAAGAATTATGATACTCACTTTGTGTGTTGTTTGTGGAACTGTTTACTGAATATTTTCATCCAGAAGAAACATTTTCAGTCAGTTTACAGATTCCCAAAATGATGCCAAAACTTTATTCTGCCACGCTCTTAGACTACAAAGCGCATTGTGCAGAGATTTGGGAGGATAAAATTCTCCAGACTATACTTGGCTAATGTGAACAGACAAGGAACATTTTACAGATCTAGAAAAAAGTTACCCTATTCTAGCACCACTAGGCCCGCATTTTCTAACACACTAGGCCCGCAGGTTTATTGTTGGTGATTTCTATGGTACTTCGTAAAACATGAAATATCTAAGCAAGAATCAAAATAAAGTCAAGATGGGGGATAAGAAAGGTTAAACTGATGTCTGACTGGAAATATTAGCATATGAAGAAACACTTACACATGTAAGAATGAACTAATGATTATCATCAGTAGTGTTTATAAAAGAATGAATATTTTAACATTTAACACGTTTAGGTGTGGCTACTTCTGGAAAAGAAATAATTATAATTTGTTTTGCCTGCTAGGAGACGGGTTTTTTTCTATAGTCACCTACTAGAGGATTAGTCTTTGATTTCATTATGACGTCACTGCAGTTTAATTAAGGTCTTACCTTGACTTTGTGTCTGCGTGGAGTTTCAGGTCTCTTGCAAAACTGACGTAGTCTTTTAAGCAACTGATTTTTTGTATTGTATAAGTATTCATCTGAAATGTAACAAGTTAAGAAACAGTCAAGTTAGCTGGCTAAAACAAAGCTGATTTTTCGTTCTAGCTAGTATGGGACAGCCAACAAAACACATTGTCGCCTCTGTTTTCTTTCTTATACGAAAAAAGCAAAGCATGGCACTGAAGTCTGGATTACTCTACAACCACATTCAGATCACTTTCTGGACAGGCATCACTTTTACATGATGCTGCAACAGCGATGGAGTATGTCTGGAAGGAGGCTCGAAAAATATGGTGAACAAAGGACCCGTTTGTACAAGTGTAATGGTGGGTACGGGAGGCGGGGTCCTTTCCTGGTTTTGTGACCTAAAATGAATTCATTTTTTACGCTTCTATCAAAGCTTGAAACTTATTTGGCCAGAGGGTAAAACGGACGGGGTTAGCTGGTAATAGTTAGGATCAAATATCGCAAGATAATAAAAGAAATCACGTTTTATCAAGATATACTTTCTAGAAGCTTGCACTGGAAACTTAAAACAGCAAAATAGCATACCAGGAAATATTTCTGGATAAACCAATCTTTTTGGACACAATGGATAGCAGCCACAAGAAACAGCTTCTAGCCTACAGACAAGGGTAAGAACATAAATATTCAGTTGCAGGTGAAAGAAAATGTTGCAAGACTCCCACGTACCATTTTGTTCGCAGGTGTTTCTTAGAACCAGAATCCAGACGAATCTTTAGACAATTTGATCGATTTTAATTACTACCAATAGTTACTTAGTTACTTTCAAAATAAGCGAGAATGTTAGCTAGTTGGTAGGAGCTTGATATGAGAATAAGTCTACAGACGCAGGGTGAAGTACCTATGAAATAATTTTGCCTATTGAGGACAGTAGGGTAGACTTAACATTAAACCGAAATTGCTAAAGACGTGAGATTTGAGAAACTAAACGAGCTAGGATGCTGTCGCGATGAACTGAGGACCATGTGAAGACAGCACTGCGCGATTTCCTGCCGTATTTTCAATCATTGTAATGATTGTAACAGCTGCTGAAATGGTCATAACACAAAAAGCAATTAGCAAGGAGAGACAATTGTGGATCAACTCACATTGAGACTCCAAAGAACTCGTGCAGAGCTGTCGAAACAGCAACATCTGCATGACTCAGAGTTTTCAAAAATTCTTCTTTTGACTCTAAGTAACCCCAAGTGACTATCCTCTCCTTAAAGTCTTCTCTTGCCTTTGCAAATACCTCTGCAACACAAAGTGCAAATAAAATACAATTGAACAAGTGATCATTTCAAATGGGGAAGGCTAGGTTACAAACTTTCTAAAATCAAGCTTTAGCGAGAACTTGAAAGCTGATCACAGGGCACTTTTTAAGGATTTTTGAGTAGTGGGGCATTTTTTAAAAAGACCCATGCTCACCTCAAGAAATTGTACGGCATTTATGGACAGGTGCTTAGATTGTAACATGATTCTGCCTATGCTAGAAGATCCTGATTTGTTGCAAGGGCCAGATGGGCTGTTTCACACATAAATCACATATAAGACAACTATGTGGATATTTGCTAAGAGAAGTTAGCAATTTAGCACTTAATGCGGAAATTAAATTTTTGCCTCATTTGCAATTTATTACATTTAGCAAAATTTCCACGACATTTTGCTGTTTCCATACTAATTTCTAAGGATTGAGTCTTTAAGCATCAAGATTTGACACTAATTACTATTAGAACGTCCTAGCATATTTTATATAAACAAAATTGGAACCTTTTTATGAAATGTATAAGATTAGAAGCAATAAAAGCAAATATATTTTGTGAAAAAACTTGCAGTGAAGAATATTGATGTCTTCCAAACTGAGGGCATAGCTTGTTTTACAGTTTGCAATTGCATGAATGAAGCCATTTTACCAAAACAACATGATGTTAGAAAAGAGAATATTCTGTTTCTATTTGCCATCATTTACATTATTTTCCTTTGAAAGGGGCACCTAGTGGCTCGGCATTTGGGGGTAAAAGAAGCATTTTACTCCTCAGTGGTGGGGAACTTGTAGGGCCTGGTGGGGCAACTCCCCCGCCACTGAGTATGCTAAAAATGCCCTGGCTAAGTGTTCTAGAGGGATGAGAAACATCTTAAAATCGAAATTGAGTAGTAAGAGCGTCGTAAACGCTATAAACTCCCGAACAGTTTCTATCACCAGACATAGTGCAGGAATAATTAAATAGAACTTGACAGATTTAAAGAGAAGGGATAGGAAAACACAAAAGTTGCTAACTATTCGTAAGGCGTTCCACAGAAAAGAGATGTGTACAGGCTTTATCTTAAAAGATCGGAAGGTGGCAGGGGAATGATAAGTTTGAAGGATTGTGTCCTAATTGAAAAGAACTGTTTGCACATGTATGTCAGTAAGGGAAAGCGACGAGCATACGCTTAAAGCAGTAGCTAAGGAGGAAATGATAAATCTAAAAATGAGATACAACAAATGAGAAAGGACAGTTTCAGTAGCAAACAACTACTAAGTGTTTTCTTTACGAAAACGGAGTTTCGGAACAAACAATCGTGGGGTTGGTTGAAGAATCGTGACATGAAGAAAACCACAAAAGGAAAGTAAATGTCTATTCAAGAGCAAGCTTGAAAGGACAACATCGATAAAGCAGCACATTGATAAGACAGAGGGAAATCCACTTTGTAGACTGTGTGAGAAACGAGAAGAGACTGTAGCCAATATAGTGCCAGAAATGTAAACAGCTTGCACAGAAGCAGTATAAATAATAGAGACAAGCTATTGCTAAAATTATTCACTGGGAACTATGCAACTTGAATAATTTACTCCACTCACAGAAGTGGTGTGAGCATAAACCCGACAGAACAAGGCAGAAAATGAGTCTGTCAAGTTACAGTGAGATTTCAACGGTCAAATGAATAATAAATTCGACCACAATAAGCCAGATATTATAGTTTTTTAAAACATACAATATCATGTTCTTTTATCGATGTCGTCTGCAGATTTGACACCAGGGTGCAGGACAAGGAAAGGGAAAAATCAAAAGGTATGAAGACTTAAAATGGGAGTCGTCAAGAATATGGGAATGTAAAAGCACCAAGTGTGTTCCAGTTGTAATAATGCCTCTAGGTACTATAACCAAAAGCTACCATGGGTGGCTAAATACCATCAGCCCAAGCATCAAGTTCCTTGTTCTACAAAAATCATGCCTACTGGGTACTGCAAGAATTTTTCTGTATGCAATGAATATCTGGGATTGCAGGTAGTGGGAATCATTTTCTTTGCTACATACTCAAAAATAGTCAAAGCCCTATGAAAAGTTAAAAACAATATGAAAAATGCAACAGCAAAAATCCTCAAAGTTTCTATAAGGCAATGACCAAAAATATTTATTGCCATTAAAAAAGGTTTTCCTTAAAAGGTGACCTAAGTTTCTAACTTCAAATAGAGCCAAGCTCTTAAAATATACTTTTACAAAATGTTAATGACAAAGAGGAGAAAAAACATCATCTACGTTTAATTCAACTAGCCCCATTGAATATGGTGTCAACATTTTCTTACCTGGAACATCAGCATAGCCTTGCCCCATAACAGATATTTGGAAATCTAGCTCCTCATCTTTTAATGCATACAAAATATCAAAGAAAGTATCTGGATTTTTGTCATGTTCCCTAAAACCAACAAGAGTTGAGTTTCTGGTTACCAAATTGCAGCATTCTTACAAAACATTGCAAAACGCTATGAAAAGTAAATTATTTACATAGTATAAATAAGGCAAACAGAGAACAATTATGAGATTTAAGACTTTCTTCATAAACAGAAAAATGAATAGCTTGCTCTCTAGAAGTGGAAAAATACCAGAAAAAATAATGATCTGTACTCTTAATGAGTAATATTTTATACACTACTGCAAGTCTACTCATTGGCATTCCTTAAGCCACCAAAAGATACAAAAACATTTACATAATCAGGAAAACAAATCGTGAAAAAACATTCTGTGCTATAGCTTCGCATGCCTACCACAGTCTAAAACTTTCACAAATTCAACAATTTTTCTGAAATAAGATTCAATTTCTAACTTGTTCATAATAGACTGAAATTGTCAACTCATTGGCTCATACTATATTTATGGTTTATCCTCCAAATAAACACCTTCACATCACAAAATATACACATCACAAAATAAACAGCCTTTTATTTCTATGATATATGTGTAAGTTTACTTAAATTATCAATAGAAGCTATGGAGTGTAATGAAAAGCTTTGCAGTTATAAATATTTTTAAATGAAAATAAAATATATTAATCCAATCATAACATACCATCTATGTGCCCAGACAATATGCAATGGTTTGTCTGCAGACATATCTGCATTGGCCGGCTCTAAAGTGATCTCTGGAAAACTGATTGGAAAATGCAACACATGGCATTTTGGTTGTATCTCTTGCAATAATTTTTCGTCTGGTTTGTAGTCAGGCATCAAGTTGAAATATGATTTGAGGGATGATAAAAATGATTCCTTGTTGAATACTGAGTTGAAATAAATAACATCTGCAGCCAAGCTGAAAAAATTGAGAAAATAAAGCTTTTATTTTTAAGGTTACAATGACCCTGATGTGCCTTTAACTGTAGTGTCATAAAAAATATACCTTAGCTTAAAAGAACATCCAGAAATACATCTAGCAGAGCAAAATAGCCTGAACCTACTTAAAATTGACTTCAGAAAGATATAGAACCAATACTAAATTACATGGATGGTAGAAGGATCTATGTTAATGTGGTCATATTTAGGCATATTCCTTTTACAATGGTGACTGCCCTGGCACTTGCCAATGCCCTTGCCAAATTATTGGCAAAGGCTATTGACCACCCTTGCAAACACTTGCCCTACCCGGCAAGAGACAGGAAGATGGTCTGTTGAAACATAAGCTCCTATGTAAATGATTGTATTCCTTAGTGAAAGTTCAAGTTGCTAATGAAAATAATGAAAGCCTTGGCCAAACTTTGAATCACAAAAGCAAAGAAATTGGATGCAATACAGAAATTCTGACATTATAATTGAATTTATATTGCTAAAATGTATCTTTTTGAGTTGAATTTATTGTTTGACTTTAAAAGCACTTTAAGGACTTTATAAGCTATGTGTGGTCCATTTGGCTGGAGAGGATAAGATAAGAAAAAAATTACAATCAAAACAAGGCAAGATAACAGATACTATTAAGCCTGAAATACATTAGGCATTTTATTGCATTCAACTGAATCCTTGTTGGTTAATCCAATTAAGACGCCTTTCATTGATGATTCATTTTTTTGTCTTTTCCCTATCTTTGTAGCGTTTGGGCTGTGAAATATATGTTGCCTCACTTTTATCTCTTTCCAGGCAAAATTTTTCGAAAAATGCTTTCTCCGCATAGACATTCAGGACTTTGGCTAAGATTAAGGCTGTAATGAAGCAGCTGTTATCTCTTTTCTAACCATAGAAGAATGGAGAAAAGTTCCTAAGAATAGGTATAGAAAGAAGTTGATTGAGATGTAGAAACAAATTTAGTGTCTATAAATATGCCCCTAATCAGTGTGATTTGTCCAGCAGTTTTTGTGCCATTCCAAAATTGACAAGGAACTATTGGCAACTGTCTTTTAAATGCTCTTGGCGACTCGCTGAACAATAGCAAACAACAAGGATAATGCAATACAAAAGGATTACCCAGGCAATTTATTGCCCAAAGTTGAACATTTTCAAATTTTAAAACGCAAACTCCAGAATGCTGATTATTTAAGAATGTATGGCAATAATTAGGCAGCTGCTGGAAATACATTAGATACTTTATTGCCAGTCAACTAAATGCTGCAATAAAATTTTTTATCATACTTTTGACCTTTTTAAATGAAGAAGAACTTACCAAGACAAAACTTGATTGTAACCATATTGAAAGTCTCTGTTCTGTTGTTTTCGAACTGGATACACAAGCTGGTTTTCATGAAAGTACAAAATCTTTTCAAGCTTTTGCAAATCGGGTCTCAGTCCAATCAGCTCTGCAAGGTTGAAGTTAGCACTTGTAAATAAATACCTAAATTAAGATCAGAAAGAAAGGCAATTTAATTTCCAGAATAGCTTGTGATTTTGTCAAGTGATTTGCTTTGGTTCTAATGATGTGCTTAGATGCAGGAAGTTTATTTTATTCTCTGTATGAAAAGTTTCATGCCAACCAGGTTATCATATCAATTTATTTTCATAAAATTATTTTCATATATTTTCATAAAAATTAATCGATGAATGATAAAAGAAAATTAAAGAAACCGCTACGTACAGGGTTGATTAGCGACAGTCTCATTTATAGTGCAAAAGTTTTTAAACAAGATTTAAGCATAGTATAGTTTTTGTTGAATTAAAACTCTGCTGAAAGTGTATGAAGGTATAAAATACCCCTAGAATTCACTTCATTGGCTTAGTATTCCATATGTACTGCTACCAGCTTGCTTTTACCTGTAGGAATGTTCTCGAGGAATAGTTCTTGCGAAATACAAGCTGCCAGTTCTCATCCGCCAGTGCCATTTCTTGTCGCTCATGCAAAAAACATCACATTTATCACAAAAATTATTTTCAAGAAGATCAATTAACTGTTTATGAGATCCACCATGAAATGCTTCAAGAAACAGAATGCTCTTTTTGTCACATTTTGAAGCATTTTCCATCTCTATGGACTAGCAACTTTTAGGCCATTATCATGTTCCCGCTTCTTCTGCCTCGTTTGCAACCAGATGACAAGGAGCCATAATAACACATATCCTCTTTTATATAAACAATTTTATAAGGACACAAGCCTAAAAATTTAGTCACAATTGGAGAGAAAATTAAGAACAAGCCGAGGCTTAGGCACTGTAAAATGTAATTGTGAACAAAATTCAATCTTAAAAACGAGGAATTTATGCTATCTAGGGTTGCTTTGTTGGTGAATATTCAAACCTGTCGGCAAATAAAGGACGTATCTATCATTCACCCAGGGGTGTAGAGCTAGGGGGGCTCAACGGGACTCAACGTTAATGAGGAATACCTTTGACTCAAAAGCCTAATTTCTTAATGGTTAGAGGACATGTACCCGTTATGTCATTTTCCTTCGGGATCCTGTGGGCCTATCTGGAGAAGATGCACTGCTATGAGGTAAGGCTGACGAGACAGCCTCAAAAGCCTTAACCAACCACCGGCCGAGGATTTTTCAACAAAAACAGAATCGGCAGTAAAAGGTATCTGCATCTTTTTCTGGAACCATCGTGACCAAGATATAAAAGCACAATATTGCACTCAAAAATTGAAGTCATTCCCAAGGCAGCAGTACTTATGTGTACTCGAATTGTTCCCCTTTAATGTGTACCCTCTCACATTAATTGCTTTACTGAAGACGTGTTTTACTATCAATAGTGTAGCTTCTTCTTTCGATAAATGTTTAATAAAATGGCATGCACGTTCCTGATTTGACACTAATTAATAAGACTTCTGAAGATCTCAACAAATTTAAAACCACAGAGCAACATTGCAAAATATATGGATCTAAAACCGTGTCATATAGATGTTGGAAAATATCGAACTCATCCGACTACGAAATAAGATGCTCCTTATCTTTACAATTATTGAAGAAAATTCTTTCTGAATTTTCATCGTTCAGTTGTACGTGTGACCTTTCCAAGAAATACAAATGCAACATTGGTTATGTTTGATTTATATTGTGCGATGGTAATTTAAATCAGTCGGAGTGAAATACCTCTATTGAAGCTGGACATTGTACCGACTTTATATAAAGAAAGAAAAGACTACCGTCAGGAAGGCAGGAAACGATTTATAACTTCTTCATATCAGATAGTCAATGAAAAGCTTTGAGTGTTTTATAGTGTTGTCAATGTTATTACATCAAAGAAAGGGATCAATGAAAGATTCTAGCAAAGCAAATTCCTAAAGTAGGGAAATCTGAACTAGGTTAACCCAGAAAGCAAAAATATTCAGCAGAATATAAAAAGAAGTGACAGAATTTTGAAAAGTTAAGGTAAGGTAAGGTAAGGTAAGGTAAGGTAAGGAAGGTAAGGTAAGGTGAGGTAAGGCTAGGTAAAGAAAGGTATGGTAAAGAAAGGTAAAGTAAGGTAACAAAGAAACGAAGGTAGGGAAAGGAAAGGAAAGGAAAGGAAAGGTAAGGAAAGGTAAGATAACAAAGAAACGAAGGTAGGGAAAGGAAAGGTAAGGTAAGGAAGGGGAAGGTAAAGTAAGGAAATGTAAGGTTAAGGCAGCAGTAAGTTTGTTAAGTGATGAGCAGGGCAGTGGCAACTTAATAATAATTTTTTCGAAGGACTAAAGAAAAGGCCTCCATTTCCTATGCAAATAAACCAGAGTCACTATTGAATCTCTCTAGCTTGTTTACTGTTTGCTCTCATGTGGCGAGACACCACATTCAAAGTCACCTGATCTTCACTCGAATAAAAAACAGAATAAACTTGATCTGAAGCAGAATTTAAGGTTTCATATCATCAACAAATTATTACATCTATCAAAAACAATCTAACAACACTTCAAACATCAGCTAAAAAATCTAATATTCAATCACCCTTGGCAGGCAACACTAGTATACATTCAACTACGTTAGGGAAATTTTAGAAATTTCTACAGCGTTTCGTTAGGACAAAAACTGATATATGGCGTGTAAGCTACAACAAAATATGGTGTAAATAATTATGTTTAGTTGCAGACAAAATAATTAAGTGAACGCTAAAACGGTTTGCATCGAAAACTAGTGGCTTGAAATTTTCTTGAGCTTAGTTGGTTTATTTGGAAGCAGGAAATTTTGGTGAAGGTTTGCGATAACTTCGTAGGTAACTTGCAATGGAACTTCCAAATATCTAAACACATGGATTGCATCATGACAGTGCTGTTATTTTCGTTTTCTCTTTTTAAAAGGCCTAGGAAACCCTACACACAAGCACTTCAAATAGTTGAAATAGACTTTTCGTAGACCTTAATTGATTCTTCATGTATTATTGGTCTATTATTGGTAAGAACCTAATTGAGAAAGGATCTTATGAAGCCCGAGTTTGGCAAATGACCATAAACGAATACCGACGCAAGCTTAATACAATCCATTTTTCGCAATAGAGTTCTAAAGTGTGACGTCATCAAAATTCTATTTTTAGAATTTTTGAATTTTAAACACATAGCGTAAAAGATCACCATGAAATATTTTCAAATACGCAAAATTGGCCAAATATGTCGAAAATCCAAATTAAACAATTCTAAAAATATATTTTTGTGACGTCATCACTTTAGAACTCTATAGCTAGCCGTCATTTGATGTTAAAAGCCAATTTACCAAAATTTTTAAAATGGAGAAATACTAGAGTTAAAACCCTAAATTGGAAACAAGCTTAAGCTTCTAGTCATCAATGAAAAGTCCAAGGTCTATCAAATGGGTGACTTAACACTCCTAGTCTACTGCATTTCGCGTATTGGAAATTTATTTTACAGTATCACAATCCAAGACAAAATCGTACAATTCATATTTTATGAACCAGGACAGCAATTACCTCTTTTTCTTAACGAACCAACTCCTACTTTGGCATAAAACTTGCTAAGTCAATACATCATTTCATTTTAATATCCCCGATAAACTCTATTCGCAAGTCGTCTTCAAAGGTTACATAATAACGCAATCTTTGTCGCCAGAACCTTTACTTCTCTTACCCCCTCCAGATGGTGCCTTTACATTCTTTTCGTATTGTCCTCTCACGTTACCAGGGGGCTCGTAAAGCGCAACAACGAACTGCTGTCCGTTCTTACCTACAGCTTTACCTGCACCAAGAGCAGTAGACTCTCCCCAGATCATCTGGGTGAAACTCCCTAAAAGAAAATGTGTCGACATTATAACATATTTTTGAAACATAGTTTGAAAAAGATAGATACAAAATATAGGTGCAACACAGTTTATGTAAGGTTAGAGGGCAGTTGCTAAATATTTCTTTAAACGTCTTTTCAATACAGGTCGAAGCTCTACCAATCTGACCTCCAGCCGACAAGGATTGATGTCCCTTAAACTTGGTGTCCTGCAACCGGCAAAAAGCAATAAAATATATTTTCAGCTTCAACGCCGTTACTTCAGTTGAAGGTAACAAATTTATAGCTACTAGCTCCGTATCAGAAATCCCTAGATTGGATGATAAAAGTATAATGGCTTAGTCAAAATATAGTAAGTAAGTTCATTATGAAACGACATGATAGAAAAACATAAGGATCTATTTTCGTTATATTCCGTTTTATCAGACAACAACAAAATTTAATATCCTTTAAATTGAAAGCAAACCATTTTATATCCAAAGCAAAAATTGACAGGAGTTAAGAGAGATGTGATTTTTAAGAACCCATCAAAGAAACAATGGCAGGAGTCGATATTAAAAAGTTCTTAGCGGACTTTTAGCCTCTCGAGGGCCGGAGTCTTAAAAAGACATGCAACAAAAATATAGCTGTATTGAGTCCTTTACCGCCAAATAAAATGGCCATAACCATTGGAATATACACTGAAGGGACATACATGAGAATAAACTGGTTCGGCTAAATAATTGCACAAAGAGATGAAGAGAATATAAATTGACGGTAAAATGATACAAGAAACAAAAATTTAGGTTCCTCTAGAATATTTTGAATACTCCTTACCTGTGCTTGAGCTGAATCCAGGGCTAGAATAATTATAATTCTTCTCTTCCTCGTACCACATTTCCGTCACCCTTTGCCCAGTCAACTCCCCACCACTCATCGCTGCCATATTCTGTCCAACGTTGTTAAGGGAAACCGGTTTTAGAGTATTTGTTTTTGCAGCTTCGTCAGCAGCTTTCTGGGCCTCCGCAGCCAACTTGCCAGACCACTTCACTGCAGGCGAACTGTGCTCTTTTCTACAGTAATTATGCGCCTTAAGAATATCGTCGCGGAATGACTTCCCACCTACAATTGTAAATGCAGACAGGTGAAAAATGAAACATATGTCAGCAGGGGCAGATTTATCAGGAGATGTAGCATTGGGAGACCTCCCTCCCAACCTCTAATAATTGGTCAAACCAGGCTTTCTTGGTATACTCTTAAATTTAATTTATTTTGAAAATTTATTTCGTGACATTGGATTCTCGTCGTCGTATTGCTTTGTTCCTGTATTCCTTATATTTCTTGGTATACTTCATTTGATGCTTTTTTGAATTGAGAGAATTGCCAAATAGTACTGTTACTGCAGTATGTACATCATGTCGAAGTATAAAGGAAGAGACCAAAATAATTTTATACCATATCAAAGAAAAATTACATATATTCAATACTGTCATTTGTTTAAAGCAAAAGGTCTTGCGAACAAAAGTGGAGAAAAAAACGTTTTTTCCAGGAAAAATCTAATAGGGTGAAATCGAGAAGCAGCTTTAAAATCAAAACAGCAACTTTCACAAAACTCTGTCATTGGTCTACACTAGATCAGATAAGAAAAGGATAAGATGCTTCAGATGCTTATTGGGGAAACATTTGATAATTTGAGAATTTATTATAATTTGATTAGCATGTGATCATGTTTGACTCTGTAGACGAACATATCCTGTTCTTTTGTGCTGTCACAAGGCCACATAGAAACAATCGAATTCTGGGTTGACAGAGGGTACATCTTCTTCAGGCCTGACTCAATATTTTTTAAACCTCACAAACAAGGCATAAAGCACTTACTTTGAGCTTTTCCTCCAGCTGATGAGCCGGCCGCGCTGGCAGGCTTGGCATTTTCACTTCTTTTAACTGGTTTTGAACCCGATCCCTTGACATTATCCGGGAAACGTCCAAGGATATTTCCAGGAGGATAATATCGTGCAACAACAAATTGCATTCCATTTGGAGCAGTTGCTTTCCCCACGCCTAGTTCAATTGAATCCACCCAGACAACTTGAGTGAAATGTCCGGTTCCTGAACTAAAACCCGGCTTGCTAAAGTTGTAGTCTTTTATTTCATCGTACCACATCTCTGTTGCTTTTCGACCGGTCAGCTCTTGACCTACAGTTAATGAAAGATTGTAATCATCTTTAGTGGTACCACAGTCAGTTAAAGATTTCGTAGTTTCAAGCGCCCATAGCATTCAACCTACAATCCTAGCCAAAAGTTATTGGACTAGCTGGCAAATTGTAATATTTTTGGAAAAATACGCTCCCCGCCCTTACTGTCAATGCTGATGCGCTTATTTCTACTCTTTTCGATTGCTGTTACTTGGGTATTTTTTAAAAAACCAACATTGCTGCAGGGTGGGGGGTTTTGATAATATTTTTGGGGCGAAGTTGCAATTGCAGTGGTTTTTTCACCAGTCCACTAACCTTTTGGCCAGAATTGTAGTGCTGGCCCAGTGGCAGTAAAACTTGGTTTGATGTTCCGCAAATTATTTACATTTTTCTTAACATTTCAAATAACTCTAACATTCTAAAAAGTCTAAGACATGTATGTTTACTTATTAAGGCCTCTTAATGTAATTATTCTTCAAGCTGAAAAAATGACAGCCCTAAAAAGCAAAATCTGTTTCTCGATATTTATACAGGGTGAAAAGAACTTCTCATCAGAATACGCCTCGACAGGTAAGACCCGTTCCCAAACAAATGTAATGTCTAAATGACAGCTATTGACTCATATTGAGCAATCTTGCAAAACAGAGGAATATCTGGATAAACGTGTTCGCTAAAAATTCACCGTTATAAGTCGTCACCATCTGTTAAAAAGTGACCAAGGTATAATGAATCCAAAACAAGTACCACAGTAATGCACCAAGAAACAGTAAATGGTAAATTTCACTAAACTTGGAACCTTGTTGGTGGTGACCGTTACTTCAAGTACTAAGCGGGGCCACTTTAAGGTTACGGTAAACGTTTTGAACACGAAAATTGGTTTTTCCTTCCTAAAGGCCAAACGGCTCAAGAAATCTGGATAAACTATATATCATTCGATGCACAAGATTATGGCGTATCTAGCCAGATAAAAATTATTGGCAAATAATGTTAAATGTTATTTTCCATGCGAATTTACTGGTCAAAAAGTGTACCACCTTCAAAAGCTATTATGTACCCTTGCGTTTGAGGTAACAAAATCTGACTTAGACCAGCAGGAAGTGCAGGTCCTAAGCTACCAAAGTGTGTCTCAGATTTTTTAAATTCCTCCTCTTTATGAAACTATACCCTGTCAAAAATTGGCAAATAATTTTTCCACCCTCCCGCAGCTGTATTTGGGTATAAAAGACGGACCAGAGAAAATAAAAAAATTTTGAGACACACTTTGTTTGCCCAACGTCTGCCCTGGCCGTGTGCAAATTTTCAAGCCATTCGATTGGTTCCTTGGGTACATAATAGCTTTTTCGTACCTGCATGTAGAGGAATTTCGAGTCCGGAGAAAACGGGATTTTACTGATCGCACTTGCAAGATACACTCGTAAACCACAGTGTAATCCGGGTCAAGTCACTTGAAGATTTAAGATCAATAAGCCTGTTTAAATAAACACGGCCGTACATTGGATATATGGATGTGCCATGCGATATTGTAAATGAGACATGCGACCACAACCGCAAAGCAACGATAATCGGCTTAACAGGTCAAGAGATTTTCAGGCCTCAACTAAAAGTTTTGATAAAGAAATTATGGAAACCTTCGGTTACATGGGATTTTTTCCACTTTCAAAATTTCTGTTTGTTTCAAATTTGGTATCATTGTGTGCCTTGAAAGTTCAGCTACTTGAATGTGAAAAAATCGAAAAAATGATGTTTTCATCAAGAAAACGTTTACCGTAACCTTAACAAGGGTCTGCAAATAGCCTCTGACAAACATTGTTAAATAAAGGGGGAGGGGTGTTTGATTAAATCACAGAGTCATATCCCTAAGATTTTGCAAAAAAGGTCTTTGTTTTGTAAAAAGGGGTCCTGATTCACGACATTCTGCAGCTGGGCATAAAAATAAAAAACCTCATATCCAAGGAAACTCAAGGAGACATATGTATCTTGCTACTCTACCCAGATTGATTTTCAATTGTTTGCGAGAAATGGCTTGCCTTATTATAGCGGCCAAGCCTGCCGTTTTAAGGGAGCATCATACCTGTTTTCATATTGCGTGGCATCTTAACATGAGGTTTTTTCTACTCTGCCTTACATAGAGCTGTTTTATCTGAAATTGATAATTCAACACTTACCCTTCATGCACGCTATATTTTCACCATCTTCTTTTTGGCTAGCATGCTGCAAGTAGCCCTTCTTTGCGATTTCTTCCGCCCACTGTTGCGCTTTTGTTTCCAGCTTGGAAGACCATTTCATTGCTGGTGCACCATGTTTGCCTCGAAACTCGTTGTGAGCTTCCAACGCATCTTTTCTGAAATCTTTCATGGCTGAAGAGAAAATAACTTTGTCAATTCAAGATCAAGCTCAGAAAAGGCCACAGACAATTCCCTGAGCTTGTGAAGCTGGTAAAATGAATAAATCTTCTACAAATGAGCAGCCCTGCATTTTACTAGTTAAGCATTTCCCCGTTGGTTCATATTTTTACATTCACCGATCGTCTGGCACAAACCAAGGAACATGTGATACCTTCTGCCCTTTCTGAAGTCTCTGTGACGTAAGTGCAATGCCCTACCACGCCTAAACTCCTAACAATCGTAGCCTTTATCAAGCCTCCAATTAGTGTCATTTCCCATAATTTTCCCTTTTGTGTTTCCAAAGTTATGGACAAAAGTTCATTTTTGGCAGTTTTCGCGCTACTGGCACACTTTTTGGCACACTTTCTGGGAACATTTTCTGGCACAGATAGCTTGGAACAGAGAGGTGGTACCCTGGTGTAAACTTAATGCATTAGTTTGATCACATGTTGGGGCACCTTTTGGGCCAGTTCATCCATCTGTGCTTTATTTGAAATTCTCATGAACCAAATTGAATTATATGTGACCATATGAAAGTTGGTTGCAACTAAGTATTTTGTTGCAAGCATACCATAGGAAAACAGTTCCTCTCGAAATGTGATATACCATCTTTTTATGCCTCCTTACAAACTCGGTGCCCCTATACAGCGGACATCCATATCTACCATACGATATAGGGTGTAGAACAATAAAGTACATATTTTGTTTTATTTTATATATAGAAGGGTGTTAAGAAGTTCTTTCGCGGTATCGAGGTAATATGGTAACATAAATTCTTAAACTGTACTCATAGCTGCTAAATTTCGGCAAAGCTCAATAAATCAAAATTAGTTGACTGAATAATAAAAGATCAAACACTTTTCGAATAAAAAAATCCATAAAGAAAACGTCACGCTTATGATAAAAGACAAAGCGGTTGTAGGCTTACAACTACTCTATACACTTCGGTTCCATCATCCTTGACAACAGCAAAACACGATCAGTTCATACAAAGACGGGGTCAAAATAAGAATAAAGCAAAAAAATAAAGAACAAGGAGCCAACGTCACGGTGGAAGGGGTGGTATGGTAAAAATATGGCCGTCCTGAGGACACTAAAGATATAATAGCTGGGGGTAGGTGGCTCCAAAATTTACAATGTCATTTATCGGCACTTTGACGTTCACAGATCTGATTGTTCTTTAGTGTTTTGAGAACTGTTGCTATCCCAGTCCTTGCTTCGGTCTGCGGCCCTGAAATCAGGTGGGAAGAAGACGAAATGGGCGCAGTTTCAACGCAATCTGAGTGCAGTTCACGGGATTTTGTTGGAATCCTCGGTTATGTTCCTCGCCGTTTACTTCGGCTACTGCAGATTACTGAGAATAAAAGGCTCTACAAATAAAAGTTTTTGCCTGGAATTTTTAAAAAAAATGCAAAATCAAATATTAGTTGCACCTTTATGCTATTTTTACATTTTGGGTATATGTCAAACGGGTACTTCCGCATAATCGACTCTGGGGTTCTCAATGCTTTCAAGAATCAAATTATTATTATTATTATTAAGATGCAAAATTTCGCCAACTATGGTGATTATTTTTTTAGCAATTTCATACATTTTGCTAGGCTAAAAATATTTCACAAAAAAGAATTAGAATTAGGCCTAATTATTTAGTGTCCACTCCGAATATCAAAGCATCGATCCATTTCACACGAACCATAAACACAAAAGAGGTATAAGCCTAATCGAATCAACGGTATCAAATTACAGAAGTGGAAATTTCAAAACAAACTGTGGCCTACATTGGGGCTTCTGGCTGGATGGGCCTGGTCTTGATGTCGCTGCATCGTTTCTTTCATACGCCTCCGCTCTCGATTTCTTGCCACGACAACACAGCAAACACGACATTTTTGTAATTAATCAGTCGCCTTTTCTCCTCATAAAACAGTGTCGTTTCGTACTGAACTTTCTTCAACAAAATGTAACTTATTAACTGTATGTAATAACATCACACGGTGTCTGAGGCACGACGTAAGCCAGCGACGCGTTTCCTTTGATATATTGTGCCCTTTTGTTTGAAATCCCACGACCTATGCGTAATGTTTATAGTATTCTCAATCCATCCATCACAACTCTCGGCTTTTATTTTTAACAAGTCAACCGGGAAAAGCGCTCTTGAAGACTAAATTATCAATGGGAATATCTATTCATTACCTTATCAAATAACTAATTGCTGTTAAATGAAATATTCAAAGTTGAATTTCATAGAAGGGTTTATAAAGATGAACCGACAGACGTTACAGTAAAAACCCGCATAAAAGAACCTGTTTTTATAAGAACCTTGAGGCTGAAATTTAATCTTTTAAACCCTATAATCAAGAACCCCCAACAGGCTGAAATTTGGAAAGGTTCTCATATGTATTTTTGAAAAGGTATTTTTACACCCTATTCACACTGGCAAATTTAACCAGCTTAGAGTAAATCAGGTTATGGTTGGTTATGGTATGTTACATTCTAATTGGACAATCTAACAACACAAATTCATTTGATTGGCTTGAAATTTAACATGAAAAATATGGCTGGTTTAAGTGTGTCTGTTAGGATTCTTGCGGTGGAAAACATTTTCAATGTGTGCAAGGCCTGTACGTATATGAGAACCTTGTTAATGCTGGAAGATATTTTAAGGGGTTCAGTTATAGCTGCCAGTGAAGAAGTGAAAATCAACACGAGCCTAAAAATCTTCTTCGGAGGGGTACAGTAATGGCTCTTGTCGACAAAAAGGGCGTGTCTCACTCTGGTCATAAGGGTGTGGTCATAAGATAGATAAATTCATATACGGCTTCAATGCGTTTCTATTTCAATATTTAGTATTCGAAATATTAAATTTGAATTTTTAAGGCCATACTTTGAGATCAGCTGCTACAGAAATTTTGATCCGTTACAATTGTTACAGAAAGGCTCCAATTTTACTACAAGGTGAAAAGAAAAATGTCTTCTTCTGCCCGATTAAAATCCTTTTTCTGCCGACGGGAGGGTACAGCGCCCCCATGCCCCCTTTTGCGACGCCCCTGCACGAGCTTCGATGAGAAATGTGAGCAAGCACATAAACATCTTGATGAAGACCAGCAACGACGCATATCTTTCTCAAATCAGCCTGTTTTTGAAAAAATGCTTTGGAGAGCTATAAAAAGGTTTTTGATATCTTAAAATAATTTTCGAGAAAGGCTATAGGAGTTTGGAGCCTCTAAACGGAGAGTTTTACATATTGTACATTCTTAGAATAATTACTGCGATATAGTAGCATATTAAACAAAAGCGAAAGTAAAAGTTATAAACACTAACAATAGAAGTGAAAGCATTGTGAAAATTGCAGGCCAATAACAATGCATAAAAGAAGCAAAACAGCACATAACTTTGGTGCTAAAGTTCATTGAGGATTCGAAATTTGCCATTGACAAAAGAGTGATAACAGCCATGAGATGTCAACAGACAGGGGCAAAGCCTTCGAGTCCATGGCTCCAAGTCTTCTATAAAAAGCTGGAAGCCTACGGCCTTTCTGAATGCTCTTTGATATTTATAACACTTCACTTTGAACAAAGACAGAATAGTGTCAGACTAGGAACTGTAAGAAGTGAATGGAAGAAAGCAGCAAGGGGATGCCCTCAAGGATCAGCATTTGGTCCCATGCTATAGAATATTTTCAAAATGACGAACTTGGATACCAAAACGACAGGAGTGTACACTCCTAAGATTGTTCTGGTGAACCGGCTTTAGAAAAAAAAGCTAAAAATGACACCCGGCTTTAGAATTTCTGGGAAAAAGAACAAAGGAAAACAAAAGCTTTGGTGCCAGTTGCCAAGGTTTCCAGAACACCACAAAAACCACGGGCGGGCACTGGGCAGCCTCATTGCTGTTTATTTTAAATAGAAAAAAACAGAAATCAGGCAACCGGCTTTAGATTACATCCTTTGAACAGATACCCGGCCTAAGAATAAATTGCTGAAAATGATACCCGGAAAGACGTGCACATCCTGTCAGCAAAATATACTAAGTAGCCCCTCCCCCCGGGATGCATGCTGACGATCATCAGATCTACACTAGATAAAAAAAATCAACTGAAAACAAAAAGGGATGAAGGCAATGAAGAAGAACAAGAAAGACTCCAAGAGAAGCCCATAGAGTTGTTAATTGTCCCAAGTCCACGCAATATGCAGAACTCAGAATGAAAGCAAATCTGCCATCTCTCCAGAATAAACGACTGCAGGACATTGCCATGCTAATGTACAACGTTAATACCGGGTCGGCTCTACATCATAAAACCAATTCAAAAGAAGTAAAAGGAGAATGGGAATAGAGACCCTTTTAGACTGTAGACTGTAGCTTTGTGGTCAGAAGACTTTAATTTATATTAAGAAACTGTATTCTCTCTTGTATTCCCATCCACTCTAATATTCCTGCCTCTCTAATACATTAAGTGCCAAAAATTTCGGTGAGTTTTGTTTTTGGTGAAGCAGGGCAACCGAAAATTAATCCCACCGAATTTTTTTTCAAACCGAATGTTTTTCTTACCGAAATTTTCACTAGAAAACACTAGAAAAATCTCGTTTTTCACTGATGGACTTTCAAACTAACAAAAAATTTTCTTGATATAGTTTTCTGCTCTCCTTTGTCATCAACAAACAGATATCCAGCTCATTTTAACTTTCTTCTCTTTCGCTCTCTATATTCAAGAAATTTGAGTAATTTCTCTTCATACTTTATCTTAATTATTTCTTTCTAACTTTCCAGCAGTTTCAACTTCGACATCGCAATTTTCAGAATTCTAACTCTAAATCGATCAGAATTTCTAATCCCCTCGTTGCGATTGGCTATCAAAAATAATGGCAACTGTAAACGCCTCAAATTAATTTTCCTCCAATGGGCTATAAAAAATGAAATAAAAATACCTCCACTAATCATGGGTTTATAACATTCTTACCTACTCTTCAGTTCCATTTATTAGGCTGACATCAAAATATTCAATTTTGATAACTTTTATGAATTTGTTCCAGAAAATAATTTATCCTTTACAACGATTGCCCTCAAATTTTTGTTTTATTGTTTCTCAATATGATGCTTCTTGGATTTTGTTTACTTTATATTCCAGCACAACTTTCAGCAGTAGACCCGTCTCCTCATCAGTCCAACCAAAACTTTGATCTTTGGTCTTTTATAAACCTCTTTATTCATTTTGAAAAAGCAGATGATATGATAAATAGATTTGACAGCTGAAATTAAACCAAGTCGAAACAATAAATTTCTTGTTTTTATGGCGCCCAGTCTAGGGATGCCATTTACGAAGTACATTTTCATTTTCCGCCTTTCCGCCCGTAATTGACATTTTGCGCCTCATTTTGGATCCGTGCTTGCTTGGATCCGATCCAAACCGTTAAAACACGACCTTTTTGGGATCGGATCCAAACGGGATCATCTTCAAAAGTGGTCCCAAACAGGTACGGATAGCAGATACAAATGGGATCGGATCCGGCCAAGTCTACCTGTAAACGCAAAGCCTATCCATACCACTTTAGGTATTGATCCGTTCGGATTCGATCCCGTATAAACAGGCCCTATCTTTTCAATTTGATGATAGAAAGTGTAAGTAATGTGTTACCCGTACAGCATCAACTTTCCAACCAACATTCGTCAACGTTTTGTGCGACGTTTTCGTGCCAAGAGAAAGGAGAACGTGATAACAAATTAACCCCGCCTCTCCGATAATCCCGTTTCTCCAATAATTTTAGCAAAATTTGGGGTGTGGGCCCTAAACCCGACAATTAAACTTGTGAGGTAACCATTTCACTTTACTTTAATCATCAACTGCTTCATCAATAATTACACTAAAATCTGAAGTAATAATTTCACTTTGCGTGTGAAATATTTGATTAATGAATACAAGTTTCGTTATCTTGGAAAGCACAACCTGTTGCTTATGAAATAAATTAAAATATTATCTCATAGAATGATTTTAAGAAAATGTAATCAGAGTAAGACAGTTGAAAGTATGAAGACTCGAAAAGCAAAATATTCTCGTGAGTCGCAAAGTACTTCGAGAATCTAAGGAAAATTTAAGAAGCAGAGACAAAAAGTCAGATAAACTACTGATGATGCACAAACCTGCTGCCATTTTTCCAAGCAAAAAACCGAGGTCTCAATGCAGCTGATACACAAACGTTTTTATTCTCTGATAAATTGTGAGAGGTTGATATCCACCCAAAGACAAAAGATACAATCAAATACTATATTGTATAAGTAATAAAAATGCATACTTTCTGATTCGACGTTTGACCTGCTGAATACAATGGATCTTTGTTTCTTATTGTCAGGAAAGAGGCATGTTTTTTAGCTGGTAACTTAGCAAATAAAGAGACTATTTTTTACACGTGGTTGTGCTGTGTAAACAAACCTTGTAAAAAGATCTGATTTGCTCAACCAGAAGACAACTAACGCTTCAATTGTAGACAAAAGCATTTATTAGACTCTCTAAATATTTCAAGAATCGTTTATTCGTCATCTAAAAGGAGGAGAGGCAATTTACTTAGCTATCGATAAAGAAATTTATCATTGCTAGTCTAAATTTCAAATGGAAAAACTTTAATTTCAAGACTGTATGTTAAGAGACAAAAGGATGAGAAATTTAAAATTGTTGATAGAAGTAGAGAGAACAAAAAACTGGCTTTCTGGAAATGCAACTAAATGCAAAGAAAAGGGAATTCTAGATGCACGATACAGTCATTCATGAATGGTATTATTGTTGGAGAAAGGACCTGACCAGAACACACAACATTCTATTTCCCAGCGTTGCATGCCAACACCACTGACTTTAGCTTACGAAACTGCTTCTATTTCAAAGCTCATCACAAACAACATCTTAAAAGTTGTAGTTCGCAATGTTTGGATTTGCTTCTAAATATATGCAGTATTAATAGAAACAGGTATGCACAAACAAAGGTTATTGCGCGGTCCTCCAAGCAATTCATACACTAATAATAAGAACCGGAATGAACGTGGGAAAGCACGAAAAACAACATCTACAACTGCATGAATGGAAACAGGCTGTAGGCAAACTCTTCTTAATCATGCAAAGAAACCGAACTATAGAGTTTGGTGTTGTCGATAAGCTACCTAATTAGAAATGAGTATTTGTTTGAAGATTAGAGAACTGCATGTCA